CCCCCCCCCCCCCCCCACACAAAAATCACACTCTCTCCTCCTCTCTCTCTCTCGGTCTCGGAGGTGGAACAAGGAGAGTACCGACCCGAATAGTCGGTGAAGTTTCAAAACCCTAGAAAAATCGCCTTCGAGTTTATCTCTGTTTCCTTCGATCTTGTATGCTCTCTGCAACTAGGGTTTCTCCATTTGGTGTTTGGATTTGAAATCCGAAGCTATGTGGAACAACGACGGTCAGCCTATTGCTCCTCCCGGCACAGGTGGCTCCATGATTCCGCCGCCTCCGGCTGCTCAGCCGTCTTACACCCCTCTTCCGCCGCAACATAACCCGAATCCACCGGCGGAGCCCACGCCGGAGGAGGCAGAGGCCAAACTGGAGGAGAAAGCCAGGAAATGGATGCAACTCAATTCGAAGCGGTATGGAGACAAGAGGAAGTTTGGTTTTGTCGAGACTCAGAAGGAGGACATGCCTCCTGAGCATGTTAGGAAGATCATCAGGTCAGTTTTTGGTCTTCCGATTTCTTCAGCTCGAGGACAGTCCACTTGTTGCTCCTGCTTTCGAAATGATTCACTAATTCTTATACTTTATTTAAGGGTTCTTTTGGGTTGCAATTGATACTGTGTTGCCTTCAGGGACCATGGTGATATGTCGTCGAAGAAGTATCGCCATGATAAACGTGTATACCTCGGAGCTCTCAAGTTTGTTCCTCATGCGGTCTTCAAGCTTCTGGAGAATATGCCAATGCCCTGGGAGCAGGTAATTTGTTGGTTGGCCTGGTCTTCTGTTTGATATAGCTGTATTTGCCATTTGTTCCGTTTGTCTAAGCTTCAATGTTCCTTAGGTCCGCGACGTTAAGATCTTGTATCACATCACAGGAGCGATTACATTTGTGAATGAAATACCATGGGTTGTTGAACCTATTTACATGGCACAGGTGAGTTCATTATCTTTCTTGTATCTATGCATTTCCCTGTTTCAGATAGCTGCTTTCTGGTAGTGGTAGTTGATTGTTTTTTCTTATCGGCAGTGGGGTTCTATGTGGATTATGATGCGAAGGGAGAAGAGGGATCGTCGTCATTTCAAGAGAATGCGGTTTCCTCCATTTGATGATGAGGAGCCACCCCTTGACTATGCAGATAACTTGCTGGATGTAGACCCTTTAGAGCCAATTCAGCTTGAGCTTGATGAAGAAGAAGATTCTGCTGTGTACACTTGGTTTTACGACCACAAGCCCCTTGTGAAAACAAAGCTGATCAATGGTCCGAGTTACAGGAGGTGGAATCTCTCACTTCCGATTATGGCAACTCTTCACAGGCTTGCAGGCCAGCTGCTCTCTGATTTGATCGATCGCAACTATTTCTACTTGTTTGATATGGAGTCATTCTTCACAGCAAAAGCACTGAATATGTGTATACCCGGTACGATATTTTACTACTGCGCTCCAAATCCAATCTTTTCATTTCAGTCTGTCTGTTCTTCTCTTGAGAAAATATTGAAACTCATTCTGATGCATTTTGGGTTTTGTTCTGCAGGTGGTCCCAAGTTTGAACCTCTGTATCGAGATATGGAGAAAGGGGATGAGGACTGGAACGAGTTCAATGACATCAACAAGCTCATTATTCGGTCACCGCTGCGTACTGAATACAGAATTGCTTTTCCACACCTGTACAATAATAGGCCCAGGAAAGTAAAGCTTGGTGTGTATCACTCTCCAATGGTTATGTACATAAAGACCGAGGACCCTGATCTGCCTGCATTTTATTATGATCCGTTGATTCATCCAATAACCAGCACTAATAAGGATCGACGTGAAAGAAAGGTTCATGATGATGAGGATGAGGATGAATTTGAGTTACCAGAAGAAGTAGAACCTTTGCTGAAAGACACTCAACTTTACACTGACACTACAGCTGCTGGAATATCACTGTTGTTTGCCCCACGACCTTTCAATATGAGGTCTGGGAGGACACGGCGAGCCGAAGATATACCCCTTGTGTCAGAATGGTTTAAGGAACACTGGTAAGTTATATCTCCTGTACCTACTTTTAAATTTCTACCCCTCCAAGATTTACTAGTTAGTTGTCCTGATAGTTTACTGGGTTCATAATCTGCAGCCCTCCAGCATATCCGGTCAAAGTTCGGGTCAGTTATCAGAAACTATTGAAATGTTTTGTGCTGAACGAGCTGCACCATAGGCCACCTAAAGCGCAGAAGAAGAAGCATTTGTTCCGATCTCTTGCGGCAACAAAGTTCTTCCAAAGCACCGAACTGGATTGGGTTGAAGCAGGTTTGCAAGTATGCAGGCAAGGGTACAATATGCTGAATCTATTGATTCACAGGAAAAATTTGAACTACCTTCACCTTGATTATAACTTCAATTTAAAGCCTGTGAAAACTTTGACCACCAAAGAGCGTAAGAAATCACGGTTTGGGAATGCTTTCCATCTGTGCCGTGAGATCCTCCGATTGACAAAACTTGTCGTTGATGCAAATGTCCAATTTCGGCTCGGTAATGTTGATGCATTCCAATTGGCCGATGGCCTGCAATACATTTTCTCTCATGTTGGCCAGTTGACGGGTATGTACCGTTACAAGTACCGACTGATGAGACAGATTAGAATGTGCAAAGATTTAAAGCACTTGATCTATTACCGTTTCAATACTGGTCCTGTGGGTAAAGGACCAGGTTGCGGGTTCTGGGCTCCAATGTGGAGAGTGTGGTTGTTTTTTCTTCGTGGCATAGTTCCTCTTCTAGAACGATGGCTGGGGAATCTTCTTGCACGTCAATTTGAAGGGCGTCATTCAAAAGGAGTGGCCAAAACAGTCACAAAACAAAGAGTTGAAAGCCATTTTGATTTGGAGCTTCGTGCTGCTGTCATGCATGATGTCCTTGATGCCATGCCAGGTTGTCATTCTAGTTCAGTGTTTTTCTTATGGTTTTGACATACAGCGTGATTGCCTTTCTGTGTTCCCTATTTGCTTAATGCTGTCTGTTAATCTGCAGAGGGTATCAAGCAAAATAAAGCGCGAACAATATTGCAGCACCTCAGTGAGGCCTGGCGGTGTTGGAAAGCTAATATCCCGTGGAAGGTTCCTGGGCTCCCTGTGCCGATTGAAAATATGATCCTCCGGTATGTCAAGGCTAAGGCTGATTGGTGGACAAATGTTGCTCACTACAACCGTGAACGTATCAGAAGAGGTGCTACTGTTGATAAGACAGTTTGTAGAAAGAATCTTGGAAGATTGACTCGCCTGTGGCTGAAGGCGGAGCAGGTATTTTCATTTTCTTTTTAATCTATCTCATATTGATATGCCTAAGAGGATTAGTTCTTCATATTCTCAATTATCCAATTTTCTGATGGATTATTCTCCATAAAATTGTTGCAGGAGCGACAACACAATTACCTGAAAGATGGTCCATACGTCACTCCAGAAGAAGCGGTTGCAATTTATACAACTACCGTTCATTGGCTGGAATCAAGGAAATTCTCGCCCATCCCCTTCCCTCCATTATCTTACAAGCATGACACAAAGTTGCTCATTCTTGCTCTCGAGAGACTGAAAGAATCTTATAGTGTGGCTGTGAGGTTGAACCAACAGCAGCGAGAGGAGCTTGGTCTCATTGAACAAGCATATGACAATCCTCATGAAGCTCTGTCACGTATCAAGCGTCACCTTCTCACTCAGCGTGCCTTCAAAGAGGTAAGTTAGTTACTTGCTCTTTACAGAGTGATGAAATGAAATTCATTATTTCATCCAAGGTCTTAAAACTGAATAATACAAATTTTTGCAGGTTGGCATAGAGTTTATGGATCTATATAGCTATTTGATTCCCGTCTATGAAATTGAGCCATTAGAGAAAATTACTGATGCCTATCTTGATCAATACTTGTGGTATGAGGGTGACAAGCGCCACTTGTTTCCGAACTGGATTAAGCCTGCAGACTCAGAGCCTCCACCTCTTTTGGTTTATAAGTGGTGTCAAGGTATAAATAATTTGCAAGGTATATGGGACACCAGTGAGGGGCAGTGTGTGGTGATGCTCCAGACTAAGTTTGAAAAGTTCTTCGAGAAAATTGATTTGACAATGTTGAACAGGTATTTCTCTTAAATGCTTTCCTGATTGTAAGCATTAAAGCCTTTTAAGTTATGGAGTGACATGTCTTTTTTGTTTCTTTCAGGCTTCTCCGTCTGGTTCTTGACCACAATATTGCAGACTATGTGACTGCCAAGAATAATGTTGTTCTATCTTACAAGGACATGAGTCATACTAACTCATACGGTCTCATAAGGGGCCTTCAGTTTGCCTCTTTTGTTGTGCAGTATTATGGACTAGTGCTAGATCTTTTGCTTCTTGGTTTGACCCGAGCGAGCGAAATTGCTGGGCCACCTCAGATGCCTAACGAGTTTATGACTTATTGGGATACGAAGGTTGAGACACGCCATCCAATAAGACTGTATTCTCGGTATATTGACAAGGTGCACATACTGTTTAAATTTACCCACGAAGAGGCTCGAGATCTTATTCAGCGTTATCTTACTGAGCATCCTGATCCCAACAATGAAAACATGGTGGGGTACAACAATAAGAAATGCTGGCCCCGAGATGCGAGGATGAGATTGATGAAACATGATGGTAAGCTTTTTCTCCCTTAGTTTTTTTGACAGTCATTTATACCGTGGAAGATGTAGTTTCTGACATTTTCCCATCTTTCAGTGAATCTTGGTAGAAGTGTCTTCTGGGATATGAAGAACCGTCTTCCTCGAAGCATCACAACTTTAGAGTGGGAGAACGGCTTTGTCTCAGTATACAGCAAGGATAATCCCAACCTGCTCTTTAGCATGTACGCTTTTTATTAATAGCTCATGGTTTTTTTGCAGCTGTCTTAACTGAGAATTATACCTTCTGTTTTGGCTGGAGTTTGGTATGCCATTGACTCTGAGACTCTTTTGTATCCTCTCGCGCAGGTGTGGGTTTGAAGTCCGCATACTTCCCAAGATAAGGATGACCCAAGAGGCTTTTAGCAACACAAGGGATGGTGTTTGGAATCTACAGAATGAACAGACTAAAGAGAGGACTGCTGTTGCTTTTTTGCGGGTTGATGACGAACATATGAAGGTGTTCGAGAATCGCGTGAGGCAGATTCTCATGTCTTCAGGGTCAACCACGTTTACTAAAATCGTCAATAAGTGGAATACAGCCCTGATAGGTATATGCTAATCCTTATTTGCAACGTGCTCTCACGTGCTGTGACTGCTGTATTTGGGCGTTGTTAAAAATGACCCTGAACGCATCTATTATTTTTGCACAGGTCTTATGACTTATTTCCGTGAAGCCACTGTTCATACACAAGAGCTTTTGGATCTGCTGGTTAAATGTGAAAATAAAATCCAGACTAGGATTAAGATAGGGTTGAACTCAAAGATGCCTAGTCGGTAAGCAAAATTCGGTGTAATAAATCCATAAAAGGGTTATGGTAGTAGTCTGATTCTTTATCTTTTCCTTGGTAGGTTTCCTCCTGTCATTTTTTACACTCCGAAGGAAATTGGAGGGCTTGGAATGTTATCTATGGGTCACATATTGATCCCGCAAAGTGACCTTCGGTACAGCAAGCAGACAGATGTTGGAGTTACCCACTTTAGGAGTGGAATGAGCCATGAGGAGGATCAGCTGATTCCCAACCTTTACCGTTACATTCAGCCTTGGGAGAGTGAGTTTATAGATTCTCAGCGGGTGTGGGCAGAGTATGCTTTAAAGAGGCAGGAAGCTCAGGCACAAAATAGGCGTCTTACACTTGAGGATTTAGAAGTAAGTACTTTATTTGTCTTTCACCTGTGTGGTTACCTGGCTCTGCGTTTTGGGAAGATATTCGTGTGTTTTCTACCCCTTTTTTGGGCAAGATGTGGAGACAGCTTTAAGAATATGACTCAGCTGTCTGCATCATCTGTTGAATTGAATGGTGATGGACTAGAGTATGCTATCTAACTCTAATTTTTTTTTTTTGCAGGACTCCTGGGATAGAGGAATCCCACGTATAAATACTCTGTTTCAGAAAGACAGACACACTTTAGCGTATGATAAAGGTTGGAGAGTCCGGACAGATTTCAAGCAATACCAAGTCCTCAAGCAAAATCCTTTCTGGTGGACTCACCAGAGGCATGATGGGAAGTTGTGGAATCTGAACAATTATCGAACTGATGTCATCCAAGCCCTTGGAGGTGTTGAGGGTATTCTTGAGCATACGTTATTCAAAGGAACATAGTAAGTCTGCTTCCTGTTTGACGTATTATTTATCAATGCTTTACATTAATATCTGATGCTACCATTGATCATATTTATGGTATAAAATTGTTTGTTCCATACGGCTTACTTAACCTTTAACTATTGTTATGTTGTATCAAATTAACCAATTATACTTGCTTTATATGAACTCAGTTTCCCAACGTGGGAAGGTCTTTTCTGGGAGAAGGCTTCTGGCTTTGAGGAGTCAATGAAATATAAAAAGCTGACAAATGCGCAGAGGTCTGGTCTTAACCAAATTCCAAATCGAAGATTCACACTCTGGTGGTCGCCGACAATAAATCGGGCCAATGTGTATGTGGGTTTCCAAGTGCAGTTGGATTTGACAGGAATATTCATGCATGGAAAGATTCCAACATTGAAGATATCGTTGATTCAAATTTTCCGTGCTCATTTGTGGCAAAAGATCCATGAGAGTGTTGTTATGGATCTTTGCCAAGTCTTGGACCAAGAGTTAGATGCGTTGGAGATAGAAACTGTGCAGAAGGAGACAATTCATCCAAGGAAGAGTTACAAAATGAATAGTTCCTGTGCTGATGTCCTTCTATTTGCTGCCCATAAATGGCCGATGTCTAAGCCAAGTCTGGTGGCTGAGTCAAAGGATATGTTCGACCAGAAAGCTAGTAATAAGTATTGGATAGATGTCCAACTTCGATGGGGAGACTATGACTCCCATGACATTGAGCGTTATACTAGGGCCAAATTCATGGATTATACAACAGACAACATGTCTATCTATCCATCTCCAACTGGTATCTGTTGTTTTCTCAGTTCTGCGTCCTGAAAATTCTTTTCTTTCCATGCCATTTCGTTTTTTAGTTATTGAATCCTTGCAGGTGTAATGATTGGGCTTGATTTGGCGTACAACTTGCATTCAACCTTTGGTAACTGGTTCCCTGGTTCGAAACCTCTGCTTGCTCAAGCAATGAACAAGATAATGAAGGTACACTCAAAGAACTTATGTATTGAGTTCTCTTTACTGATCTGGTCCTTTTCTTTTTCATATTTGACTTATTTTTCTTTCTGTAAACGACATTGACATACCGTTTAAATCATTTAATTTAACAGTCGAATCCAGCTTTATACGTCCTAAGAGAGCGAATAAGGAAAGGTCTGCAGTTATACTCTTCTGAGCCAACAGAGCCATATCTGTCATCTCAAAACTATGGTGAAATATTCAGCAATCAAATTATATGGTTTGTCGATGATACCAACGTCTATCGTGTTACAATTCACAAGACATTTGAAGGAAATCTAACCACGAAGCCAATTAATGGTGCTATCTTTATTTTCAACCCAAGAACTGGGCAGTTGTTCCTGAAGGTGTTTTCTCCACCCTGACCTCGTTATGAACATGTACATATATATATATATATATTGGTGCCTGGTGTTGCACACATGCATGGGTTTGTGCATGTTTATACATCTGTAGATACTTACATGCAGTGGTGTTTAAAGTGGTTGGCTTTGTGTCGCTCTAGGTTATTCATACAAGTGTTTGGGCTGGTCAGAAGCGTCTTGGTCAGCTAGCTAAATGGAAAACTGCAGAAGAAGTTGCTGCTCTTGTGCGATCCCTACCAGTTGAGGAACAACCAAAACAAATTATTGTGACACGTAAAGGAATGTTGGATCCCCTGGAGGTCCATCTGCTTGATTTCCCCAACATTGTTATTAAAGGAAGTGAACTCCAGCTTCCGTTCCAGGCTTGCTTAAAGATCGAGAAATTTGGTGATCTGATTTTGAAGGCCACAGAGCCACAGATGGTCCTTTTCAATATCTACGATGATTGGTTGAAAAGTATATCTTCATACACAGCTTTTTCGAGGCTCATTCTAATCCTTCGTGCTCTACACGTGAATAATGAGAAGGCTAAGATGCTATTAAAGCCTGACAAGACTGTTGTCACCGAGCCGCACCACATCTGGCCTTCCCTCACTGATGACCAATGGATGAAGGTAACTCCGCTGTCACATTTCACTTTGTTTTTGGTCTATCCGTTTTAACTTTTTCCTGCACTGTTTATGTTACTTTCTCACCTTACATCAGTTCTTGCCCGCATTTCTACTGTTCCCTTTTCTTTAAATGCTTCTGCATCTTCTCTTTGTTTTATGTTTCCTAATTTATCCATGTTTTATTCAGGTGGAGGTTGCTCTTAGAGATCTCATTCTTTCCGACTATGCAAAGAAGAATAATGTGAATACATCAGCCCTGACACAGTCAGAGATCAGAGATATTATACTCGGAGCTGAGATCACACCGCCATCTCAACAGAGGCAACAGATTGCTGAGATTGAGAAACAGGTACTTTGTTGTTACCCCGGTCATATCTGTAGCTAGTTTTTGTTCTGCCTTTGTGATTTGTTCCCCTGCTGCAGGCAAAGGAAGCGAGCCAGCTTACCGCCGTCACGACGAGGACCACAAATGTTCATGGTGATGAACTCATTGTCACCACCACAAGTCCCTATGAGCAAGCTGCATTTGGTTCCAAAACAGATTGGCGTGTACGTGCCATATCAGCTACCAACCTCTACCTTAGGGTCAATCACATATATGTCAACTCAGACGACATCAAGGTAAATCTAGGGTCAATTTTCAGTACAGTATCTCAGCTGATCTCTCCCTAAACCCCCCGATTCTTATCGTGTACACAGGAAACTGGATACACTTACATTATGCCAAAGAATGTCTTGAAGAAGTTCATATGTATAGCAGATCTCCGAACCCAAATTTCTGGTTATTTGTACGGAATAAGTCCACCGGATAATCCCCAGGTAAAGGAAATCCGATGTATCGTGATGGTCCCACAGTGGGGTACTCACCAGCAAGTCCATCTGCCATCAGCTCTTCCTGAACATGAATTCTTGAACGATCTTGAGCCTCTGGGATGGATGCACACACAGCCGAACGAGCTTCCTCAATTGTCTCCACAGGTATATGCTCTCGTTCATCTTCAAACATACGTTCTTTTTTTTTTTTTTCCTTTCAGCCTAATGAATTGTTGGGTATGTGCAAAACAATGATGGCAGGATGTAACATCACATGCACGGATTCTGGAGAACAACAAGCAATGGGACGGAGAGAAATGCATAATATTGACATGCAGTTTCACACCGGGGTCGTGCTCGTTGACGGCATATAAGCTGACACCAAGTGGATATGAATGGGGAAGGCTGAACAAGGACACAGGCAGCAACCCTCACGGTTACATTCCCACCCACTACGAGAAGGTTCAGATGCTATTGAGCGATAGGTTCTTCGGGTTCTACATGGTAAACGAAAAAAAAGAAAGAAAAAGAAAACCCTCTTTTTTTTTATGTAGACATGTTTTTTATGTCATATAAACAAATGGATTCTTTGGTGTACGATATTAGGTGCCGGAGAACGGGCCGTGGAACTATAACTTCATGGGAGTGAAGCACACGGTGAGCATGAGATACAGCGTGAAGCTGGGGACACCCAAGGAGTACTACAACGAGGAGCATCGGCCCACGCACTTCCTGGAGTTCAGCAACATGGAGGAAGGTGACCTTGCCGAGGGAGACCGAGAGGATACCTTTGCCTGACAAAAGACGCTCCTTTTCCTCATCTCCTTTGTTATTTTTGTACCATCGGCCCTCTCTCTTCACTACAGGAGGAACCACCTATGCGTTAGCCATCGTTCTAGTTTGTAATAATCGTCCTACATAGTGAGCAGAGCTGATGCAAGAAAGAATGTACAGAGTAAGCTTCTGAGTACTTTCCTATTTACGGAAGGAGTGTTCATGGTTTTAGCATTTGAGAAGAGATTATTGGATAATCGTACAAACATTAATTGTAATGGGGCTTAAGCATCATTGATGGTGGTGTGGTGAACAGACGTACCTAAGGATGAGAGAGAGAGAGGTGAAGGTGAAGGTGAAGGCCGAGATAAGCGACTTCAACAATTTTAATATAAAATTTTTATATTTCGATCTTTTCCCATTCCTACTAGCTCTGATCCGAGCCTGAATAATTCATCTTGCTGCACACTGATCAGATCGAATAGTTTGATACCCACACATCAATTTACTTGCCTGTTTTTTTTTTTCCAATATCAATTCATTTTATATGAGACAGTGTCAAAGGTATTGAATCCAGAAGATGTGTTTCCGGGCAATTTATTTATTTAATGTAATCCAGAATCAGAGCCATCACCCGGAGAAGGGAGATTCCACAGATTTAGCAAACTTACACAAGTACAGGAGACATCGCAGATTGAATGTCAAAATTACATTAAAAAGTATAAAAAAAAAAATCGAGTGTACTAAAGGGTAGAGAGAAAAAAAATACTAAGAAAAGAAAAGGAAAGGTAAGATGACGTCAGGGGTTACTAAATTCAGCGGTAGCTACGATAGGAAGGGCTGTACATACAGCTCTCCGCGCATTGCACCAGATCTTTCGGCTGAGGCAACCTCGTTGCCAACCCTATAATATATCATAGCCATGTGTATAGTTTCGTCACGTCATTTTTTTAAACCCAATCTATCAGTAACCCATACATACATACATACATATATATATATATATATATATATATATATATATATATATGAAGCCAACTCACTCACCGAGTTCATAAGCCTTGGACGCCACCTTTGCAGCGATGCGAGCTGAGATCATTCTGATATTCTTAAAGGGAGGGAATATCATTCCCTTCTCGAAGTGCTCCTCTGCCAGCTGCTCAGCCAACGCTTCCGCTGTAACAAAACATCACATTCTTCATCAGTCAATATACAGCCGCATATACACACATCCACTTGCAGGAGCTCTTGTCCCCCTCTAGATATGTTTTACTTACACGCCGCCAGAAGCATGTCATCATGAACACGGATTGTCCCCGACATTATTAACCCCAGTCCAAACCCCGGGAAGATGTACGCATTGTTCGCCTGCCCAAATCATTACACAGACGGACAGAGAAATGGGCCATCAGGCGGAAATTCTCTCAGGCTTGCTTACTTCTATCAAGGTTTTTTTTTTTTTTGTATTAATCACCTGTCCAGGCACAATCGTCTTTCCGTTGTACTCTACAGGGGGAAATGGGCTCCCGGTAGCAAAGATTGCCCGTCCCTGCGAATCGAAATGTTGAATTTAGAAAACCAATTCTCCTTCTCTCTGATTATCAGAGGGAGATAACAATAGAGGGCAACTCATTCACCTGACTCCAAGTATAGGCCTCTTCTGCAGTGCATTCTGACTGGGAAGTCGGGTTTGAAAGAGCAAGAATGATAGGTTTCTGTATGCAGCAACATTAAACTTTTGGTCAGGATAATGCTCGTCCAGCAAAGGAAATCATGTCCAAGCATCTCCTAAAAAAAATGTACCTCATTCAGGTCTGACATGGCTTCTACCACATCTTGGGTGAATGTTCGGCCCACTCCTGATGTTCCGATCAGAACTGTTGGCTTGATTGCCTGAGAGGAAAAAGAGAAGGGGAGGGTGTGTCGATACATGAGAATCACAAAGAAAATGTGTCCACATGGGCATGCGATACTGTGATGCTGTACAAGAGGGGGGGGGGGCAGAAGAAAGAAAAAATGCACCTTCACAGCATCAACAAGTTCCTTTATGGGTTCGTGATCATGAGCCCAGGGCTTTTTGAAATGTTGAACAGATTCTTTGCGCGAACTGACAATTAATCCCTACATAGATTTGAACGTGTTGTTACGGAAATCAGCCAAAGGAGAACAAATAGTTGGGGAAAAAAAAAGTACACAGGTTGTATATTACCTTGGAATCCACAAGCCATATATTCTTCCGAGCCTCTTCCAGTGGGATTTTGGACTGCCGCCATATTTTTCATATAACTCAAACATATGAGAAATGGAAAGCTATACAAGCTTATGGAGTCTTATTACCTTTTTCGATATCTCAAGAGCTATAAGTTCAGCTATTCCGGTGCCAGCCTGCATCACAACGAACAAATGGAAATCATCCTCGTAAGTAACTACAAAAATTTCGTCACGTGAAATCCCTGGAAAAAAACCAAAAAAGTAACATAGAAACATGTTCCTGACAGAAAGGCTAACCTCTCCAGCACCAAGGAAGAGAAATCTATGATCTGCTAGGGATCCACCAACAAATTTAAGAGCCGAAATGAGACCAGCAAGAACCACTGATGCCGTGCCCTGTTTATAAAGCCAGAAAATAACCAGATATATCTGTATCCATAGACAAATTGACCTAACTTGATTTGGAATTTACCTGAATATCATCATTGAAAACGAGATGAGTTGTTCCATATTTAGCTAGCAGATCGAAGGCATTATGGTTTGCAAAGTCTTCAAACTGCAATTTTATCAATGCAACATCTCTTAATACGAGAAAACAGAAGAAATACATCACAAGGAATCTAAGTAGCAGATTGACGATGTTGATGTATGCCCAAATCCAGGAGTCCAGCTAACCTGAACGAGAACTTTCTCACCATAGTTCTGCTTGACTGCCGTCATGAATTCATGTATAAGTTCTGAGTATTCCTGCAGAAAAAAAAAAGAGAATAGAGGGTTCATGTGATCTTAGTATTTTTTCCTTTTCATAAATATAGCTGAAAGCACAATCAGTATCATGCAAGGACCTCTCCAGTAGCTCTCCTTTGGCGAAGCCCTATGTAAAACTCATCGTTCAACAGCTTCTCGTTATTTGTCCCAACATCAATTGTCACGGGAAGACACTGGTAAACAACAAATACAAATACAAACATGAGAAAAAGAATGTGGTAAACTTCGATTGATTATCCACAGGAGTTGCCCACACAGATACGTACAGCAGAGGGGCGGACACCTCCGAGTGCTGTATACAGAGAAAGCTTCCCAACCGGTATTCCCATTCCCTGAGGAAAATTCAGTCATGACAATGTAACTGAAATAGGCTTGCAGGGATAGATCATGACAATCACTTTCACGGCAGCAGAAAATGGAAAAAGGAGATAACTTGCCTGACATCCAAGATCCCCTAACCCTAAAATACGCTCCCCATCAGTAACAACAATGACCTGGATGTTCTTCTCGGGCCAGTTTCTCAGCACCTCAAGGATCTTACCCCTAAAATAGAAAGTCATACCCTCAGTTACCAAATGTAGCTACAAGACAATAACATCATCAGCTTAAAGAAAAACAAGGGAAACTCACTTCTCCTTCAAGCTGATAAAAAGACCCTGTGGACGCAAGAAAATGCTGCCATACTTCTGGCAGGCTTCGCCTACCGTTGGAGTATAGACAACCGGCAGTAACTCTTCAACATTCTCTATGAGAAGCTTGTAGAACAGTCTCTCATTCGTCTCCTGGGATCGCAGAAAAATCCCAATTATCAGATTCAACCCTTTGGACTTTGTTCCGGACGGAGAAATGGCGGAAGAGAAAATGATTACCTGGAGATCCATCATAGCCATGTACCTCTGCAGTGGAATTTGATATTGGCGGAGATTATGCATCAACTTCTTAACCTGCCCATAAGATACCAAAGATGAAATATTTTCTTCCCATCAAACACTCGGTTTACGTTGGTGAAGATATCAATGGACCTGAAGATCCTGAGAGATGACAGTGGGGGGGAGAAGACCGCGCAGAAAGTGAGCGTCCCTCTCCCTGTCGCTGAAGGCAAGCCCCTTGTTGTGATGAGGATCACGCAACAGAGTGTACCCACTGCAATCATAAAGAATCGAGCTCGAGAAACATGATGATGGTACAGATCTGAGCGAAAGGTAAGAAAAGGAAAGAGACGAGACCTGGCGACGGAGAGGGACCAAGGAGTGACGGGGAAGTCCTCGGTGGCAGCGTCCTCTCCGTAGACGTCCTGAACTCCGCCGGATACGGTGGTTTCACCGACGGAGACCTCGGAAGATGCAGTCTTCTCCATCAAAACCTGGTTAGGTCCCTCGCCGGCGATTACCCTTAAGAAAGCTGGAGCTGGTTTTGCCTGGCGGGAAGAGAAAAGGGTGCAACTCCCAGGAAAACTCGTCTTGATCTGAGGAACTCAGGGAAGAAAATTCACATGAAATGAATCGATTGTGGATGAATGGATGAAGAATAAGGGGAAGGGTAAGCGTAGATATAGATACCAGACACGAGGAGAGACTGAGTGAAATCATGGTGAAATGCCGAGATGAGAGAGAGTCGTACGCCTCAGGCTGCGTCCTTGAAACTCTTATATATGGAGGAGGACGAGACGGAGAGGGTCTTCAGCGCTGAAACCTCTCTCTCTCTCCTTCGCTTTCTCTCTCACGCAAAATCTGGGAGCTGCGCAAATGGCATCGAACCTCCATGGAAATGCATGACGTGTCTTTATTTTCGCTTTCTTTTAATTTGCATCTCCGCTCCCTATTCTCTCTCTTTATTCCATAAAATCCCCCAAACAATCCTTAATGTCAAAAAGGTCCCTTCATTTTTTTCCTTTTCGTCTGTGTCGGGTCAAAATATTATTTAATGGATAAAGGGTTGAGTTCGCTGAACAATTGCATCCGATTATTAATGCTATTATGCTATTACCATATCCATTATACACCTCATGGTATACAATTTACATCTATCATGACGTGAATTTTAAATAGAAATTGATGTTATTTCCAAGTTTCTTTTTAAATAAATAAACTTGTGAGTGTGGATAATGTATCTCATTGAAAATAAGTTTACCCTATAAATGGTTTGTTTTTTTGTTAATATAGCCAAAAAATATAAACTTTTTAATTTTGATAAATAAATATATAAACTTTTAATTTTGTATAAAAATACACAAATTTTTAAAAAAAAAAATCACGTAAATTCACACAAAATGTAAATGGAGTTATTGTTTGTATGGGTTTATGGAAAAAAATCAAAATGATTATATATTTATTTATCAAAAAACAAAATGAAAAAAATTCATTATTTTTTTTTAACAGGAAGAAAATGGAGAGAGAGTCCAATGGGCCTTTATGAGAAAGCTTGAAAGGGTAGGTTTGGCGAAGAAAAGGACCAAGTGGGCCCTACCAACCCATCAAAACCTCCGCTGCCAATTTGTACATTGAAATTGACGGCAAAATAAATAAATAAATAAATAAAATATAGTAAAATGGTCGCATCTTATGATGTTGTTTGGTTTGGACGCCTTTTTAATTATATATATTATTTAGGGAAAAAACCCTAAAAATTCCTGAACTTGTATTTTGGAGTAATATTAATTCCTAAACTTGTAGAGGTGCCTATTAATTCCCAAACTTGCAAAATTGAACACGTTAAATGCTGAACTTGTTAAACGGTTCCATATTCGTCCATAGCGTTATTTGGTCAAAAAAACGAGTTGATCGATCCGACGTGGCGCGTGACGTGACGAGCCACGTCGGATCGGTCAACTCATTTTTTTGACCAAATAACGCCATGGACGAATATGGAACCGTTTAACAAGTTCAGGATTTAACGTGTTCAATTTTGCAAGTTTGGGAATTAATAAGCACCTCTACAAGTTTAGGAATTAATATTATTCCAAAATACAAGTTCAAATTTTTGTAGGGTTTTTGTGAATAAAATATGAGTATCTTTTAATTTCTAAATTGTTTATGAATTGTTTTAGAAAAAATTATATTAAAAAAATATTTCTAAATTAAATATATTTTTTAATAGTTATGAATATGTAATCAAACTGTGAAAACTAAAAATAAGATAATAAAATAATGTGATGGAAGAAATGCACATCGAGCACATCACTATAATTTATTTATTTAAATAGATTATTCTAATAGTCCTAAATTAAGTTAAACCAATTGAATTAACAAAACATTTAATCAACGGTACGTTCTTATCCAAAAATCTGTTTATTTATTTATTTACTTTGTTTTTATTCATACAAAGTTTTTATTTAATTATTATTTACCTTGTTTTGTTTTGGCAAATTAGTGGTTCTCAATTCCGGGTCAATGCTAAATTGTACTCAAATAATTTTCTTCGTTCTTTCTACTCTTCCTAACGAGATTGAAAATCATATTTAATCTCATATAATTTCTACGATAAATGAATATTTATTCAAAAGAATAGTTCATAATTTTATTTTCATCCACAAACTGAGAAAAAAGAAATACAAGTGGAAAAAATATTCATTTGAATGTTGAGACTTTTTTTTGGCAATGTTATTAGTTTATACTGGGAAAATATTTTTAAAAAATACATATCTTAATTAAGCATATAAGTTTGGTAGTTTCACGTTATTTACCCTCTTTCATTTTTTCCGAAATTTTCTTACAGAAATTTAAATAATATATTAGTATAATTTCTTTGCTCTTAATCCAAACATTAAATTACAAAAAAAAAGTTTGAAATTTTAAAATAATAAACATAATCAAAGGCAAGAAAGAACAATAAAAAAACCTAAAAATTCTTAAATTTATAATTTGAAGTAATATTAATTCCTAAACTTGAAGAGGTGCCTATTAATTCCTAAACTTGCAAAATTGAACACGTTAAATCCTGAACTTGTTAAACGGTTCCATATTTGTCCATGACGTTATTTGGTCAAAAAAACGAGTTGACCGATCCGACGTGGCGCGTGACGTGGCGAGCCACGTCGGATCGGTCAACTCGTTTTTTTGACCAAATAACGCTATGGACGAATATGGAACCGTTTAACAAGTTCAGGATTTAACGTGTTCAATTTTGCAAGTTTGGGAATTAATAGGCACCTCTACAAATTTAGGAATTAATATTACTCCAAAATACAAGTTGAGGAATTTTTAGGGTTTTTTCCCTATTATTTATTATTTATACCAAAGCTAAGAAAATCAATTAATTTACTGTGTGTGTGTTGGGCTGTAATGTAATCTCTGTTTTCAGGGGACGGAAACAATTTCAAAAAGAGAGTCAATATTATTGGCGCGGCTTCGGTATTATGTACACAAACCAATAATCTAACACTTGCATTATACATATGTCATATATATATATATATATATATATATATATATATAAAGTAGGCTTTTGGTGCTGGATCCATAATGGAAAGTGAACAATTGATACGAAAAATTACCAAATTTTGTTGCAATATTGTTTATTATATATATGGTATCAAACACGCGTTCTTCTCTATTAATACGTGTAAAACTTCATCTTATTTAATTACGTATGTTGTAATGGAAATACCCACTTTTTTAAATATCAAGTCCACAAACTTAACTCATGGTTTTCTACTCTTATAATAATATAAAACTTTAATAACATTTTAAAATATTTTTTTATAATTCGAAAAATTCACTTAACTTCGCTCCTATATTATTTTTCAAAAGAGTGGTGATGTTTCCCTCCAACTGAAAACTCGAATTTAAAATAAAAAAAATTGTTTCATTTAATTTCGGATATTTCAAAACAATTATTTATATTTCAACTCTACAAAAAGCATCGTCACTCATTTCCAGTCGTTTTCCCTTTGATAGTTTCCTTAGTTCATAAACTTCCACACATTTTTTTTTTTTTAAATATATCGCGATAATATTTTTGTTTTGATATAAAGAACTTTTATCTTCGTACTTTTTCTATTTTTTATATATTTATTTATTTTCATTTTTATAAGAAAAGCTACAACCACGAATCCCCTCCTTGTTATCTCATATGCAATCAGACCGTCGTCTGACTTTTTCCGAGGTATGGCCATATACATGATGAGGTGCACGTGCTGCATAAATTATGATCCATCTTGTACCTCCAACTTCTACCATTTTTTTAGCCCTCTTCCTTCGCTTCATTTTTTTTATCAAAATCTTATTTTTTTATCTGTTTTGATGCCAACTGAAAAGTGTATATATATAAAAAAAAATACAAGGAAATTTTATTATTATTATATGAGGTATAATTGAAAACCAAAATTCATTTGAAACACCCATCCAAATTTATCTCAGTTTGATCTCTTGATTTTTTTTTTTCTCTTACTCTTCTTACAGAATTTGATTTACTCTGTATTTTTTTTTCTTTTTCATTTGTCTTCTATATTTTTAAAAAAACGTGTGAAACAACAATTCCTTTTAAAGAAAAAAAAACAAAGGGATGGCAACTTGTAAGTGGGCTGCGGTATCACTGTTTAAGGCCCATTCGAATATGGGCCGAACGACGGTCCAATTATTTAAGCGAATGGAAAGGGCAAAAAAAAAGGGATCTATTTTTATTTTATCTAAGCAAACGAGATAGCATTACATTACATTCGAGCAAAGGCCGAGGGTGTTTGGTCGGTTATCTTAGACAAACAAAAAATCAAAATTAATGAGCAAAGCAGGATAACGTGTGGCGGGAATATGTATATTACATCGGGGGAGGGTTCAGATTCAGAGAAGGAGAAAGCCTCTATCTGGTCTGGAAGTTTAGGGTTCTGATGCAGAAGGCGAACATGAAAGCGAAGAAGACGGTGAAGGCGATGAGGACAGCGGCGACTGGTCCCATGAAGTCAGACTCGAAGCCATACTGGTCATTGATGTATTGCTTGACGGTGAGATTGGCCGGACCACCCAAGACGGCGATGGGTGTCTCCACGTCTCCGTACTGGGACACGATCAGTCCGTACACGGTCCAAGCCACGGGGCAGATCCAGTAGTACCAAATCCACCACTTTGGAATCCTGGGTCTGGGGATGAAGAATCCGGAGAAGAGATTGAAAATTCCGTAGAAGGCGGCTGCGAAAATGGAGGCGACTTGCTGGTTCGGTGTGATGGAGACGGTCATCATGCCGTAGTAGGTCCAGTAGAGGAAGGAGAAGAAGCTGACGAAGTAGAACCAGAAGAACTTGGCGGCCGTCCACTCGAACCCGATCATGGCGTAGACGATTAGAGAGTAGTAAGTGGTCTGGACCAGGACGTACGGAACCTCGCACGTCACCTGTGCTATGGCGTATGGCATGGCCGAGTACATTCCAGCCGCTTTTTCTCTGTAGAACACCGTCCTTTCCACCGCCACCATCGGCTGTACAGTCGAACAGTTGTTGATTCCCACAAATATAACCGCCGCGTATAGAGCTCCTATCACCATGGTAAGGTCTGCTGCGGTTGACCTGCATTCATATACATACACACATATATATAAGTTTCATCATTGTATCGTATACTATATAGCACGGAGAGGAACTCAGTCAGATGTGATACATACCTGTTACCTCCTATTTGCCAGAAGATGGAGCCGATCATAAGTGAAGTGGCCAATGTGAAGAAGAAACGGACAAGGTTGTAGTCAGGAGATCTCCAGTAGGTCCACCACTGTTTCCACAGACAAGATTTGAACTGTCCCCATGTGTTCTGTGAGAACTGTGTCGCAAAGTAAAGATCAGACGCTCCTGCCGGTGGAACACTCAGTTCTTTCACCAATGCCTTGTTTCGCCTGTTGTGCCATCATCCAACAAAAGACCCATTATTACATTAACCAAAAGGTGGAAATTTCATGGATGCCCAAGAAAGATATGGAATGGATAATGAACTTACTGAAACAAAGACGATGACTTGTAATACTCAGCAAAGTCCATCCCAAGCTTGACTTCAGCGGCCACAGAGCTGACTTCTAACATCCAAGTGGCGGGATTGTACTTGTCCGGAATCTTGGGAACTCCGGCAACCGCTTCGAAGTACTCAACCACCTTGTGAGAGTTTCGGCCTAGAGGACCCATGTAGATAACTTGTCCACCTCTCTTCATCAACAGCAACTCATCAAATGCCTCGAAGATATCGATGCTCGGCTGGTGGATTGTACAGACGACTGTCCGACCAGTGTCAACCGTGTTTCTGACGGCCCTCATCACGATTGCTGCTGCTCTCGCATCCAATCCTGAAGTCGGCTCGTCCATGAATATGATCGAAGGATTCGCCACGAGTTCCACTGCAATTGTCAATCTCTTCCTTTGCTCTGTGGACAGCCCTGTAACTCCAGGTAACCCGACTATTGCATCCTTAAGGTTGTCCAGCTCTACCAGGTCCATCACTTGGTCTACAAACATCTGTTCCATAGGCAACAACAGTTCAGTTCAGTTAAATCATACAATTGTTTCCTCTGTTTAGTATACATATATGTATATAGATACTGATTCCATACCATCTTTTCGTCTTTGCTAACTTCTTTGGGAAGACGGAGGAAAGCAGAGTAAATCAGTGATTCTCTGACAGTAACTTGTGGGGAATGAATGTCGGTTTGCTCACAATATCCAGAGATTCTAGCAAATGTCTCCTGATTCTTGGGGAACCCAGATATTCTGACATCACCTTCGATATATCCACCGGTTTTCCTTCCAGCCAAAACGTCCATCAGTGTTGTCTTGCCGGCACCACTGACCCCCATGAGAGCGGTCAAGACTCCAGGCCTAAACGCACCAGTCACATCATTAAGAAGCTGTAGCCTATCGTCTTGAACTCCTTGATCCCTCATTTCCTGTTTCATTACATATACATAGATGGAATCTTCTGTCAGAATCTAATGGGGAAAAAAAAGTTGGGTGGAAGTTTTTGGAATGTAAGATGAGAAGGATGGTTATACCGCAGGCATGTCGACAAAGTATTTGACACTGTCAAATGACATAGCCAGAGGAGTGAAAGGAAGAACCATTCCTCTCTTAGGGGCAACCGCATTGGCTGAGTCCGCGTTTCTGCCCATTCTTTCCATCGGGATGTCTCCTGATAACAGTACAATATGAGATAAGAGAGAAAAAAGTATGGAAAAGGACAGAACTTTAGTGAAGATTCAAAAAAAGGCGCTCACTTTTGTTCCCATCAGCAGTAGACAGAGATCGGCGCATGGGATCTGTCTCAGATTCTCCATCTTCCTCCTCTGGAACCAATGCTTGTGGCTTTCCAAGGGCTGTAGTTTGAAAGAGAAATCATTGCAAAGAATGTTATATACATACATACATACATACATACATACATACATATATGTATGTTTAGCCAAATGACACACTGATACGAAGTTAGTAGGATGATGAAAACTTACGGTTAAGATACATCAGGGCTAAAGTGAAGAGAACGTTGAAGAGAAGGATGAAACCCAGAAGGGCAGCAGCTCCGATCCAATACCAATTCTTATCATCGAAAACGTCGAAGTTCTTCAGCACCTGGGTTCCTAGCCTTGTTGTGTTGTCGAATGCCTGCAAGTTCAAATTGTACAAAGTGGGTAATCAGTAAAGATATGTAAGAACTGAAAGCTGTTCTTCAAGGGTAAAGTATGTCGGAAAATGTACCAGTCTGTTCATCCATCTGGGAGCCAACATCTCATTCACGGAAATGGCGTTGAAAGCGTAGGAGAGAGGGGAAACCCAGAAAGCCCACCTCCACCACACAGGAATCTCACCTGGAATGAACGAATGATGAATTTTAAGAAAGAACCCATCAATTATATTTTGAAAAAATATATATATATATGAGGAGAATTTCTGGTACCTCGAGGAAGAAGGAATCCACCGAGCAAGAAGATGAGAAGGAGAGTGAGAGCTCCACCAGTGTTAGCAATGATCATGGTTCTGCAGACAGAGGCGATAAGCCTGAAGATCCCAGCAGCCATTTGCTGAATCAGAAACACCAGAAGGAACTGCTTGAAGAACCGACTGGCCTCTGGTGCGAACCCAATCGAGTAATACGTCACCACCATCCACGCCAACGACTCGAAGATCGAGATTGGGATTCCCAACAAGAAGGTCGGAAGCGTGAATGTCCATGGCGGATGAAACAGAAGATCCCTCTGCTTATAGAAAACGGGTAATCTCTGAATCGTCATCGCCATCTCTGCAAACCCGTTAAACATGTTAATGATCATCGCGAAGAGCAAAGCTCCGATGTAGAGGGAGGCATCTCCCTCATTCCTCCTGTGCATTTCTGTCCTGAGGAAGAGCTTACATTAACCAAAAGGTGGAAATTTCATGGATGCCCAAGAAAGATATGGAATGGATAATGAACTTACTGAAACAAAGACGATGACTTGTAATACTCAGCAAAGTCCATCCCAAGCTTGACTTCAGCGGCCACAGAGCTGACTTCTAACATCCAAGTGGCGGGATTGTACTTGTCCGGAATCTTGGGAACTCCGGCAACCGCTTCGAAGTACTCAACCACCTTGTGAGAGTTTCGGCCTAGAGGACCCATGTAGATAACTTGTCCACCTCTCTTCAAACAGCCACTCCTTGTCCCAACTGGCCTTGAGAAGTTCCATTTTCGGGATTGAGAACTTGTCGAAAACCAGTGCAGCTTTGTGGCCGCGTGACTTGTCGAACGGTACGGACAGTTCATTGTGGAGCTGCTTTCCGACATGGAAGCTCTTGAACCTGCTTGCAAACTCTGAGACAGGAATGTATCTGTACGGCCTGTTCTGGTCTGCCCAGTATTGCTCCTGGTCCTTCTTGGACGTGACCTGATCCAAAAAAAAGTTTTTTTTTTGTGTGAGCTTGCTTCTTAGCACAAATCCAAAAAAGTAAAAAAGGGTTTATTTGTTCTCTCATTCACCTCTTGCAGGAAATCAGCAGTTCCTTTTCTTTCAGGGCATTTGAATCCAAAGCTTTCGAAGAATTCAAGAACATGGTCGCGGGGTCCTTGGTAAACGATCTGACCTTCGGACAAGAGAAGAATGTCATCGAATAAATCGAAAGTCTCGGGGGCAGGTTGGAGGAGAGACATGAAGACAGTGGCGTCAGTGAGGTGAACGATCTGCTGAAGACACTTGACGATCTGGAAGGTAGTGGAACTGTCGAGGCCGGTGGATATCTCGTCCATGAAAAGGGTCTTTGTCGGTCCAACGATCATCTCTCCGGTCGTCACACGTTTCTTCTGACCTCCGGAGATTCCCCTCATCATCTCGTCCCCAACTATGGTGTCCTTGCATATGTCCAGCCCCAGAATCTGTTTCCAGTTTCCGTATTAGTCATCTGGACAGTTATTACAACATCTACATATAGGAACTCTGATAGTATATCAACTCACTTTGAGTGTGTAATCTGTTACGAGACTGCTCTTCACGCCTTGAGCTGCTGAGGCCTTCATGAACAGATCGATGTCTGCTTCTGGGAAAATCCCTGCATCTTTTTCTCTCCTCGCCAGCTCATTCAGCAGATCTGTCGTTTGTTCATCACATCACATGATTTTTAACTCGGTTATCTGTTTCCAATCGAAACCCGAATCAAAGTTTTAAACTTTTGTGGATTGGAGTTCAGTAAATTACCATATCTGGTACCAACTCCTTGGCACCTAGCAGAGAAATCAAGGGTTTCTTTCACGGTCATGATCCCGACATGAACATCGTTCTGGCTAATGTAAGCCGAGGTCTTTCTCGGCACAAACTCGTCGAGCTTGTAACCGTTGTACGTTATTTCCCCTGTCACCTCCAGGCTTTTGTCTAGTTTCCCTGCCAACGCTAACAGAAGCGTTGTCTTCCCAGAAGAAGGCGGACCCAACAGCAAGGTCATTCTGCAGCAATTTACAGAGGTGTAAGAAGAAGAAGAGTTCGATTTTTTGCAACCACATAATAATATGTAGTGGTGGACAAAATAAACAAATACCTCGAGGGTTTGATGATGGCAGAAGCATCGTTAAGGATGGTGAGCTTCGTTTTCTTTGCGAACTGAAAGCCGATAATCCCAAGAGCTGATTCTCCGAGGTTTCGCAAAACGTTAAGAAGCGAAGGAAGGGCTCTGTTTCCGATATAGCAGTCGGCTTTCACAGTCAAATGCTCCATCCTTATTTCCACTGTCGGAAGCCGAATCCCAACCCTTCATAGATCACAATCCGACCAACCAAACCAGTGAATCTCCGGCCATGTCTAACTAGCAAAGAGCATCGGTTTTCATTACTTGGGGAAGAAGCAAGTTAGTTACCTGTCGATCCTGTTCCTGAGCTTGGTCAAGAGGCGTTCGTTGTCCTCCTCGGCCACCTTGAAGACGGTGTCAATGAACTTCTGGCGGTCCTCGCCGTCGAGTTTGGTGACGTCGACCTCCTTCCGGAGGATCTGGTTTCCGTACACGTCGTCCTCCACGACGGCGGTCATGATACTGGTCCGGAGGCGGCTGTAGGTGGGGAGTTTCTCGATGGCGGCCCATTTCAGAGCTTCCTCGTCGTCGTTGACGGACTGCGTCCGTCTGGAGCCACTGGAGAATATGTCCTCCAAGTTTCGGCTGGCTCTGCTCACGCTCCGGCTTATGCTCCTCCGCATGCTGCCTCCTCTGCTCGGCTGATTCGCGTAGTATTCCATCCTTCTTCACTTCCCAGATCCTTGGATCTGTATCCTTTTTTCTTCAGACAAAGTTTGTATTGCAGATTGAAAACAAAAAAAGAAAAAAAGGGTTTGGTCTCAGGGGATAGAACTCAAAGGCCAAGAGCGGAAAGACGAGATCTCTGCGGGATGATTGTGTGAAAGATGAGAGAATACGTCTCTCTGTGGAAAAAAATGAATAGAAAGAATCAGTCCAACTCTCTGCTCGGAGATGGTTTCCCATCGAAAGTCAGATTAGAGATGTATAAATAGCGAAATATGCGAATGCGGACCGACGACTTTTCAGACATTAGATATTTCCATATTTAATAATAATAAAATTATAAAATTTTCGCATAGGATGGTTGACAAGGTGTCAAAAGCCTTTGTCTTCTCTGGCAAGTGTTGGAAGATAATTCAAATGCGAGGGGCCTGTGACTACGGAACGGATGGATGCTTCCTCCGCAACTTGTGAAATTCCTTATTATTTTAATCCCAATAATTCCCGGCTTAAAATAATGGGATGGCTATCTTCTCTCATTATTTTTTATTCGTATATTCAAAAAAGAATGCCCAACAAACCAATCAATCGTCCACCTCGACTCAATTATTTTCCAATACTCTATCGATCAAATTGTATCCAATAATGCCCAATATTAAATCATCTGTCTCTCTTTTTTTTTTTATAGATTAGAATATCACGCTTTTAGCACTTCCATGAATTAACACGCATCGATGCAGTGATTAGCCTCCCAGGTATTATTTATTGATGATAAATATGATAGAAATGAGGAGGAGGAGAGCATTATCGTGTTCTAGAACATTAGAAATTGACTTTTACTTATGTATATATGAATTTAACATATAAATATTACGCATATAATTAAAAGAAAACTTACCGTTTAAAAATAATAATAAGACAAGTGAAAAATATGGACCGGGTCGTCGATGAAAATATTAAAATATAATAAAAACAATAAATTCAAATAACGCCGGCGAATCTGAAAGTCTTTCGAATTTAAGAGAGTATTGTGATTGGCAATATTGACCCATGACCCTTTCAATTTCTACGCGGCTACCACCCCCTTTCCTTGGGTTCTTCCTCTCCCTCTCCGGACCGGACCCTTTTTTTTTCCTTCTTCTCTCTTTACTTATTTCTAGTTTAAGGAACTTTTATGACGAAATTGAATTCTAATATATATATATATATATATATATATATATTAGAGATTTTGATTACAAGAACATTGGATCAATTTGATTAGCATGTAGAATTTCGTGAGTTTTTAAATTTAATGTGTTATTTTTCATTTTGTGAATAGTTGCTGTGTCGTCCACTCTAATTAAGAAGGGTCGTCGTTGTTGGAAGAGTCTTTCTATTTTCAATATTAATTTTGGCGCTGAAGATTCTCTCTTAAACTCCTGCATTAATTACCTAATGGCTGCAACAAGTCACGGTCAAATATCACTCTTAATCCGTTGACTTTTCCGCCTTCCCATTGGCCATTGGCTTCCTGCCGGTCCGTGCGTATAGCATACATGCGTCTCCGCGTGTGTGAATAATGGGCCGATTAATTGAAGTGGATACACACAATTTAATACGAGAGAGGAATATATTTATGTGAGAATATGTAATTAAAGTGCTCGAACTGCATAGTTTTAGCCAATTAATCCAATGTCTTGGATTGTAAAAAACAGGCAATGTAAAAAATTATTCCCCCCTTTTTTTTTGTTGGAGTGGGTAAATAAATATAGTTTCTCTCTTTTTTACACACAAAAAAAACTATAGTTTCTCTTCTAGCATGTTTTTTTATATTGTGTGTTCTCAGCATCTGGTTTATTTATAAAAAAACACGTGTGAATTGCATTTGGTCGAATATAAGGGCCTCAAAGAGCAGACGGCTATAAGGTAATGGTTTTGTCATGTACCGGGAATTAGTATTAAATAAATATTTATCAGTTCTGTTATTTTAATTTAATAAAGTTGGGAAATAATATAAAAAAAAAATATCTATAAGGGTTGTTATGCGTCAAGTCAAAGCGGGTAAAGACCGGCGGCGCATTCAACAGAGGACTGTGTCGGTTTCCCATCGTCCAGGAAGAAGTCAAATTTTGAAGCCCAGAGTGATCCGAATAAGCCCACTCTTAACCAAATGAGAGGGTGGGCCCATTAAGATCCAAAGTGTGTTTCCCTTGTTACGAGATTGCTTGTGTTTTTTTTTTTTAATAAAAAAATTCTTCCAGCTAAAAACATGTTTCAAGTAAATTTGAACTTCTCGAATTTAACAAAATAAAATCTCAACTAATTATTTTGTCAAATAAATTCCGAATTCTAATATTGTTATAGAAATAATCTCAAACTTTCAAAACTATATCATATTTAATCCTCTAGAAGGCTTACATAATATTTCAAACGATGACAAATAACGTAACACAACAATTAGTCAAAATCAAAATTAATACGTCATCATTCGTAATGTCGAGGATTAAATATTATATGATTTTAAAAATTCGAATTTAATTAAAGTTTGGGTTTTATTTGTAAAAAAAATAGTTTTGGTTTTATTTTGATAAATATGACAAATTTAAGTATTATTTTTTAAATTTTCCTTAAAAAATATGCAAGTATGGTATAATGACAGCAAAAAAGCAAAAGTTTAAAAATATACAGATATTTGATTGATGATGATAAAAAAAAAAGGGTTAAAAATGATTCTTAAAACGCCTACATTTTCATTGCATGCCATCATTATTGTTTCCTCCCTTTTCTTTCCCCACCCTTCTTTTTTCATTTTCTTTTGAATTGTTTGGACGAAACCTCCAATGGAAACATATACTCAACGAAGAGAAATATCCCATCATCGTCATCGTAAGATACAAAGAGAAGAAAGGCGGAGAAGATGGAGCTTTCATCGCCGGAATGGAAAGCGGAGGAGATCGTCGACTTCAGGGCACCTCCGCCGTCTCCGGTGGCGTCAGGGCGGCGCTCCTCCGTCACCAATGCGGAGGTTCTGTCTCAGTTCATACAGAACTCGGTGAGAGTGCCTGACCTTGTCTTGCCCGACAAGGTCTTCCCCAAGCTGAGATTCATCCAGAACCCTCCCGCCATCGATTTTCTCCAGCTGGGTCCTGGAGAGACCGGCGTCGTCTCGCAGATTCAGGAAGCCATGGCTGCCGTCGGTTGTTTCCAGGTGGTTAACCATGGAGTTTCCGAGGTGGCGGTGAAGGCGGCCATGGCTGACGGAGAAGCGTATGCAGCTCACTCGCTCCGACGACGACGACAGCCAAGACGAGTTCGTGTGGTCCGACGCCCAAAGCTTCATGTCCGAAATGGAGGGATTTCGTCTTCCCGGATATTCCCGTTTCAGGTAATTCACGATCTTAATTTGAAAAAAAAAAACTATCACATTATGGAGTTTTCAGTAATATCTCACAAAAAACGTAAATAAAAAACAAAATAAACTTAAAATCTGAAAGATATTTCACACAAACTCTTACTTAACCAAACGATACAACATGATCTTACATAAATAGAAAACGAAATAAATAATTCCTAATAACCGTCTTTCACTAATTCAAACGAAGAACTAATACTAAAATTATTCCCACAACTTGGTAAAGGTCATGCCACCTTTTATTATAACTTCCCATTTATAGAAAACGACCATATTCTATGTCTCTTATAGAGTAACTTCCAACAACTTTGGCATGATTCTCTCTGTCAGTCAAATGCCAAGAACTTCCATTCTTCATGGTCATGCAGTGAATACCTTGAGCCATCCCGTCCATATATACATATATATATATATATATTATATATATATATAATGTGTTTAACCAAAATTGGAACGTGCAGAGCGTTGATGGAAGAGCTAACAGCAGATGCCGAGAGGATAGGGGATGGAATAGTGAAGGAGATGGTGAGAGGGAGAATAATACCCGTTGAAGGGAAAGGGTCGGAGGAATTCTGATCACCACGAGGAAGAAGACGAAGTGATGAGAATGTTGATAAGAGGGTTCGACCATCCCCATGCCCTCTCCCTCCATTTCTGCGAGGGCTCTTCTGAATTCCACGTCTACTCTAAAAAGGGTTGGATCTGTTTCTGCCCTCTTCCCAATGCTTTGCTCGTCACTCTCGGCGATCAGCTTCAGGTAGCCATCTTCACATTCAACTATAGACAACGATAATATATAAGAATCATATGTCATATATATATGTATGTATATATGCATGGTTTGGAAAGGTATGTAGTGGCGGGAAGTACAAGCAAGTGGTGGGGAGGGCGATATACAAAGGAGATGGAGACGGTGGAGATGAGCTTCGCATTTCAATGGCGTTTCTTTACTCAAGGGTTAAGAAGAGAGACGCAAGTGGAAGGAATCATCGTTACAAGCCTGAGAAGACCATTTCCCTCAGACAACAGCTCCTCTTTGCCCTGTTTCTCTCTCTCTTCTTCCGCCTCTGTTACACCTTTCAATTCTAAAAATATTAAATTGATGTCTTAAAATTCCTATGATATATTTTTTTTTTGGGAGTGTCGGGTTCTTGTTTGTTTTGATTCATAAAATTGCACGTGACGTGTTTAACCAAAAAAAATATTGCACGTGACACAGTTGGGCTGATCATATACCATATTTAGGTCTCCTTAGGCATTTCTTCAGGCCCGGATGGATCCAAGATCCAAATGTTATGTGACCATCCCCCAATTGGGCTTTCGTGATTACTCCGTCGGCCCAATAAAGCCCATTTCAGTAACAAAGGCGGCAACCTTAGATCCAGACCACATTAGCCCATATCTTCTTAGGCATTGGGCCGAGTTTTTTTCCTTTGGGCAAATTTATTTTTTTGATGGTTATGGAATGGACCGTTAGGAAACTTGTTCACTGGTTTCGTAAGTTTGCAAATGGACATCTTTTTACAAGGGGCTAACGTTATCCATTTATGTCATGGACGATTTGAAGATTATACACTATTATATTGTATTGTTAAATAATACAGAAGAGACTGTATTAAACTTAACAAATCATTTCAATTTTAATATATTTTTATTTGGTTTGAATTTTTAATATTATAAATCATTTTCTATAGAACTAAAAATTTGTTTTATTTTTAAATTACGTTTATATATTTAAACTTATTTGATTGACTATTTATAATCGTTAAAGAAGTAAATAAAAGTACGTAAATTAAAACAATACTAAACACTCCGTCTACTAGGAACACATGATTTTTCGATTACAAGCTTATTCGTTCGTCAAATACATATAATTTACAAAAGGCATTAATTTTTTTTTTTTAATGTGCCAATGCCTTGTTTTAGCAATAGGGACTATAAAAAAATGGTAAACGTTCAGACTCTAATAATAGATGGCCTTGTTAACGTTAATAAAGTATTAAAAATATAAAACATTAAAATGGAAATTATAAAAAAAATTATAACGAGGAAGAAAATTTAAAAGGCGAGGCAGCACATGCGAACAATGTTGTGGCCCACGACTCCAAAGCACGTGCCGGTGTTGGCTAGCGGGGACATGCAAGGCACAACGCACGTGTGAGGTGAGTATCATTGGCAAAGCTTGGTCACGGAATCAGATCACAGTCAAATAGAAATCATACACGTGGTTGGTTGGTTGCTCACATGATCCCTGACGCCGCCCCCACCCTTTGTCACGTGCTTCTAAAGCATTAGCTGCGCCCTTTTTTCCTTTTCCATTTTATTTTCATTTTTATTTTTATTTTTATTAAAAGAAAAGCAATTATTCTCTTTTTTTTTAAATTATGAAATTCATTCTTTAAATCAAGACTTTATTTAATCAAACGCAACATCGCAAACAGTAATAATAATAATAATAATAATAACAATGGAGAAATCTTATCCATTATCACCCTTGGACCTGGGAATTGGCGAGTCACCGACCGTGAAATCCTTTTCTTTACCACACACACACTCTACAATAAGAAAAAAAAATATAACAAGGCATAACGTGTTCGCTGCTTTTGTTACATAACATAATCGAATCATTTAAAACCATAAAAATGTAATATTTGGCTATGGATAATAAAATATTAATTTCGATAAATATTATGCTAAAAAAAATTATATATAGTTTATCAGTATATCAACCGGTGATGAAACGGAGATGCAAAGTGTCAATCCCGTTCGAATTTGAGCATCATGTTTGGGAGAGTGTAATTCCAATCACATAAATTGTTTCCGATTCCGATTTTTTTTTTATAACGGATGACCCCTAATTGCTACCATTCGGGCGCGCTGACTAGGTAAACTTCTGACCCGGGAACAGCCTTTGTATATGAACCATATAGACCCAGAAATTACCTGTAACGACCCGAGGCCGCTACGAATTGTCGAAACTGCCCTCACACAGCAACCCGAGACCTTTCAACGTGTTTTGTCCTCACTCGCACACATACCGAGACGCTTCCCAGTAGGTCACCCATCCTGAGATTGCTCCAGAGCCAGCACACTTAACTTTGGAGTTCTCTCGGGATAGTTAACCAAAAAGGTAGGTGCACATTGTTGCTATGAGTAGCTCAACTAATTCTTTTATGTTATCTTAGACCGTATAGTCCCATACCTATACAGCCCTCGGATCTCTCTCATTCCGGTGTGTTCGATTCATCCCTATACCCCCTACCCAGAAGCTCGTCAGGAGCCGCCCCTTGTCCGTGCCTCTGCACCGGCGATCACTCCCCGCCCTCCTACGGTACTCTAGGTTGTCATAGGCCCACCAGCTTCTGCATGGTTCGTCCTCGAACCACACCGTACTGGGAGAGTACCGGCTCTGATACCATCTGTAACGACCCGAGGCCGCTACGAATTGTTGAAACTGCCCTCACACAGCAACCCGAGACCTTTCAGCGTGTTTTGTCCTCACTCGCACGCATACCGAGACGCTTTCCAGTAGGTCACCCATCCTGAGATTGCTCCAGAGCCACCACACTTAACTTTGGAGTTCTCTCGGGATAGTTAACCAAAAAGGTAGGTGCACCTTGTTGCTATGAGTAGCTCAACTAATTCTTTTATGTTATCTTAGACCGTATAGTCCCATACCTATACAGCCCTCGGATCTCTCTCATTTCGGTGTGTTCGATTCATCCTTATACCCCCTACCTAGAAGCTCGTCAGGAGCCGCCCCTTGTCCGTGCCTCTGCACCGGCGATCACTCCCCGCCCTCCTACGGTACTCTGGGTTGTCATATTACCTCCCTCCCCACCAGCCAGGAATCGAACACTCAACCTCAAGGTGAAGTTACCTCTTACCCCAAGCTTCACCACTCGGCCATGACATGTTAGGTTCGACTCCGAAATTAGTTTGGACTTTGACCAAACATACCCGTTTATAAAAAAAACAGTAAATAGAAACTAATGATTTTATATATAAAAAAAAATATTAGCTTTTTCTATTCTAAAAAAGACTACTAGTTTTCTCTTATTTGAAATCATATGAATTCTCTGTTATTATGAATCCCTTTATTTAAATTCATTATTTTTTTTAAAAAAGGGACATTTTTGTAAGGGGTTTGAGTGTATGTATTTGTTTTCCATTATTCGTAGGTGAGTCTAAGGGCTATACAAACAACAAGTGGTTCGGCATTGAGAGCTTTACACGGATAAAAAGGGGTTGAGATCAGGGCGGTTGGTTCGGGTGTGGTTGAGCTGTAACCATCGTGCTTAAACGTGGGTTTCCGAATATAAAAAGTACAATTAAATTAATATCCGTCGTACGTAATTTTGTTATTAATTTATTTTCATATTATTTCTGCCATAAAACAGACACAATTAAACAATAATTAAGCACACAATTTCCAAGGCTAAATGATTAAGGGCAGAGGAATCCTCCTGCTACACAAATTGGACGCTAATGCATCCACCTCATGGTTATAATAGATAATACTCATCCTCTGTCACCTTCTTTTTTTTTTTGGAGCCATTTATTCATTTAATTGATTAAGTATTCTCCTCCGCTCACATTTAATTTATCTCCTAGTGTTTTTTTTGGGGGTTAAAATAATTACCTTTTCAAACCAGTTACTGAGTTAGAAATATATCCCCGAATGCATACAAAATTTGGGTGAATGGTTAGTGGTCGAATTTTCACAGTTTCGGAGTTTTATAATTGGCTCACCTTTCGTTTGATTGGTGGTTAGGATCAATATGTTGTTATTTTTAAATTCGAAACATTTATAAGATAAAATGACATAATATCAAAACTATCCTTATTTTGTTACATGTATTTCACAGCATACTTTTTTTAACCTAATTTTTTGTAACCAATGTGATCAGTCAATGATGGTCACATTAGTCATATAATTTAATGATATGATTAGTGTGACTAGTATAATCATTATATAATTTTAACGGTGTGATCAATGTGATAAATGTAATTCTGAAATAAATTACGATGGTCACATTGATCACACGAAAAATAAGTTAGAAAAGCATACTCTGAAATCCATATAGCGCATAAGAATAATATTTTTCATAATGCACCAAAATAGTATTTGTACTTTTCTTTATCCTCCAAAGTTTTAGATTTAGTCTTTCATATAAAAATAAAACCAAATCTAAATATTACGTAATCTTCTTAAATCTTCTTCATATCTCTTTATACGGCCCCTCAAACTCAAGGAGATGAGAAACAACTGCTTGAGGTTGAATTCTCCAGAAAATAACGGGATTTGACAATCGAACCTAGGAACCGGTGGATTGTTGGCGGATCTGAAAAAGTCCGGTGAAGCAGAAGCGTGGTGCACATGCACGTTATTGTGGTGTAGTGCGACAGCAATGTCGGCAGCGCAAAAGGCGCGATGGTTTAGCGGTTATGCCGGAAATAGAAAATAAATTGTGCAAATGCACGCGGCTAAAGCCGAAAAAAGAAAAAAGAAAAAAAAAGATGGCGCATATGTGCGGATCGACGATCGGAGTATTCCAATCGAAGAGGCTAAAAGTCGGATTCAAAGGCTGATGTGGCACGGATGTGCGGCGCATATGTGCGAGTTGGGTTCCACGACAATGAGGTCGGTATAAAAAAAAGAGTAGCACATCGACTAGGGTTGACAGTGATAAATACCGTCGTCAGGAAAAAAAAATAGAAAAAAAATGAATGGAAGACGATACTCAAATTGATGATACTATTGGAGTTAGTATATCATCGTCATCTTCATTGTCGTTTTCGGATTCAACGAACATCGTTGATATAAAAAAAAATATTTAGAACAGAAACCAGACTCTGATACCATAATAGAGAAAGAGATAGAGAATCATTGGATTTCTCATTATTCAACATATAACATTACAATATTTATAGCCGAAAACAAAATCATAAAATATCTTATTTAATAAATATAAATATCTAAAATATAAAAATAAAACCAAATCTAAATATTACGTAATCTTCTTAAATCTTCTTCATATCTCTTTATAGATGGACATTTTATATTAAAATTTATATTTTGTATATATAAACCATACAAAAAAGTTATTATAAAATCATGTAAATGGGTTTAGAATTGTATAAATAAAATACAATAAACTTCTCATGCGAAGAACAAAAACAAAATCGTCGATTCAAACCTGTATTATCCTGGCCACTAATAAAAAGACCCATGCATGCACGTTATTTACCAAACAAATTCTTTTTCTTTAAAAAAATCACCAAAAAAAACCATATAATCTTCATATGTCGATAAAAAAATCTTATATTTTTTTAATTACCAAAAAAGCCTTATACTTATATATATATATATATATATATATATTCACAGAAATATACTTATACACTTAAAATGTCATACAAAAATACCCTATATTTTTTTATTATCAAACAAACCTTGTACTTTATAAATTCTAGTAAATAAGTCCCTAAACGCAAATTCCTAATAAATACGGTCAAAAATCTGTCTGAACCTAACCCGACCGATATATACCCGAACCGAATCGAACCAATTAAAATAATATACCATATTGGATATGAATATTTAAAATCTGAAATAACTGAATCCGAAATATATAACCAAACTGAACCCGACCGATATATATATATATATATATATATCCGAACCAAATTGAACCGATTAAAATAATATACCAAATAGGATATGAATATTTCAAATTCGAGTGAATCCAATATCATATTCAATCTGGTATATTATTTTAATCGGTTTAATTCGGTTCGGATATATATCGGTTCGGATATATATCGTTCGGGTTCGGTTCAATTATTTCGGGTTTGTTTATTTCGGATTTGAAATATTCATATCCAATTTAGTATATTATTTTAATCGGTTCGATTCGTTTCGGGTATATATTGGTTGGGTTAGGTTCGGACAGATTTTTCACAATATTTTTTTTTCGTTTGTGTTTAGGAATTTATTTGTTAGAATTTATAAAGTATAGATATATTTCGGTGAATAAGTATAAGTATATAGTTTGATTGGTAATAAAAAAAATACATGATTTTTTTGTTTGATATCTGAAAAATATAGATATATTTCGGTGAATAACTATAAATATAGGGTCTTTTTATAATAAAAAAGTATATAGTTTTTTTGTTGATATACGAAGAGTATATAATTTTTTGGGTGATTTTCACAAAAAAAAAAACGGAGGACATACGAATTATTTTCGTCCCTCCTATTATGATTCAAGATAGAAAATAATTCATCACACCCGCATTATTTCAAAGAATTTTTTTTCTATCCATTTGTTTCATTTTATGGTCTGTTTTGTCATTTAATTTGTTTTTTCAATTTTAGAATCACTTGGAAAGAAATTTCTATAGATTTGTGTATGGCAATTTTTTCCTTATGGACCGACGTTTCACGAAATCAACAAGGGGAGAATGACTCATCATGACGTCACTAATCCAGATCGAGAACAGACTCAAGGTTGCATCAATTGGTCATTTGACTGTCTGCGTCTTTAAGGATTTTATTTTTCGAAATTTCGTTATGCAATATATTGTAAAATGCCATTTACATCTTTATTATATCTTTAATTCATATCTTGTTTCCCTAACAAATTAGAAAAATGTCTATAGGTAATTTTGTGTCCGTTCCATTATAGACAGGCTATACTTTGAGTTTACTATAACAGAATTCAAGCACAATAAATGTTATATCTCAAGAAATATTATAAAATTACTAACATATCTTTATTTAAGGTATTATATTTTGTAGAGTTGGAAAATTTTTCTATTTTTATAATAAAAAGTTTAAATTGGTATAATTACTCAGATTTTGTATTGTGATGAAAAAAAATCTAGGGGTGGACGTTCCGCCATACTGAACTGAAAATTCGGTTATTTTCAAATCGAATTTTTTTAAAAATAATTTTTTAATAAAAATCTAAAATTTTCTTAATAAAAACCGGAAACGAACCGACACGAAAACGAAACCAAACTGAATATCATATAATAATCGAATGGTAAATATTTTTGTAAAACTGAAAAAATCGAACTAAACCACTCTCGAATCGAATCCAAAGGGAATATCGAAACATCTAACTAAAACCACATATATTTTTGAAACAAAAGCAAAATCTTAAAACAAGTGGGAGCATGAGTACGCGTTATTTTTTTATTTTACCATACATTTGAATATTTGACACACAAGGTGAATATGCTGGATTTATCGACATTAATTTTCTTTCTTTGAATTTGAGGGATTTTTATTTTCTTTTACGAGCAAAGGTTAACTGATTAGGTATTTGAAAATTAATAATTCGGTCTGTAAAAGAATAAATGTAAAAAAAAAAAAGGTAAAGAAGAAAAAGGAAAAGCTGCTGGCTCCAGGTAGTTCTGTTGATTTTACTTTGAGCAGTAAAAACAGACCAGAGACAATTATAGAGTTAATTAAGCATAAGCTAAATATAATTTGAATTGGGATTTACATACGCGTACACATATACGAGTGGCATGTTTAAAGATGCTTCGAGTTTTATTTATTTACGAATTTGCCCCTCTCCAACTCCTCAAAACCCTCCTCCTCTTGCTTCACTCTCAGAGAAATCTTCACTCTCTACACTGAAATCCCTCCGAAGCAACTCTCTCTTTCTCACCTGATGGAGTTCTACGTCGGGAATTATTTCAGCGGCGTGGCTGAGAAGAACGTAAATTCCGGCGAGAATTTCGCGGTGGAGGACCTCCTGGATTTCTCCAACGAAGACATGATATCGAGCGAAGGAATGTTTTTGGACAACGTCAATGGCAGCTCAACGGACTCCTCCACCGTCACCGTCGTTGACAGCTGCAATTCCTCCTTCTCCGGAAGCTTCGGCGCAGATTCTCAGTTCTCCGGCGAGCTCTGCGTTCCGGTGAGTTTCGATTTAGTTTATCGGTGGAGTTTTTGAAATTTGGATTCCAGAAAGCGTAACTGAAATTCGGTTTGGCGGCAGTACGATGAGGCGGCAGAGCTGGAGTGGCTCTCGAATTTCGTAGAGGAATCATTCACAGGGGATCAGCTGCATATTTTGCCGTCAGGATCCAAACCTCCGACGCCGGAGTCGTCTTCCTCCTCCAGCCGTCTTCCGGGGAAGGCGAGGTCGAAGAGATCACGCGCCGCCCCAGGAGACTGGTCCACGCGCTTCCTACCCCTCTCATCCGAGAAACCGAAGAAGAGAGAGACCGGAGACGAGGGTAACGGCCGGAAATGCTTGCACTGCGCGACGGAGAAGACGCCGCAGTGGAGGACGGGGCCGATGGGACCGAAGACGCTCTGCAACGCGTGTGGGGTCCGCTACAAGTCGGGGCGGCTGGTGCCGGAGTACCGACCGGCCGCAAGTCCGACCTTCGTCTCGACGAAGCATTCGAATTCCCATCGCAAGGTTTTGGAGCTCAGACGCCAAAAGGAATTTCAGGGGCCACAGTTCATCGACCACACCTCTCTCTTCCCGGCCGGAGATGACATCTTCCTTCACCCGTATCATTTGGCTCACTCTCATATTTAATTAGATATTTATTTAAATCACATTTCAAAGTTTTTTTTGTCGTTAATTTTTAATTAGTCTCTTTATTAACAACCCCCTTCTTCTCATCATCTCTAATTTTGTTTTACACATCTCCATGTTTCTTCCAAATGACAAAACCTCAAACAAATGCCGATTTGGATGCCCACTTCCTTCTTATTTGTAATTCACTTTCATCATTCCTCTCTTTGAATTAACAAAAAAAAAAGTATTTATTTTTACCTAAAATATTAAAAATTCGAACAAATTCACGTTATCGTGTACTGTTTTACAAGTGGAAAGGAAATTACAAAATAAATAAATAAATTGCGACCCACCCTTTACAAGAGATATAAATCATCTATCAACATTAGTTTTTGCTCAAAGCATATACAAGTTAAAGAGGGCATTGGATAAATTATGTGTGTGTATAGGAAAAATCACCCAAATAACCCACTTGGGTCGCATCTATTTCAGTGTACCCCATCGAAAAAAAAAAAATTCAATTTTAACCCACTTTTCGGTTTGAAAAGTCTGAAATACCCTTTTCGTTTTATTTTTTGCGACCTTATTACGACTAACATATAACTGATATACAACTAAAATAAGACAGATGATTTTTTTGCCACCTTTTTTAGAATCAATTGTAACTATATTTAGACTTAATTACGAAGTCGTAATAACGAAGTTGTTTTCGAACGGATAAATATCGTAATTCATTAAGGGTAATTTCGTCTTTTCACAGGAAAAAAAAAATGTGTTATGTTTTCGGTGGTGTACAGGTGAAATAGATGCGACCCAAGTGGGTTATTTGGGTAAAAAACCCGTATATATATATATATATATACACGTTTGAAGAAATCATCAGTCACTTCCAATTTATATCAAAATCAACACCAGCTGTCAACAGTACATGTTCAATCCAGTAGTAACTACGGCACCGGTCCACATGGGATATATATGTGTGTGTGTATATATATTATATTATAACATCACAAATTTAGGCCATGTTCACAAACATACCAATTGGCCGTATAAAAAAAATCGAGAGGGTACATAAATATATATATAGAATTGGAAAATTGAGGGCGGGGCACAAGAAGGCATGTGTTTCAGAGCCTGACCCCCCTAACCGAAACATCGTATATGGTACGTAATATCATTGCTTAAATTAATCATTCATAAAGAAAGTACAAGTCCAAGCTTAGGCTCTCCAAACGGAGGGCATGTGCCTTGGATTTTACCAAAACCATACATCATCATCATCATCATCATCATCATCATCATAATAATAGTAGACATTGATTAGGCATCACGTTTCCTTTTTCTGAGTATAATCAGATTTAACCGCATCACCAAGCGCCTCATTTGACGTCAATTTAAGGTTTCATTATAAATTGAGGGGAATTTTTTTTTTAACTTTTACCAAGGATTATTAATTTGCATCATTGGATGTCTGTTAATTTATCACATCTCGTCACTCATGTGGGTTAATAAAACAAATATCCGATTTCAAAAGCCACCGTAAATAAACAGAGCAACTGGTAATTTTTCTCTTCTTTTTTATTTTTCTCATGCAAAATTTAGAAAAAAAAATTACCTAGATAATATATATATATATATATATATATATATATATATATATATATATTTTATTGTGCGCTATATATATAATAATAATAATAATAATAATAATAATAATAATAATAAAGAAATGAAAAGAAAATAAGAAAAAAACGAAAGCTAGGGTGAATATTAAATATATCAACCGGCAATGGAAAGGAATTGGTATAGCTAGGGAAAAAGAACTCCATACGTATATGCATGCATGTGGGAGGGAATACAAAGACGTACAATCAAAGCAAGGTCATGTTTCATTATTATACCATCTACACGATTACAGAATATCCTATTACGGTTGTCCGTACACATCGTCTCCTACTAATATATAGTTTTTCGAAACCAAAGCTACGATACTTCGCGTAGAATACACATGTACGTATACATGTACAAGTGTACGTGTATAGATTTGTAGCATGGCGGTAAAAGAGATTCAGCGTGTATCAGTTGCCGGCGAGAATCTACCGATCAGCAGGATAGAAAAGGAAATTGTGCCCACACGAGTAACCAGGCGTAGGGATGAAAACGTACGATACATCTTATTATATCATACGTATCGAATGTATATTTCCAAATAATATTCCATATCCCACAATTGGATATGGGAATGGCTTTGAATTTCTAGAAATAACGAAATATGTACATGCATAATCCAATGGGGTGTTGAACCGTAAAATTCGGATAGCGTGACCAATAAAAAAGAAAGGGAAAATAAAAAAAGCAAAGATGGAGGAGCCCATGCATGTGACAATGAAGGAGCGGCACATGCACTACGTGACGTACTTGACTGTCCTTGGCAGCTCGTCGCTCTTTCTTTATGTAGATATATTTTAAAATACATAGATATATATATATATATATATTCGTAGTTTTATATTAGGATATTAATCTCTCCACACTTAATTATATGGATTATTTTTCTTTCTTATATTTTTACTTTTATATCATGACATTTATAAGTTTCACGAGGGTGTCTGGCTTCCTCCCTATCAAGGCCCGCCTACGGATCTTTTCCCCTTAATCTGAGTTTTAAAGTAAGATATAGGTCGACATACATACATACATACATACATACATACATACATACATACATACATACATACATACATACATACATACATACATACATACATACATACATACATACATACATACATACATACATACATACATACATACGCAACTAAACAGACGGTTTTGTGAGGTGCGTCCTTAACGAGAGTTAGCGAATTGATGAGATGAACCAAATGGGGAGCACGGGAAAGGGATGACGAGAGTGTCTTTATAATTTATTTTATTGACCATTGAGTGTTACGTACAGTTGGGTTGGGTTAATATATCTTACATTAATGGCCGGCCAAATTAAATTTCAATTTCAGCCGCTCGTACGTACGCAGTTGTGCCCGTGATTGACTATATATATGTATATATATATATATATATGTTTCCATCCATCGCCATCTAAGTTATAAATCAAGCAAAAGAAATTATTCTTATTCATCAACCCCACAGAAATACTGACATTACAGATTGATACAACAAAAATAAAAACCAGGCAGCGTCTAATTTGACGAAAGGTGGCATGGGTGGTAAAGTTCGGTGTTCTATAGAATTGGAGCCTAGAACTTTGAGCTATGGCCAGCTCAGCTTCGCCAGGGTACACTCTTACTCTCTTCTTCTTCTTCTCAATTAACTAATGATGGAGATCATATCATATATTATGTGATATACATACACATACATATATATGTGTGTGTGTGTGTGTGTGTGTGTGTGTGTGGAAAATTAAGGTGCATGCGTTGATATTGTTTTTGATGATGATGGTGATCGATGTGAGCAGGAAATGGCGGAAGCAGCGGTGGCTCAGAAGGAGGATGAAGACATAGTGGAGAAGATAGCGGAGGTTGAAAGCAGAAGCATCATCGTCAGCTTAAACTCAGGTGAAACCATGCAGGGGGAGAAGCAGCATCACCACTCTCCATGCCTTTGCTCCGCCCTTCATCGTCACCCCCAGCCCCTCTCTGCCCCTTTCTGAGGCCCATTTTCCAACCGGACCGGATTATATTGGGCCGGAGGAATCAAATCCCAGATCAACGGGTTTGTGCCACGTGTGATCTTCCCGGGTCCTAGCTCATGGTCGGTGATTCTTTGACCCGTTGGTCGTACCCTTTTCGGCCCACTACCTGTTGTGTATTTATATTTATTACCTATCCCGGTTTAATGTACGTAACGTTGGTTATTCTCTATTTTTTTTTTGTTGAACCGAACCAATTGCGTTCGGGGCTTCAGACTTGTCTTAAGCCATCCGTGTTATAGAAAAACCTGCAGTTGGTTTAAATAAATTTCATTCGAATCTTTGAGTAATAAGTCAGAAAAGATCATAAGTTTGGTTAAGTCACGAAATTTCCTTTCCAAACGCTAAAATTTTTTTTTTCAACAAGCACGATAGTCTCTGCCAATGGATGACACAGAAAAAAATAAAATAAAAAATTATCCTTTAAAGCCATCGGCAATCTCATAAGCCTGATATGAAAAACTCCCAAACTTTGATTAGGACAGATGACGGCGAAAGATGCATTAGGGTTTGTAATCTTAAGCTTGATTAGCGAGTCCCAAACCAATGATCAATACATCAAATAGATCATGTAAACATGGAAATTCACTAATATCGGAGGGAAAAAAACAAATAACCTGCAAATGCACTTCAGAGATCCGAAAACATCACCAAGTCACGAGAATGAGATGGGCTAGAAGAGGAGGCCCGGACGCTTCCTCTTCCCACCGCCGATACGTCAAATACAGACTTGGGCTCGCCGGCATGACGGCGGAGATAGCCGCCGCCATCAGAATCAGAATGTTGTTGTCGAATGTAGAATTAAGAGCGAGCAAAACGGTGCGTTTAGGGAATCGCGGAATGGGGAGATGCTCCACGTCAGCAAGTTGAAGGCAACTGCAGGGGCCCCACGACTCCAGCACACACGTTGCGAGGAAGAGGGGGTTTTAACCGTCAATTAACACCACTCTCGACTGCATGCCCACTTCGTTGCCATCATAATATAAATCTCGTTCTTTCTCTTCTCTCCGCAAACCCACTTCACAAAATTCACACGAACTCAAGCCCAAGTGTTTTTTGTTGGAATCTGACAAAAACCAAAAGCAATCTATAAGATGACGAGATCTTGGTCGTTTTGCCTTTGGGCTTTGGCGGTGATTGCGGCCATGGAAGCAGCTGCTGATGCTTCTAGGGTTTTCAAGGTAGGAGACGACTTTGGCTGGAGAGTTCCTTTTGACAACGACCCCTCTCTTTACAGCCACTGGGCCACCTCCAAAAGGTTCCATATTGGAGATTCTCTCTGTAAGTATACTCACTCTCTCTTTAATTATTTTTTGGGGTCGCATTTTCCTTCTGATCATGATGGTGAAAAATGTCCGTTTGTTAAGATAGACTATAACCTTTAAGAACATTCGATTCTCTGCATGTGTCGGAAGCATTTGTGTACCGGAACGACTCGGTGGTAGAGGTGGACAAATGGGGATTCTACCACTGCAACGGGAGCGATCCCATAGTGGCGTTCGACAACGGGAACAGCACGGTGAAGCTGAACCGGCCTGGCCCGTTCTACTTCATCAGCGGCGTGACCGACCGTTGTCGGAGCGGACAGCGTCTTATTGTCGAAGTCATGCACTTCCATCGCCACCACCACCATCACGCCTCTCCTCCTTCCTCCATGACCGCGTCTTCCTTTCCTTCCATGGCTCCATCATCGCCACTCTCCTCCCCTCACTCCTCCTCCCCGCACTCCCACACTCTTTCCGCTTCCGTCCTGCTCGGCCTCCCCTCTTTTGCGGCCGTCGTTATGTTCGTTGTTTGATCCATTTGCTTATCTATTTATGTATTTTTTTTGTTTATCTTCTAGTGTTTTTGTTGACATTTCATTGCGATATTTTCGCCCGTAGACATATTATATTCAACATTGTTTCTGTTACTAATTAATACTCCCGTGTTTTTTTCCATTGCATTCTGAAGTTTGTCTTGCATTAATATATGGATGTATGTATCTATATATACTATTTATTAAAACTGAATTACTCGACCTCCACTGTATATATACCACACACATATATACACTAAGATGCGGATGGAAAATTTAACAAAAAAAAAAAAGATACGGATAGAAAAAAACGACACACGCCCAGTGGGACTCGAACCCAAAATCGCCTGATTAGAAGTCAGGCGCCTTATCCATTAGGCCATGGGCGCTTACGACGATAGTATATTAATAAAATTTAGATGAGCAAAAATTCCGCAGAGAGTATCTTCAACTTATGATACAACGCTATAATAGAAAAATATTTGCAGTAGTAAATATACATATATATTACGTATGAATCGTTCGATCACCTATGTTTACAAAATCACTCTATATTTGAAATCCGAATTTTAGTAAACTTTTTTTTTTGTTAACTGTAATGTATATTAATAAATCCGTTTTACAACCGGATGTTCATCCAGAGTCTTACAAAATAGAGCGTTACAACCCAGGTGTAAATAGAGAGTCAATACATTAATAGTCAAATATCAAAATGTCGAAACCATTTATTTATGTGAGATAACCATGACGAAAGATACAATTGTAGTAAACTTTGATAGGAAAACTCTGATAGTTGGCCTTTGCATTTGTGCCTCTACGCCAAACTCTTTGTCGGTGTTAACTCGGTTTCCAAAACAACAAAACGAACCCCTAGCACGGTTTCCTCAAATTTGTAGACCTACTTTTTTACCCTCTAGGTCATGTGATCCGTCTAGTTGGGTTTGCCATTCTTCTTTTTGAATAATGTTTTGGTTAATACTTAGGGTTACAAATCCTAGAACCGTTGGTACCTCTTGAAGTGAAAGGTTTTAGAATTGATGCTATCCATATATATCATAGAATTGGCTGTAACATATAGGGCCTTATCTCTATCTTTTGCATGAGAAGAAAGCGAAGGCCCTATATGTTAATAATGGATAATATCTCAACTTCGTCGTTCAAGGACTTTTGAAGAGTGCATATCGAAGGTAGAACTGAACGGTTAGTAAATTGAGTACCCATTCTGTGACAACTTTCAATAACTTACCCTCTTTTTTTGTGCCTTTAGTAGGCTGGTTGTATGAAGTAAGTTATATATATGTATTTGTTGCACTGCGAAACAAAAGCTGGAGTAGCTCAGTTGGTTAGAGCGTGTGGCTGTTAACCACAAGGTCGGAGGTTCAAACCCTCCCTCTAGCGTTATCTTTTTTTTTTGGGGTTTTCTCTGTCTGGGACAACATCCATTTGTTAATGTATGTTTATTCCCGTTGTTTGTTTCTTTAATTTTTGGTACATATATTTGAAATAAAAACATTCATTTCACAACTTTACCATCTAATTATGCGGTCCATTGCAAGAAAGAAAGACGATACGGAAGACTCTGAGCATTAACCGATCAATAAACATGGAGATCAAACCAAACTATAAATAAAAAGAAAACGAGAAGTCGACAACATTTTGTCATGACGACAAGATGGAGTAAAGGTGAAGAAACTCAGAAGTCAGAGGACAAGGGCGCATGCTCAGAGGACATGAAGACGCTGGAGTAGACGAGACCGGCAAGGCCGCCGCCGATTAGGGGACCAACCCAATAGACCCAGTGGCCGGAGAAATCTCCGGAGGCGACGGCTGGTCCAAATGACCTTGCCGGGTTCATGGAACCGCCTGAGAAAGGGCCGGCGGCTAGGATGTTGGCTCCGACGATGAGACCGATGGCGATGGGAGCGATGGTGCCGAGAGAGCCTCTCTTTGGGTCAGCAGCTGTGGCATAGACTGTGTAAACCAGCGCGAATGTCACTATGATCTCCATCACCACTCCCCCTAACGCTCCCACTCCCTCTGCCACGCTGTGGGTCGGTGTACTCTGCCAATAATCATATCATATTATATTATACATATAACATGGGTCAGAAGTGTTTATTTTTCTCCTATTTTAAAGGATTTTAATTTAAAAAAAGAAAGAAAATAAATTCAAATTTTTAGAACCATCATCATCATAGGGTTTTCTATCCTTTCTAACCTTTCGTAATTCTTTTTTTAACGAGGAAAATAATGAATCTATAAATTTCTTTTAAACTTATTTTCTTAAGATAAATAGAGATGAAACGTCAAAACGAATAATCCTGTTTCTAATTTTCTAAAGGGTTTTTATTCATTAAAAAACAAATTATATGGGTCATTTAATTGTTATTTCTAACAAAAGAGAGTAAAGAGGGTTATATTATATATATATGAACATACGAGGCCACCGGTGACAGCCTTTAGAAGAAAGCAGGCGGCGACCGAACCAAGGAGCTGGGCGATCCAATAGAAGATGGAAGTGAGAATGGTGATCTGGCCGCCGAGAGCCAAGCCGAAGGTGACGGCCGGGTTGACGTGGCCGCCTGAGATGTTGGCTCCGACAGCCACTGCTACGAACAGAGCTAAGCCATGGCATAGGGCGATCGCCACCAGCCCGGCCGGATCCAGAGCCGCATTTCCCGTCACCTTGTCTGAAAAAAAAAAACATGCCATGCCACGCCACGCCATGCATGCATTATACGTTGTTATATATATATATACACACACACATTGGTTGAATTTGATAATGATGATAATAAATGAGGAAAACTGACTGAAGGCAATGGCGGATCCAACGCCGGCGAAAACGAAGAGCAAGGTGGAGATGAACTCTGCCAAGTACGCCTTGAGAGATGCCAAGCTAAACGAGTCGTCCAATCTCCCAAACGCAATCCCTCCCATTTTTTTTAATTTTGTTTTACTTTACAATATACGAAGAAATAAAGTATGTGCCTATTTATAGACCTATGCCACTTTGAATGATTTAATAATTAATTTTTAAAAAATAAAATGCTTTAGTCATTATGAAAGAGAAATGAGATAACGACGGTATGTTGGTCGATTTCATGTACGTACGTACGGTACGTTAGCTACTTGAACTCTACTTAATTATAATCAACGTAAAAATAATTATATATCGTTGTGTTTCCTCACGTCTGTTACGTATAGTATTGGTTTTCTAATGATTATTATTGTTTGATATATACTCCCGAGTTCCGTCCTTGTAATATTTGTACTAGTTGTAGGTGTGGAACCGATTATATTTTGATAAGCTTGGTGATTATATAGTTATAAGATAAATTGAAAGCGAATCTCTCTAATCGATGCGTCAGATTTTATTTGAATCGATCGACTACGTTAAAGTAAACTAAAGCGATATTGGATTAATGTCAATTCATGGACGAAATATACATAGAATGCAAATTTGTTTAGAAGTTAGTTCATTAGTAGCCAGAGGAGGATTATAATTAAAAAAAGGGTTGCATCTTCAACAAAATCTCAAACACTGTTAATCCATGAACTTACTTACTAACCTTAATCAGATTAAACACTAAGAACACTAAACCCAAGTTTGAATGAGTATACTCTTCTATCCTGAATTTAAATTCGTGAAATTCCAGATTATAAAAAAAAAATTAAAAACAATAAATCATAGTTCAATCAATAAAATGGACCAAAAAATATTTGTTACGCTATGAATTCGAATCTTAAATTTGAGGAGAGGGTATATAATCAAAATTATATGATTGATTTTCGACTCCAAAATTAATTTGAAACTTAGGATATCGGCTTAAAAAAAATACTGAGGTCAATAATTCAAGGTTATTTGAAAACGGGATAAAAAAGACTGGGGTGGGCCCACAGAGTGCACCGACAGTCCAAACTCCACTTTCCTTTCTGTGGATCTAATTTGGTTTGGCCCAATAACCCATCTCTAACCACATTCCCCCTTCCCAACCTAATCCATCAATTTTGTTTTTGTTTTTTTTATATATAATAAAATCATAAATTTTATAATATTTTGTTGAAAACCCAAATTTTATTTCCATTTCAACACCATATAGTTAAATAAAAATGCAATACGACATCCATGAATAACCCCCTTCGTATACACCAGCAACACGTAATCGAATTTTATTTTTCATTTCATTTAAATCTCACCGAAAAAATGATTTATGTATTTTGTAGATGCTATTTTATCTTTATTACATTTTTTCAAGATCGAAAGTCGAAAATCCAGATGTGTTAATCTCTTAAAATTTTTATTTTAAAATTTTCTCTTTTATTTATGTATTAGTATAAAAAAAATTATTTTTTTTTATGACAACAGGTAATAAACTAATGAATTGAGACGGGGTTATCGTTAATTTCTTTAATCAAAATCTAACATTACGCTTATTAGCAGTTGCGTGGCTGTAAAAAATCAAAGAGATTAATTTTTACCATTGCCGTCGTTCAACAATTTCCAGGCGTAGCATTTGAGAACAGAGCGTATAAATTATAATTACTATAAGCATTAAAAAAAATATTCACAACGTCAATTGTTTTTTGATCTTGGCGTCTCGTAGTTGGTGACGTCGACTTACAATTTTGTGGATACAATTACAATTTTACAATTTTGAAACGGTCGGTCCGGATTATAGTTTTCTAATGATTAATATGATAAAATAGATTTTTAAAAAAAAGAAATATAGAGAGAAACACAATGATGGAAGGTTGGTGGCCGGCCAAAAGAAATTGAAAAAAAAAAAAGAAAGAAGAAAATGTTGGAAAGATGGAGAAAATCCCTCTGTCTTTTATTTATCAGCTCCCTTTTATTATGAAATGATATTTTTTATCCTTTCCGTGAATATATTTATATTTTGGCAATTATTAGAGGGATTCTATTTTCTATTTAATGTAATTTTTCGTTTTAACAAAAAAAGAAAAGAAGCAACCCTTCATACTTTTTTTTACCTTGACACCTAGACACGGGCCTCTTAGATAAAGTTTAACTTAGTAAAAGCCCAAGACATTTAAAGGAAAGCCCATTTCTAGGTCTTAAAGTTTTAACTTAATGGGAATTTTAATCTTACTGTATTGCCACGTCCGCACCGTGAGATGTTCAAGGACAAAAAGACAGAAATGCCCTTAACGACCTCGCCCAAAATCTGTGTCTCCGGCGGAATTCTGAGAAGAGTAGTAGCGGCTACGCAGCGCTGCCGGCTCCAGAGGGAAGAGGAGGCACGGATGGATGTGTACGCACGAGCAATTGCTTCCTCGACGGCACTCCCTTCCCTGGTATTGTTTTTCCTCTCTGATTCTACATCTTACTGGTCGGATTGTTTTCCTTTTCTCCCTTTCCGAGCCGATTCGATTTCTCTTATGGAGTTCTGGGTCGTGTTTTCTTTGTCTTGTCGGAGAAGGGTTCCGTTGATAAGTTCGCATACCTCCACTATATTCTCTCGCTATCTCCTTCATTCGACCATTCGATCCGAGTTTCAGTTTCTGGACTGAGTCACTTTGCAATTCAACTTCTCTTGTTGTCTGCTTCATCCGACCATTCCTCATTACTGATGTTGTTTCTCTGTACAGTCAGAACAGGTTGTGTTGCCTCTGTTGGTGGTCAGTACCTCTGGTCTCGTTTGCAGTCATTTTCTGTCTTCCCGATGAGATGGGGTGTCATTGTACAGAAAAGAGTTAAGTCTTCCTCTTCTGCCATGGAAATAGACAGTTGTTCTGTTTGTTTCCTCGTATAGAGACCGTTGCCATGGCGGGTTTGGACTAAGATAAGGAATCTACAAAGCTGCATCCTTTTTAATCTGTTATTCTTTCTTTATACAGGAAGAGGAATGTATTTTCGTACATGGATTCTTGTGCATTTCGTTTAGGTCCTCGATGATAATGAACAATCTTGGAATTGTTAATATGCCGGTGGAGGACCATGGAACTCCTTCCAAACAACCGGATGAGCTTACTGTGAGATTAGGGTTTAAGGTTTTTTGGGTAAACGGGTATTATGGACCGATGTCCAGACTAATCATGGGATCGGGAGTAAGCTATGTGATTGAAATTACGATCATCTCCCTACCTTGGAACTCGAACTCGGGACGGGATAGACTCTTTGAATACCTATTTCACCGGTTGATCTACCCAAGTTGGATAGGGTTAAGGTTGTTATTATCTTTTATGCTGCTAGGTCCTAGATCAAGTTGTTTGTCTTTGTTTTACCTTCGCTTTGAGTTCACTATGAAACAGTGAGACGATAACTAAGGTCAGGCTCAGAAACGCGAACTTGTTTAGCGGTTTTACCATGCTCTTTACGATCCATTTATTAGTTTTTGAATCCATAACACAACCGTAGAAAGGAATTTTTGCTTGATTGCTGTGTTTGCCTAGCTGTTGACATTCTCAGTTCACGATACAACAGCAGAAAAGGGAACCAAGATCGGATAACGAAATGTCTCGATGTTCCTAAAAGTCCTGTTGAATGTGCTAGACCTCAGAGGTGTTCTTGATAATGCGATTATTAGCTTCTTTCTTAGTTCACATGAAATATTGATATATGTGAACCAAGACCAGATACTGAGACGTTATGATTTCCTCAAATCCGTCACGGCTTTTCTTTCTCTTGATTCAGGTCATTGAACAAGTTTTAAGAGCTAGGCTTGTTCACAGGAGTCTCCATTTGAACCGATGCTGTTCTTCAGTACTTACATATGTAGTAATCGAGTTTAAGATTTCAATACCCATCAATTATGAACATCATTTTCTTGGTTCTGATTTCATCCTGTGGTGGAACAAGTCAGCGGTCTCTATAGAATTTTGTGACCGCTGTCATGTCTTACAACCTATCCATAGCTTTCTAACTGATGTAGAGGAATTTCTTTTTTCTGATGCACTGAAAAATAATTTGAAGGGAGATTTGGCGCACTGGTCGGGATGTTGCCGTTGTTATCTAGAGGTCAAAGGTTCGAGTTCTGGAAGCCTACGCCTTTAAGGTGGAGACCCGGATCATTGGCGACCGGCCAGAACGATTGTTGAACCTAAGACATTCTCGTAAGGCTTTGCTTGATTTGGTTTTCTAGAAAGATAATGTAGAGCTCTCCTATTAGGCTGGACCCAGAAACCCATTTTATATGTAAGCCGTCAGTTTAGTTTGGGTATTCTGAAGGTTTAATAATAATAATAATAATAATAATAATAATAATAATAATAATAATAATAATAATAAAGTTGGAAATTGGGAAAATGGGGGTGAGAATGAATCCCACTAAGTAAAAAAATGGACCGTCAATAATAATGGGCCTAACACAAGAACCGCATGCATAACCCAAACTGCCAAACGCATCCGAAAACGTTTCGGCGTAGGCTCCCAAGGGCTCGGATGTTTCATCTAACCGTGTTCACGCCAACTAACTGTCGCGCTTATAGTTGGGGGGACTGTATAATATTTCATATATGTGTGTGTGTATATATATATATATGCTAATGCAACTTGGTTGGCCCTGCTGTATTTGTTTAGCCTAATCCACATTGAAACCAAATATCTCTTTGTTCCCTGTCATCCATCACCCCTCACATGTTTGGCAGCTGCAGTTTAAAGGCCAAACCTTTGATCATTGCAAAATATTCAATATAACGCCTTTTGTAATATACCTATATATATATATATATATAGGTATATCAGTTATAAATTGAACCGGTAGTTGTTTTTCTTTTTGCTATGAATTATTTTTTAAAAAAACTGTTCATGATCACACAATTTAGTGCTGCTCTTGGTATCGTCGGGATTTATATCATGATATATATAGATATAGTTCCCAACTAATGTGTTGTTGGACCCAACAAACCGCTTTATATGTATAGCCTTTCATTTAAGCGTGCGGTTGCAATAAAAATGTTTGGTTTAACCGTGTATGTATGGTAAGCATGCTGCATATATATACATAGTTTCTGCGAAGCATTTATTTTATCATAGCAGAACATGTAAATCTCGTTTTTTTTCCTAAATACTTGTGGGTATATGTATAGTCTTCAAGAAATTATCTATGGTGAACCCTTAATGCTGGTGTATATGCATGCATACACAGTGTGTTCATATATATATATATATAGTATTTCAGTATAATTATTATATAAAAAAATTTCAGTATAATTACCTTCTTAATTATCAATGGTAGTCGGCATATTATTTGTCACTTTCTGGTTGGTCGATTCTATCCAACATGTCGTTGGCGAGTGATCAAGTTTGGGGTAATAGATAACTCCACCTTGAGGTTGAGTGTTCGATTCCTGGCTGGTGGAGAGAGAGATAATTTCTGGGTCTATATGGTCCATATACATAGGTTGCTTCCGAGGTAGAGATTTACCTAGTTAGCGCGCCCGAAGGATAGCAGATAGGGATCCTCCGTTATAAAAAATATATATATTTAATAAAATTGAAACCAAATTTTATTTTTACAACAGATGACTCCTAGCGGCTTCTCTTCGAACGCGTTGATTACGTAAACCTCTTACACAGAGAAGAGACCAGAATTGGAACCAAGCTTGTTTGTATATGATAGAGATAGACATAATAAACTATGGAGAAGCAACATTAGGAATAATATGGCATCGAGCATAAGCAAAAAAACATTTGTAATTTTGAACGTACCATGTAACATTTGACTATCGAGTAATCCTTATTGTAAACACGCATTTCTTGGTTTCACAAATATATATATATATAATACTTAATATAATTACCATTTAAACAAAAGTAAAGTTTGCGTGAATACGAAACCCTAGGAAACCCAATAACACTGTTTATTTAAATAAGACAAAAGGGGGTGATGTGACGTCTACACCGTATCTACCCTTCCTCTAACTACCCATACGTTGAAAACCATTTCATTAATTTTATTTTTTTTATTTTGTTTATTGAGTTGGACCTCGCCATTACCCGTGTGCCACCAAAACTTTAATTCTTCCATAGTCTCAAGTTTTTACTCTTTTAATTCCCTTTTTTTTTCCAACCATATTTTCTGTCATGACTTATTTTTTTTGGTAATCGGTTAATCAATATCTAAATTAATTTGACATCCGAAGTCAGCCATATTATTTAGATTATAAATTCTCTCTCTAAATTTGAAATTCAAATTCGGACTCGGATATATGGAACACACGATTTTTTTTTCAAACTCAATCCGTGCCAATTTCAACATCTCGATCGTAATTTTTTTGGGCTGCACACATATAACCATTTCTCCTTTGATCTATGAATATATCTTTTTGTCACCTCCACAACAAATCATACGTCACCCTAAATGAATTTCAATTTCATTTCTTGGAAAAAAAAAAGGTAGCATTGATCGTCGTTAAATTACATGCTGTTTATTTTATGATCATATTTGTCTGAATTCACCGAATCTGATAGTGCGTGTGTGTGTATACATATACGTGTATATATATATATATATAAAGGAACAAGTGGGTTTTAAATTTGGAGGCAAATCCATTAATGCATTGATTTCTTATATATGTTCATATAAATGATGCACATACAGTTGTTCCTTTTCTGATTTCTACAACTGGAGACAACGAGCGGTCAAACTCTCTTCGAGCCGCAAGTCGTTCCTCTTTTTTTTTTTTTTTTTTTTTTTTTTTTTGTTTTTTTTTTCGGTTATTAGTTTGTGTAATTTGAATTTGGTTTCTTTTTTCCTTTGTGTCATGTATATAACCGTTCGGTTATGGATTTTCAAAAACTAAAATAACTGAACTTAAATTAACTGTAATCGATTAATCCAAACCGAACAGTTCACCCAACTCTAATATAAACTAAATAGCATTTTAAAAAAAATGAAAATGCAAGAGAAAATTTGAAAAGTTTCAATCTTTTTTTTTCCTCCTAATTTGGTTCAAGATTTGGAATTCTTATTTGGTTCAAGATTTATGTATAGTTTATTTGTCCTCCGTCTATTTCATTATTCAATCCCTCTTACACATTTGTTTTTAATATTTCATTCTACAATTAGTGTACAAGATATATAGAACTAGATTGTCTCTATATTACCTTATCTATGATGAATTTTTTGTGAGTATTCAAGATAATTTTTGGGTTTTTGTGGATATTCGTTCAAAACCTGAGCTGAGCTGTGACTGTACGGCCTTTGCCCACGTGGCTTCGGTAATTGTTCCCACTAATTCATTGGCTCATTTTGGTTTCTGTAATTATTTATATATATATATATATATATATATATATCATATTCCTACTAAGGTTTCGTGTAATTATTTATACACTAGAATCAATGAAAACAATGTGAAAATCATAATAACCCTCTCTTCGTTAATTTCAAGTTTTTAAGGTTTTTTTTTTTATGTTAGAGATAGCCCACGTCATCGTACTGACTATAGACTGTATACATGTTGCGTTTGGATATATCTATCTGTCATTAGTTTAATGCATATATGTGTATATAGGTCCTAGGGTCAAATATAATACAGCGAATTCATCAAGCAATTATTTGGGGATATTCAAGGTTACAAGGAAATGTATTATTGCATGTGAGGAGAGCAAGAAATTTCTTCTAGCCCTAATAATATTTTTCTTGGATATTGATTTAAGCTATGTGAAAATCTCTTACCTATCTAATTTCGGAGAATGGGATCTTTCTTGACTACATAATTATGATATTATATGTATGTAAACCGGTTTGGGCTACCATTTGAGGGTATATATCATTTTGTATGGTATATATTTATTAACATTCTACACACAAATATAAAATAATCAATTATATGTGGGAGAATGTGTATTGCATGAAACATTTTGAATTCATTTATAGATCGGACGAACTTTTAGGGTCCGATTATGATTCAAGACAGACAATTCATAATTAGAACTATCCAAGATTCATGCAGTCCATTTCAGAAAGACGTGGAAAACAGTGTGCACAAATATGGCTGAACAGGGAGAAAAAGGGGCATCGATCATATTATAAAGTAAATGTCTAACAATATTGGTAGGATATATGTATATGTATATGTATATATATAATGTAATTGTTACCCAAAAAAATATAATGTAAAAGAGAGAGAAGGAGATAAATAGGAAGACAGGAAAAGGAGCTGACATAAGAAAGCAGAAAATACCGTTGGAGAATGAGCTCTTCGTTTAAAGTTAGTTGAGTCTTCCCTTCTTCCGAACCCATCAGATCGTATCTAACAGTCAACTCTCTCTCTCTCTCTCTCTCTCTCTCTCTCTCTCTCTCGTTTAATAAAAGAAATGGCTACGGAAGGTTGTCTTTTGTTTTTATGTCCTTAAATCACGTAACCCTATATTCCCACTCTCTCTCTCTCTATCTATCTATATATATATATATGTCTATATATTGCTTTCATACAATAAGAAAGGAAAAAGGCAGCGAATTATCTTAACTAAGATTATATATATATATATATACACACACATATTCCTATAGTCCTATAAAAAACAAAAAATAAGTGGGCAAAAAAAACCCCTCAAAATTGTGTCATGCATCGGCTAAATATATATATATATATATATATATATATATGTATCTATGTTTACCTCATAATTAAATTGTGTACTGTTTATGGATTGATCATATTATAATCAGAATCCTAAATTGCCACATTTAAAATAATAATTTTTATTTCCCTTTGATCGAAATATAAGTAGAAAAGGTATAGAGAATATTCTAAATATATTTCTATATGTTATCCAAATCCACCAATATTATATATATATATATATATGTGTGTGTGTGTGGGTTTTATGGAAAAGCTCAAATAAATAGTTTAATAAGCATCATAATCCAGTCAAAATTTCTTTTAGTCGTCCATTCATATATTTCTTTGCAAAAATATTGTAACGGGAGAATCAATATTGCTACTTGCCCCAATTAATTACTGACAAACGGTTATCACCTAAAAGTCAATATACATATGTATATATGAGAGAGATATAAAGAGGAGTGTTATTAAATTATTTTTTTTTCTTTTTCGGCTGGGAAAAAAGAAGAAGAGGAAAAATTGTCTTGTATGTTATAAATCCTCATATATATTCCCTTGAATTATATAGCTGTATATATATAAATACGACCACACCAAAGCGAAAGGAGGAGACAGAACATAAGAAAAAGAGGGGAGGAGAGAGTGTCATGGCCGTCGACATGTCCAATCCTCCCACCAAAGACTTTCTTTCTTCCCCAGCCCTCTCCCTCAGCCTCGTATACGTCTTCCCTTTTTTCTTCATCGGCAACTATACATACACACATATACATATATATATATATACATGTATATACTTGTGGTGGTTTATGGTATGTGATTGATATATATATATGTGCAGGCGGGGATATTCCGGGACGCGGCGTCCGGGAGCAAGAACGCGGAGGAAGAGGAGGAGATTGATTTCTACAGAGACGGAGGAGGAAGAAATCAGACGGTTGAGATCAGCAGCGAGAACTCCGTACCGACCAGATCAAGATCGGAGGACGATTTCGAAGGTGATGATCACGATGACGATGACGACGATCCTACCAAGAACAAGAAGAAGAAGCGCAAGAAGTATCATCGCCACACCGCCGACCAAATCAGGCACATGGAAGCGTACGTTCCTCTCTTTCTCTCTTTCTCTCTCTCCCTCTCTCTCTCTCTCTCTCTCTCTATATATATATATATATATATATATTCTCTCAATATCCCCCAAACTTCAATCTCCAATTAGGTTTCATGTGAAAGGAGCTAGGGATTTATTGTTGACATTTAATCCGCATATTTCCTTTTTCTTTTTCTTTTTTTGGCGAAATATGCTTAATTAGTTCATGAACTTCGTGTACCAAGTCATCTCCATAACACTTGGTGCCATGTTTCTTGCACGGAACCCTCTGCATCTCCCTAGTTTACCAATATATATGTATGTATGTACGTATGTAGCGCACCTAGCTAGGAAATATTGTAAATGGGGGCAAATTTAATTTTATTGTATGATAAAAACAATTCATCATGGGAGCACCTAATTATTTTAGTTAAAATCCTATAAACTTTACAAGGAAATTATTATTTTTTAACCAAACAACTGGGGGCATGCATATGCCCCCATTTTTATAAACCTAGGTCCGCCCATGTATGCATATACGTATGTATATATGTATGTATGTATGTATGTATGTATGTATGTATGTATGTATGTATGTATGTATGTATGTATGTATGTATGCTCTTAATTATAGTATAGCTTCTGTTGGCATGAAGCATCAGCAGTTTGTAGGTCTGCCTTCGTGTTTGTTAGTTTGCCAAATGTCTCGTATACATATATTTTTTTTGTACGCATTCGTTTTTTTTTTGTTTGGGTGCGAATTATGGTTATTTCATGCATCGAATGGCAAGTCAGAGATGTCGTTGGATTATAGCTTGGGTTGGGAAAGGGGACAAACCGGCTGACATCTCGTTTAATTTCGTGTCTTTGTGTTCGTGTTTAGTTTTGCGTAATTACACTGTCTCTCTTCTTTCTTGTTTTCTGGTACAATTTTGTTTGTTTCGCGCTGGTAATAAATATATATATATAGCCTCAGGCTTTTTGTATTGAGCTTGCGTGTGCAATAATAATATTAGAACAACACATTGCTTTTTACATGTCAAATGACAAGACGGGACCTAAGATGCAAAAGCTTGATTCTGTAACAAATTATGAGCCCAATGTCAGTGTAATAATATCATATATATATATATATATGTATGTATGTATGTATATGATCCATCGACTGTACATCCAGAATTGTGTTATTTGAAAACGGAGTTTAATGTATACACAAACCATCTCTAGGGTTTCATCGGCTGGCAAACAGTTAAATTGCGAAAGTTAAATATATATCTATTTGTTTAATTTTTTCGCATAAAATCAAATAATGTCCTATAGTTTTCGACACAAAGTTTTGGCATTTCTATAACCGACATACATACATACATACATACATGTAGAAATGAAACCGGGATCTCTAAATATATTAAGCTTCATATGCATGCATATCATCATTTGCATTTCATCTACATTGAGTTATTTGGTTTTGAAAGAAAAAAAATGTATTTTTTTGTGGTATTTTGGTGTGCAGACTATTCAAAGAGACACCGCATCCGGATGAGAAGCAAAGACAGCAACTAAGCAAGCAATTAGGTCTTGCTCCTCGCCAGGTCAAGTTCTGGTTCCAAAACCGTCGAACCCAGATCAAGGTATATATATTCTCCTCATCATTATATATATATATATATATATATATGTTTGTGTGTATATATACATTATTTATATGTAGTGAAGTTACAGTATTTGCTTGATGGGTGTTGTAATATGTATGTATGTGTGGAATGAAAAGGCGATACAAGAAAGGCACGAGAACTCACTGCTGAAATCAGAACTGGAGAAACTGAGAGATGAGAACAAAGCCATGAGAGAGTCCATTGCCAAGGCTTGCTGCCCTAACTGCGGCCTCCCCTCCTCCACTTCCACCGCCCCCGACGACCACCACCTCCGCCTCGAATATGCCAAACTCAAAGCCGAGGTCCTACCCTTTTACATCGATCTATTATACGCATATATACATGTATACGTAAATGTATTCATATATATACACACACACACACAACTCACTCAGTCTCATGCATGCATGCATGCAGGTGGAAAGGCTGAGAGCCAGCACGGGGAAGTACTCTCAGAATCAACAGGCGTCTGCATCGACCACGACATCTTCCTCGGATGATCATCATGAGCAGAGATTAGTAAGCTCTCTGGATTTATACACAGGAATCTTTGGACTTGACAAGTCAAGAATCTTGGAGATGGCGAACCGGGCGACCGATGAGCTCCAGAAGATGGCCAAAGCGGGAGAGCCTCTCTGGATCAGAAGCGTGGAGACAGGCCATGAGATTCTCAACTACGACGAATACCTCAAGGAGTTTCCACTGCCTCAGCTCTCCTCCTCCTCCTCCTCCAAGAAATCCATCGAAGCTTCCAGAGAGGTTGGCATCGTCTTCATGGATATTCAGAAACTCCTCCACAGTTTCATGGACGTGGTAACTAATTTAATGCATGATCTTCTTATATTGGCGAGCTTCTTATATGTTATATATATGGCATGAGGAGAAAGTAAATGGAAACAGGTTTCTTATATGTTATATATATATATTCACATGTCAGAACCAATGGAAGGAGATGTTTCCATGCATGATCTCGAAGGCGGAAACAGTGGATATAGTTCGACAGGGGGAAGGCCCAAATGGGATCAACGGCGCCATTCAGCTGGTAATTGAACATTTTAATTATATATATATATATATGTATATATCATGCATGTATTTGTGCAATTGTTTTAATATGGTATGGAAAATGCATATATATGGATGGTGCAGATGTTTGGGGAGATACAGATGCTGACGCCGGTGGTGGCAAGCAGGGAAGTGTACTTCGTGAGAGCGTGCAGGCAGCTGAGCCCCGACAAATGGGCCATCGTCGATGTCTCCATTGACAACGTCGAAGACAACATCGACGCTTCTTTGGTCAAATGCAGGAAACGTCCATCTGGTTGCATCATAGAGGACAAATCCAATGGCCATTGCAAGGTATCTTTACATACATACATATATGGAACACACATTTATACGTATATATATGCATAGGCTTACATATATATATATAAAATGACAGGTGACATGGGTGGAGCACCTAGAATGCCAGAAGAGCACTGTTCACACGCTGTACCGTTCCGTAGTCAACAGCGGTCTTGCCTTTGGCGCTCGCCATTGGATTGCCACACTTCAGCTCCAGTGCGAACGCCTAGTCTTCTTCATGGCTACCAACGTCCCCACCAAAGACTCTATCGGTATCTATACACACACACACATACATTATATATATATATATGTGTGTGTATTGTATATATTAATGCATATTTTTTTTGGATGAAAATATATTATATTATTATTAAAACGATCTCACTTTCATCAGGAGTCTCGACACTGGCGGGGAGGATTCTACCGAGCCATTGGAGCATCGAGCTACCATCAATGGAGCAGAATCACGACCAAAACAGGAGAAGACATTCGGGTTTCTTCAAGGAAGAATCTAAACGACCCGGGCGAGCCCTTGGGAGTCATCGTCTGTGCCGCTTCCTCTCTATGGTTACCTGTTCCTCCCACCGTCCTCTTCGATTTCTTGAGGGATGAAACTCGAAGGCACGAGGTACGTTCGATTTCGGAACCAACAAAAAAAAAAGAAAGAAAGAAAAAAAGGGTATTTATATCGAATTTCTTTTTTTTTTACAAGTATTTTATATCGAATTTCTTTGATGTATACAGTGGGATATTCTGACAAACGGAGCTCATGTTCAGTCAATTGCAAGCTTATCAAAAGGCCAAGACCGAGGCAACTCCGTCACTGTCCATGTAAGTCTTAACTTAGATGATCTTATTACAAAAAAAAAACTTAGATGATGATGTTGGCCATGTGTTTTTAACATGTTGATGCGAAGGACAGTATATATTGTAGTGAAATGTTTTCTGTAGATTTCATTCATAAGTACACGTTATTTATATATTTATAAAAGAAGATTCTATGATGCAAATGACCACGTATATTATATGACCTAGATTATTTCTGATGAGTCCATTTTTGCTACATAAAATTTTGAAATTGAGTTTATGACTGTAGTTTTGTGAAAAAAGCCACTTCATGCTGATCAACGTAACAACATTATTTATAGATTTATAACAAAAGATTCTAGAAAAAAAAAAATACTGTGTACAGTAATTATGTCATTTATGACATGAGATTCTACTAACTTATCGGCGGAAACAAACGTTATTTACGGATTTATAACATAAGCTTCTAGAATAAAGTTGCTACGTATATTTACAGTAATACCCTTGTATATATGGTCAGATGCTGAGACAAATGTACGTATCAATGCAGGCAGTGAAAACGAGAGAGAAGAGCATGTGGGTGCTGCAAGACAGCTGCACAAACTCGTACGAGTCGGCAGTGATATACGCCCCCGTCGATATAAACGCGACCCAGGTAGCGATGGGAGGACGCGATCCGAGCGACATCCAGATCCTACCGTCCGGTTTCTCCATCATACCCGACGGCGAAGAGTCGCGGCCACTGGTCATAAGGTCTTCGAGACAGGACGAGAAGAACAGCGAAGGAGGGTCACTCCTCACCGTCGCACTGCAGTCCCCTGTCGTCCACGCTTCCATTTCCGCCAAACCCACGAGGGACTCTGTCGAATCGGTCACGGCCATTGTCTCCATCATTCTTCAGAACATTAAGAGATGCCTTCGTATCGAAGATAGTTGAGCTCTTCCGACTCATTTGTCGCTTCTTTCTTGATGATAATCTTGGCGTACGTTGTTTGTTATTATGGTGTCAAGGGTTGACGAAGTATATCCGTGTATCATAATGTATAGCTGTGCACTAAAGTTTGTATAAAGAAGCCTTTTGGGGCTTCCTACTAATCAATTGAATCTTTCTCTCTCTCTCTCTCTTTATATATAAGCTTTATTGAAATCTCTAGCTTCAAGTAATTAGAGCTTTCTTCTCACAGCCAGGAATATCATTCCAAATCCTAAACACAGATCCTTCAACTCCATTGGAGATCAAAGCTCAAGCTTCGAACTCTTAAACATAAACCAAAAACTTAAGACAACACAACAGATAAACCCAAAGCATAATCAAGACACTCAGTTGGAGAAGTTCAACCGGTTTCATTAAACACAGACACTTCAAGAGTAAAATTACATTGGCATCATCATTGATCACACCAGAGCCGAAGAAGCAGACCTTGAATTGAACAAAGAAAAAAAAAAAGGAGACAACTTTACCAAAAAATAATCAGATGAGCATATCAAGAAGATTATAAGTTAGAAAAGCTGAATTCATTCCATAAAGCCGAAAGGATTCGATTATATGCAGATTCATAAACAGAGGTTCACCCTTGGTTAACTTGCTGATGGTTTACCAATTACCAGACAACCAGATTGTCTGCTAAACCAACAGCAAGTTAACCAAGGGTGAACCATTGAATTGAACCGATAATAGAGCATAAACACCATTGGGATCAAAACAAACATAACACGCTATGCAACTTTTGGTGGAGAGACCCCCAATGGACTTCCATTGACACGGCATTTAGATCAAAGATGAGATTAATTAACACCCAGGAGTTAACACTCGTGCTAAACCCACATCGTAACACAGATGCAACCATACATAAATTTGCATCATAAACACGGACACTGTAATGTAGAGAAACTAAATCCGTTTCGCAACGAGGATCAATCAGATTACAGGTACATTCATTTGCACAAGAAAAAGGAACAGAAGTAGGATTGGAATCTGAAAGACGACAACTTTTACCCAAAAGATCGGTCATCACTCACACAATTGGCTCTAGACCTGCTGCTGCTGCTGCTGCTGAGACTCCAATGGAATCCCAAGGTCGTTCCCGGCTGCATCAGCGCCTCCATCTTTCCTGCCGCCCCTGGAAACGACGGGAAAAGCAACGAAGGACTTGGTCTTGCTGATGGGTCTGCTCTTCTCCAGCCTAACCACGTCACCCACCTTGAACTGGTTGTCAGGGTCATGAGCCTGGTACTTCTTCTTCTTCCTCACGCGCCTCTTGTACTTGGGATGCGGAGCAAGACGCACCACCTCGACCGCCACCGTCTTGTCGTTGGTGGCGCAGACCACGCGCCCCTGCATCGTCTTCATGGCCCTGACGGCGGGAAAGAGAGCGGGTCTCCTAGGGTTGGGAAATGAAATGGGTTTGGAGAGAGAAGTGAGAGGTGTGGAGCCATGGGTGAATGGGGATGAGAGCTTGAGAGATTGGAGAGAAATGGTTAGGGAGGGCATCATCGTTTATCCCTCTTCTCAGGGATTCCTTATGGATTGGGATTGGAAGACGAACAAGATAAGGGCACGTATATATAATGCGGAGAGGGGTTAATGGGCTGATGGCATCTGGGTTCCATTTCGGGTTTCAATTCTACTATTTGGGCCTTACGCTGTATATATATATATTATATGCATGCATGTACTTCCGAATTCCAAAATTGAGAAAAGGTCCAATTTTTTTCTTGTGGGTTCGTTCGTCGATTAGGGATTTGGCCTAAGGATGGATGGAGAGGGAAGAGTCAGTGGCGGGCGGTGGGACTCCTGACGCCGCCTAGGGTTTCGAGGTAGGAACTCTTCTTGGGGGTGACGACGTTAATGGAAATCTTCTCCTTCTCCTTGTGAAGATCATCGGAGCAATCTTTCTTGGCATGTTCGAAATCCCATCCCATGAAATCCAGAAGAGTCATGTTCTCAGAGTCTCGGGGGCTGGGAGTGGCCGCTCTGTCGGCCGCCAAGACATCCTCGATTCTGGACAGAACAGTGTAGGCCAAGCTCTCCAGTATTCTCGAGTAGCTCTCCAGCACCGCCTGTCCCACGTCCTGTTCAAAATTCACAGCCACAATCTCTCTGTCAGTATCTATATATATATGTGTATATGTATGTATTATGTATAGCTGCTATGATGGTGGTCTTGCCTTGTTGAACTGGATCTTGCTTATATCAAGCGTCGACTGAGAGATCCCAGGGAACCGCTGCTTCAGAATCAGAAGAATCGTCTCTGCTCTCTCTTCGAAGAGCTCCCTCTTCTCCAGGCTAACCCCTGCTCCCCATGCCGCTGTCTTGCTGTCCTTCTGGTTCATCTTCCTCTTCCATATCACAATCGACGCCTCTATCCTGTCCTTCAGGTCCACCATCTTGTGCTCCGACGTCCTGTCCATTGTGCTCAGGAACTGGTCCGGATCGAAGAACTCCACCGTTATGTTCCTGTACAGTTGATCCCCCAGACTCGCCCTCCCGTTCTGCCATCACCATCACCACTCAAAAGAGTTATACTGGATAACGAAACAGAAGCTAACCCATTGGCAACGGCGTTGGTTATACATACCTTGGGGAGTGAGTCTATGTAGCTCTCAGGGATCTCCATCTCAGACAAAACCTGTGCGTTAATGGCCATAGCTGCTTTGAGAACCTGGTTGACGCAGTCTTTCTGGTGCTGCAAGAACCTCCTGGCCGACTCTGATAGCCCTTCCTCTGGTACTTTCACCTTTGGAATCCACCATTTGTAGTCGTTTCTCGTCTCGGACTCTGCTGCTGCCGCTTCGTCTTTCGAGGCATAACTGAACTCGTTATGGTCCTTGAAGTTGTCCAGACAATCCTGTCGAACGTTAACCAAGAAAAAAAGCTGTATAAACCATCCATCTCTCTCGGTTTTTTTTTACCAAGGAAAGGAAAGAAACCGAGACTTGGTTGGTTTGGTTCTTACGATAAGCATAGCGTCTAGTTTCTTCAATGCAGGGATGTTCATGTGAAGATCGTTTCTTTGGCGTGTCGTCATTATCTGGTACACAACCATCCACTCGTTAATTACCGTTTTTTATTTCTCAAAGAAATGGATAACCATTTCAAGACACCATTACTAACCTCCATGTTTGTTCCGTCCTTGCTTTTCTGCTGGGAAGGAGAGAACTCGACGATGTAATCAGTGACGGAGAGAAGCCAATCTATCTCTTTTCTCCATCGTGCTTTCCTCTCTGCTGGCATCGGTTCCAATCGCCGGTGCTCTCCAAACACAGAAGCTGTGATATTATTATCATCATCATCATCGGAAGGAAACCCACTTCAGAAATACCAAAGAATATGCAATCGGAGGTGGAAAAGATGAGATTTTTTTTTGCAGGAGAATGAATGAATGTATGCACCTGCGAGGTTAGTGAAGGCGTTGGACAGAGCAAGTGCTGATGAAACTCCTTTGCCGCCTCCTGACATGTCCTCTCCCAGTAGCAGTTTTGCAAATCTCTCTTTCATCTGCTCCAAGTCTGGATTGAGATTATGAATTCATTGTTAGGAGGCGGCAACCCATTTGACTAAAACACCTCAAAAGTCAGCTCCTTTGGCCTTTTTACCTCTGCCATTAGAATATCAACACAGGTACCGACCATGGTTGTTTTTGTTTTTTTGGAATATTTTCACATTAGTAATATTTTCCCAAACAATCATCTAGAAGGATGATACATAGGAATCAGGGCTAAAGTCCGATCAAATCAGAGAAATAAAGGGGAAGAAAAAGAGAAGAAACATGCCCGCAAGAAGCTGTTTTTCTCTGGCGAGAGCAGCGGCGAGAGCAGCTTCGTCCGTGGAGGAGGGCCTTGATGACGGAAATGGCCCCTTCTCATCATCGTTATACAAAGCTCCAACATTCCCGGAAGCCGCCTCATCCAAGCCTGTCTCCACGCTCAGACTCTTCCCGTGTTTCCCCGTGTTGTTGTTATTGCCCTCATTATTCCTCCATTTGAAGTTGAACAGCCTCGTCCTGTAGCTTTCCTGTTCCTGTTCCATTGCACGAACCATTTTTTTTCTCTCTTTTTCTTCCCAGATCAAACCAGAAGAGAAAATGGAAAGATGGTTCGTGGAATAGAAATCCGAGGAGAAAATCACATACAAAAAATAAAAAAAAAAAGAAAGGAAAAAGGAAAAAAAAAAAGCTCAATAAAGTTTACTGGCAAAGCGATTTTGGGTTCTATTGTTGACTGTGTTTTTCGTGGGGGGAGAAAATCAATGGAGGTCGTTTGTTTTTTAGGGTGCAATGAATTTGGAAGGGACGTGGGGTGCGTGTTTGTGTGATTAGATGAGGTAAGGAACAGATCGATTTCATATTTTTTTAATAAAATAGGAACGCATGATTCAATTACTCGTTACAATTAGGATTAAAATTTAAATAAAATTTTGAAAGTGCTTGAAGAGAGGGATTATACGGTAACAGGTCAGCGATCCTTCTCTCCCTCAAAATGTATATTAACAAACACCCAGATAATATAAATAAATCATTTCCCTCTCTATATATATTAAATTGTGAATGGGCTTTATTATCTGATAATCTAGGCCCATAATATAAATGGGCTTGGGCTTATCTTTAATGCAGGGGGTCCAAGCGGGTTGGTCGACTTCACACCGACCATTCCTCAGTTTTCCGCTTTCGGCTTCTCCCTCCCTCTCTCTCTCTCGTCGCAATTGCCAGGAACTCCGGCGAGAAATGGAATCCATCGGAGTGCTGATGATGTGCCCGATGTCCTCGTACCTCGAGAACGAGATTCAGAAGCGCTTCGACCTCCTTCGCTTCTGGACCGCGCCTGAGAATTCCGGTTTCCTCGAGACTCATCGGAACTCTATCCGCGCCGTTGTCGGGAACGCCTCCGCCGGCGCTGACGCTCGACTCATCGACACTCTTCCGAAGCTGGAGATCGTCTCCAGCTTCAGCGTGGGGCTTGACAAAATCGATTTGGGGAAATGCAAGGAGAGAGGGATCCGCGTCACCAACACTCCCGACGTTCTCACCGAAGACGTCGCCGATCTTGCGATCGGCCTCATGCTGTCCGTTCTCCGACGATTGTGCGAGTGTGATCGCTATGTTCGCAGCGGCAAGTGGAAGAGCGGAAACTACAAGCTCACAACCAAGGTTCTCTCTCTACTTTTATACACATCCGACATTTTGGATGACATATTGAAAATCCAATTGTCGTTGTATCTTCTTGATTTCTGATTTGAGCATGAATGCGTCATATAATAGGGATTAGGAAAATAGTCTGAGCTCTCGTTTCTGTTATTGATCTTTAGATCTCTTCGAACGAAGGAACTTCCTTTGTCCGGTAAGAATTGTGTGAATAACCTCTCCAGCTTTTGTTAATTGAGCTAAAACAGTTCATCTCCTAGTGTTTCGGCTTTTGGCCGACGTAGTGTTTGAAGACTTTGTAGGTCTCTCAAATACAGACACAAAACCCAAATCTGTAACTTCTGTTCTGAAACAAGGAACAGAGTGCACATACAGGTTTTTTAGAAAAAACCATACCTTCATTCATAATACTTGCAACACATAAATACACGTACACAAACTGTAAAGTGACAGTTAACAAACACAACTACTTGTCTTTATCGAAAACAAAATAAACGACAAACATATAACTGTAACACAACTGCCTAAAGCATAAAAATACAGAACAGAGTTCTGCAGTATTCCAAGCTTCAGCAACCTTGAATGATCTTGATCCAATATGCTAACAAACTCCCCCTTGTATCAATGTCTCGAACACATACCAATCATGCTTCTAAGTGTTTCAAATCTTCCTGGATGAAAAGCCTTTGTAAAAAGGTCGGCAAGTTGATCTTCAGTTCTGCAATACACAACATTGATTTCATCTTGTTGATGAGCTTCCCTCGGGAAAAAAAAACTTGACTTTAAAGTGCTTGGTTCTTCCATGAGAGACTGGATTCTTCGAAATAGATATTGCTGCTTGATTGTTCACCCAAATCTGAGTCAGATTCTGATAAGTACTACAGAAGGATTAGGGACAAAGGTACGCAGCTAGTGTGGTGGTTGTTTGTTTGTGTAGATAGCATATAGGTGTTGACATTTGTTTGGCTGTTTTGTTATTTGTTTCGTTAGGGTTGGTAGTAGTTAGAGGATTCTGTTAGGGAGGGGATTGTATAAAGAAAGGAGGAGGAGGGGGAAAGGGGATGAGGGGGATTTTCTGGTTGAGAATTGGGTGGGGAAGAGAGTAGGAGCCTCTCTCTAATCAAAGCTATCCGAAGTGTATGGTTTGGGTGTTCAATAAAGCTGCTGGAGTTTCTCTAAGGAGTGGTTCGAGCATCAGAACCTTAACAAATTGGTATCAGAGCAAGTCTCATCAATGACGAAGAACAACGCGCAAAGAAAGGAGCAAGTGGAAGATAGAGCCAGTGACAGATGCGAGAAGATCGAAGAAACAATGGCGGAATTACAGAAACAATACGAAAAGATGGATGAGTTACAGAAGCAGTGTTCGAAAATGGATTACCTGGTGAAACAATGCTCGCGATTTGAGGCGATGGAGCAGATGCTGTCGAAGCTGTGTCGGTTGTTGGAAGCTGATTGCGATCGCCAGGATTCTTCTCCAGATTCGATTTCGCCGCCGGCAACAGGAGCTGACAGATCGCAATTCAATCGCGATCCAGAGCCGAAAGCCGATTGCGATCACGAACCGAAGATTCGTCCAGAGGTTCGAGAGGTGATTCTGCAGCCGAAAGAGGAAGGCGATGTGCAGCAACAGGAGCGATTCATCAGAAACAACAGTTTGCACCTCAAGGTGATGTCGATCGCATCCGTCGATCGCATAGAGGCTAATCATGACCAGAACATACCGATCGGAGAATTGCCGATTGATCGTGATTCGTGACAAAGTCCCAAAGGTGCAGACAGCGGCTGGGTTTACAGATTCATGTGATAGGGGACTATCAAACAAAGTGCTTCCAAACCGTCGTCAGATCGAAGGAATCGCACTTGCGAAAGGTTGAAATGCCAGTCTTTGAAGGTAACAATGTTGTTGGTTGGATTACACGTGCTGAGAGTTATTTTGAATTAGGAGGCAGTAAGGAATTGGAAGAATTACGCTTGGCTTCGATGCGAGTTGAGGTGGAAAAGCAACCGAAGATACAGACACAACGATTGATTGAAAGATGATGCTTTGCATAGAGAAAGCTCGAACATACTTCCAGATTTGTTGAAATTGGAGAGTTGGAGCGAAATTCTCGATTGGTCCATGTCGGCGTTCCGCATCGAACGAAGACTAGGGAAGACTTCTACAGCCCTCTCTGTAACCACATCGTTGTCACCGACTCCGAACGCAAGGTTCAGATTTTCGGCGATGACCTCGAGGTTCTGAATCAGTTTTACTCTAACATCGAGCAGGATTTATCACCGGCGATTAGCCGTGACTTTCTCATCACTTACTGTAAAGCTCTCTGCCAAACAACCGGCCCAAAAGGGAAGGCCCTTTAAAGACGGAGAAAGCGAGGTTTGAAGAGAATGAGATTAGTGCTTGGAATATTCGAATTGAAACATTTTTTGCAATCGGAGGATGTGCGGACAGCGAGAAGCATCAATTGGCTGAAATAATAGATAGGAATGATAATGTTGGCGTGAATTCATGGTCCGGGTCAGTTTTAGAGTTTGGGGAAAAGGGGTTGTATACACGAGTTGACAGGGATTTAGACAAAAGTGCTGATTATGGAGAATTCATGGATAAGAAAAAACCTTTACCTGATGGGTGTGGGTGGAAGATGGTAAGGAGAGCCACGTGGTGGGGTGTGGTTATCATAACACACAAAAGTAAGGATAGTGAGAGAGAAAGGTTGGATGATGCTGTGTGGGTTGGAGAACGGTTATATTTTGATCAAAGTGGGAAAATTATAAGAGAGTTTGGTATGAAAATTCTGCAGAAAGTGGATTCCCATAAGGTGATGAAATTTGGTGCAAATTCACCGGGAACACAAATGTTGGAGGAGATAAAACAGAGGTTGCAGTCAGCACAACAGAAGATGAAGACTGGGGCTGATAAAGAGAGAAGAGATGTGGTATTTGAAGTGAGAGGAGGGGTGGAGTTCGAAGATGAAGCTGGTGGTGCAACCAAAAGAGATCAAGGATTTTAGCTTGAGGACAAGCTAAAGCTGAAGGGGGGAGTATTGATAAGTACTACAGAAGGATTAGGGACAAAGGTACGCAGCTAGTGTGGTGGTTGTTTGTTTGTGTAGATAGCATATAGGTGTTGACATTTGTTTGGCTGTTTTGTTAGTTGTTTCGTTAGGGTTGGTAGTAGTTAGAGGATTCTGTTAGGGAGGGGATTGTATAAAGAAAGGAGGAGGAGGGGGAAAGGGGATGAGGGGATTTTCTGGTTGAGAATTGGGTGGGGATGAGAGTAGGAGCCTCTCTCTAATCAAAGCTATCCGAAGTGTATGGTTTGGGTGTTCAATAAAGCTGCTGGAGTTTCTCTAAGGAGTGGTTCGAGCATCAGAACCTTAACAGATTCTTTGTCTCCAACCCCAAATCAACTAAAATCTTCCTCAACCAAATTGCTTGATTTGCTGCTGCAGTAGATGCTATGAATTCAGCTTCTGCAGAGATTGGGCAACGACCTCTTGCTTCTTGGAACTCCAAGAAAAACACCCTTGAGAACAAACACTGCAGCTACTGAAATTCTGCCCAAAGCTGTTAACTCTTCCACCAGTTGATGCCTTTGCATTTAGATCAGTGCACCTGAATGGAAATGACCCTCTCTTGTGCCAAATATCTTCATCTGATACAGTACACCTCATTGCACCACAGTCCTCAGATTTCGGGTTAAATGAGAAACTCTTGTTTCTCATTCTAACCCTGAACATTACTCCATCTGACATATCCTTGATAAGGCATTCATTCTTATCAAACACAACTTTGTACCCCTTTTCCAGTAACTGCCCAACACTTAACCGATTTTGATCAATCATGGGTACATACAAAACATCAGTTAACACCTTTAAACCAGTAGCACTTTCAATCAAAACATCTCCTTTTCCTTCTACAGAGATGTAGTCTCCATTTTCTATTCTAACTCTAGATTTGACAGATTTATCTAGAGTGTTGAATAGATTTATGTTACCTGTCATATGATGAGTGCAACCACTGTCTATAAGCCACCCATCCTTAACACCATTTGACGCAAAACATGATGCCACAAAAAATTGTCCTGTCTCATTTGCTTTTGTGTTTTCAACCTCCGATGCTTGTGTCTTGGTTCTGCAATACTTTTCAATATGTCCCTGTTTGTTGCATTTCCTGCATTTCAAATTCTTCTAACATCTCCAATGGGGATGACCCTTCTTATTGCAGTGCTTACAAGGATCAGGAAAACCTTTGTTCTCACTCGATTCTGCTCCTGCATTTTGCTTGTTATTTCCATATTGTTTCTGCTTCTGGTATGGCTCTTTTCCCTTCTCTGCAGCACTGATTTTTGCTTTGGATTTCAAAGCACCTTCCACCAATTCTTCTTTCCTCATGAGCCTCCTTTGCTCTTGTGCTTGAAGAGCACTAAGGAGTTCTGCCAGTTTGATATTAGATAGTTCCTTAGTATTCTCCAAGGTAGCCAGGGTAGCTTCAAACCTTTCCGGCACAGACACCATGATTTTTTGAACAATGCTGTCATCAGTAACTTTTGTGCCGAGTATCCTGATCATGTTGACAATACCAACAAGTCGATCCACATAATCCTTTACAGTTTCACTTTTCTTCATCTGTTGTCTCTCAAAGTCTCTCATCAAGTTCAACACCTTCATTCCTCTAATTTTTTCATCACCTTCATATTCTGCTTTCAAGAAATACCACATCTGCTTTGCAGATTCCAGATGCATAATTTTGGTGAAAACTGAAGAAGAGACTGCAGAAAAGAGACAGGACTTTGCCTTAGCTTTTCTTGTAACCTTCTCTTTGTGAGTCCTAATCTGACTCACTGTCGGATCTGCTCCCAATGGAGTGATCTCGTAATCTTCAACAACTGCCTCCCACAAATCTGCCCCTTCCATGAAAGCCTTCATCTTGACAGACCAGACTTGGTAGTTCTCGCCGTAAAAAACTGGAGCAGACAGCCTTGTGAATGCAGAGGACCCTGAACTTTCAGTTTGTTCCATTTGAACGAAAAAACACTTCCCAGATCATTCACAGATCCCTCAAAGATCAATAATTTGCTCTGATACCACCGAAGACTTTGTAAGTCTCTCAAGCACACGCACACAAAACCCAAATTTGTAACTTCTGTTCTGAAACAAGGAACAGAGTGCACATACAGTTTTTTCAGAAAAAGCCATACCTTCATTCATAATACTTGCAACATATAAATACACGTACACAAACTGTAAAATGACAGTTAACAAACATAACTACTTGTCTCTATCGAAAACAAAATAAACCAAACATATAACTGCAACACAACTGCCAAAAGCATAAAAACACAGAACAGAGTTTCGCAATATTCCAAGCTTCAGCGACCTTGAATGATCTTGAGCCAATATGCCAACAGTGTTAAGGCGTCGGACGTCTTTAGTGACCATCATCTTTTCACATCGTAATTCGTTAGGTTGGTGAGAAAAGAACACTCTTTCTCTGTGGAAACTCGCCATTCTCTTCACATTATTTGCATGTTACCAGCGAGTTAATTTAACCATTTCTGTTTCCTAGATCAATCTATCCAAGATGGATTTGACTGAATCTCGTTGTTGTTTAATCCTCACTTGTTTTTTCTCCATAGGTAATTAGGTCTTTTGTATTTGTGTTGGTGCTATGACTTGTCACCTAAGATTTTTTCAAACTCTACTTCTCTTTTAGAATTGTTTCATCTTATCCGTATATATGGTGCACATTAGATCTTGGATTCAATTCCCATTGCTCATTATTAACAGCCTCTTTGCATCAACCTGCTGATCAGAGGCACGAACTTTTTCATGATCCATGGGCACGTGTGGTTTACATGGATGGGTAGGATTAGTATAAAGGCATGATTTTTTTCACAACCATTCTTTTTTTTAATCTATCTTGCTCAGTTCACCGGAAAATCTGTCGGAATCATCGGTCTTGGGAGGATAGGGACAGCCATCGCCAAGAGGGCCGAAGCCTTTAGCTGCCCAATCAAATACTACTCGAGAACCAAGAAGTCTGATGTTACCTACAAGTATTATCCGACGGTGGTGGAGCTTGCCCGAGAATCAGACATACTCGTGGTCGCGTGCCCGCTCTCGGAAGAGACCAGACGCATCGTGAACCGGGAGGTGATGGATGCATTGGGGCCGAAGGGTGTGCTCATAAACATAGGCAGAGGGCCGCATGTGGACGAGCCAGAGCTGGTGGCGGCTCTCAAGGAAGGCCGGCTAGGAGGGGCTGGGCTGGACGTGTTTGAAAACGAGCCGTACGTGCCAGAGGAGCTTTTCGGGATGGAGAATGTGGTTTTGCTGCCTCATGTGGGCAGCGGCACCGTGGAAACAAGGAACGCCATGGCCGATCTTGTGGTTAGCAACTTGGTGGCTCACTTCGCCGGCGAGCCACTTGTGACTCCTGTGGGTTGATTTTTTTTTGATTTTTTTTTTTTAATTATTATTATTATTATTATTATTATTATTATTATTATTATTATTATGCCTCATGAAACTGAAAACAATGGGTGTGTGTGATTAATAATAATACACATTCGATAAAACATGGAATTATGAGATTCCGAGGTCATAAATAAACGTGAATTTGAATTATTGATTCAAAACACCAAAGTTACCTGTGGATAATGACACAACCGATTTAAATCGTGATATTCGGGTTTTATATAACCAGAAGTGGGGGTCATTATTTTGGTTAAGAACCGAATCAATTTGAACCAAATAACATATAATTGTAAATTGAATGATTTTCTTAAAATCTAAAACTCGAACACGAATGGAGCCACACAATAGAAAAAAAAACGGGAAAATCGAATTTTTTAATTAGTATTTTTTTTATTAATATAAACCAAATAAGAATGGATAGAACCGGATATACCCGAATCAAACTGAATCCAATAGTTATAATTTTTTTGAAAAATCAATAACCAATCCAAATATAACCTAACCGGCTCGGTTCGAGCCGGAAAACCGAAATGACGGTCCTGATAAAAGAGCGAAAAAGAGAGCCACTGTTTTGTAAAATTTGGGGAGAGAATGGAGAAGAGCATCGGAGTGCTGATGACATGTTCAATGTCGACGTACCTGGAAAAGGAGCTCGAGAATCACTTCACCGTCATTAAACCATGGAAGAATGGGGTCTCTGCCGGCGACTCTATCAGAGCGGTCGTCTGCAACACGAAGCTTGGCGCCGACGCCCATCTCATCGATTCCCTCCCCAGTCTGGAGATCGTGTCGACTTACAGCGTTGGATTGGACAAAATCGATCTCCTCAAATGCAGGGAAATGGGGATTAGGGTTACCAACACTCCCGATGTTCTCACCGACGACGTCGCCGATTTGGCAATTGGCTTGATTCTCGCTGTTCTTAGGAAGATTGTCGCTGCCGATGGCTTCTTGAGAAGCGGCCATTGGCACTCTGCTTCTTTTGGTTTGGGCAGAAAGGTCAGTTTTTTCCTCCTTTTTGGAATGGAATTTCTCTTCCGTTTGCTCCTCATACATCACTTTTGAAATGTCATGTTTTGGATAATTTGTGTATTTGACGTTAATTCTGTAGTTCAGATAAAATGGCAAAAGCTTCTACTAATGCTCATCTCATCCGTAGGGGCTGTTAAGCAGATGTAGTTGGTAGGCTTATGGCCATTAATGGTGAATGGAAAGTTGATGTAAGCTGGTAGGCTTTTTTTTTCAATTGCAGATTGAATTTGTTTCATTTTGTTGTCATGTTACAGTTCAGCGGTAAATCAGTGGGAATCATTGGGTTGGGGAGGATCGGTTCAGCAATCGCTAAGAGAGCTGCGGCATTTGGCTGTCCAATTGGTTACCACTCAAGAACCAAGAAACCAGAGGCCGACGCCGAGGCTTATAGGTATTACTCAGACGTTATAACCCTAGCCAAGGAATCTGATATTCTGGTTGTAGCTTGTGCATTAACAGAAGAAACCCGGCACATCATTGATCGGAAAGTGATTGACGCATTGGGTCCGCATGGGATTCTGATCAATATCGGGAGAGGTGGGCACGTGGATGAACCTGCGCTCGTGGCCGCTCTGCTGGAAGGAAGGATCTGCGGGGCCGGGCTCGATGTTTATGAGAACGAACCTCAAGTCCCGGAAGAGCTGTTGCAGATGGAGAACGTGGTCCTGGTTCCGCATGTAGGCAGTGACACAGAGGAAACGTGCAGAGACATGGCTGACCTTGTCGTTAGGAACTTGCTGGCTCATTTCAAAAATGAACCTTTGTTGACCCCTGTTGTGTAAAACCCAGCCTTCTGGATCAGTGGCAACAGTGATGATGTATTGTGGGATTGATGAAAACAAACCCTGTAGCCAGATCCATCATCATTTAAGCTCGTAGCGTTTAGCTTCTGAACAATATGGACAAGAATGTAGGAGACCATGGAGAAGATACCCTTTTTGGGTGGACAAGCACCCAATCTAATAAGAGATTATTCCAACGAGTTGCCCTGAAACTCGTACTTAATCAGGTAACACATTTCAAGAATCAAAGAAAAGCAGATATGCGTACATACGGAATGAACGCAAATTCCACAAAACCAGTATCAACCAGAAAGCAGCAGCAGCATAACTTGAACAGATTCAATGCAGATGAAACCAAACTTCAGAAAAAGGCATTGGGTTTCAACTAGCAAAGATCTAAACGTTTTCTCAGCTTCAATCTTATATCCCGACACTATCTTCTTTTGACAAAACTCTGGTAGTCTATTATCAATTTGATTGTCCAATTAGCAATGTTACCAATCAACGGCCAACACTCAAATTAAAACCTGATTCGATACTAGTGCTTTGGCCAATCTTCATGTCATTTTCAGAGGAATCTTGAATGCCCATAGCAAGTAACCAATCTTGTAATGCTTTATTTAGAAACACTATGACACCAACCACAGAGACAGACCGACCCATATAAGGAAGGAAGAAAAGACTGTGGCTTCAAACTGCAGTCAAGAGAGAGTGGAAGCAAAAATTCAGACTTTTCAGACAAAGCCTTCGACCAAGATCGGCTTCTCTCCTTCCTCCTCTTCCCTCTGACCCTTCTTCCCTCCGTTCTCATTCATCCCTTCCACGCCCAAACCCTTCAGCCCATCACCGCAGCTCCTCCCACCTTCTCCGTCCCCCACCACCACCGCATTTCCGCATTCTCCCTCTTCTGCCAACTCGCCACCAATACAGAAGCCCGTGGTCCCTGACTTTTCTCCGCCCACGACGATAGAGTCGGGTGCTCCTGGGCTCGGCGTCAGCCCGGATCCGACCACAGCATCCGTCTCCGTCTCCTTCGTCCCCGGCCACGGATCGGCCACGCAGCGGTCTTCCTCGTCGCCTTCAAAGAAAGGGGCGGCGCGTGACTTCACGGCGTCGGCGGCTCTGCGGAAGGCTTCTTGGATCGAATCGGGCGGGAGAGCGCAGTCTTCGAGGCCGGCGTCTTCCAGACGCGGCGGGAGGATCTTGTCTAGCAAATCCATGTCTTCTCTTATGGCCTCCATCGAAACAGAGGCTAAAAGCTCCCTCTTCCAACCCTAATATCGAGGGATACAAGTATACAACTCTCCACGGCCAATTTCGACGGAGGGAAAAGACGACGGAAGGACAAAAAAAAAACCCCCGGGTCAAGGGCATTTTCGTAATTGAACTAAAAATGCGTGTAGCTTTTGTCCATTAGCTCGCTGGCTACGGCCGGATGAACGTTCAGCTATTTGGTTAGAATTTGGATTAGAAATAATTCAGTTCGATTCGATTATATTATATTCAGCTATTAATCTGTAATTATATTATATTCAATTCGATTGAATTTTGATTTCGATTTAATTCTGATTTTTATTAAAAATGTAGATCTTAAAAAATTCCGGATATTTAGGTTTTTTCAAAATTCGATACGAACGGTTCAAATTGAAAATATACCACGTTTTTTAATTTTGGAACGAAACGATTCCTCGCACAGCCCTACTTTCAAGTATTAACTGGTAACGAAATGCACAAATGGCTCTCTGGGCTCTCAGTGATATAAAGCGACAAGGATAAAAAAATACCTTCATGACAACAAAGATCAATTCTGAAGCATATCAAAACTGAACAAGGACATAGTACGATACAAAAATGCCAAGCAACAACATCCATTCTTGTCCAAAATTTAAACAAAAACTACATAATAAGCATTGAAAAAAAACAAAAACAAAACCCACATCTGTATTCTTTGAGGAGTTATAGGCTCATTGAATCATGTGCCCAGTTCCAAGGATTCACTCATTGATTGCCTAAGCAGACGCAGAAGCAGCCTTGTTCCTTGGTGTTGCTTGGGTGCCTGATAACAACAATCCAATTGCATTTCATCAGTTAACAAACGAGCCTCTTAACGACAGCAAACGTATAAAAAAAAATAAGGCTGCTCATTACCTTCTCTAAAGCCAGTCTTGAACCTCCGAGGCACATGGCGGAGGTACCTCATTCTACCAGTTCCGGTGGTCTTTCTCCGAATGGCCTTCACGCTCCAGTTATCTGTACTCCACAGAATTATCATACAACTCGATCAGCCCTTGTCCATTACAAGATGTTGCATCAAGTAAAATCAAACTGTACCAAAATAAAAACTAAGCAATGGAAATGGTAGATGATATCATTCGATTCGAATCGAAAGGCAATGATGTAACTGCATGCATAGAGGAAATATTAGGATAGACACTAGATCCAATGTTCCAAACACACTAATCCAACATACAAACGGCGACTGTTTAGAACCTAAACTTGCCGGTATTGGATCATTCAAATCTCATTACATAATTAACATCACGGTCGAACCAAAATTCAGATCATCGATACATATCGAACATCCCCTAAAAACCAATTCCATCTTTTCCAAGACCCCTCAAGTCCATTGCCCAAACACTAATTAAAACCCATAGCCTGATCAAGATCCCATCTTCCACAGACATCTCAATTCAACTACCGAAATCGCAGTTGCATAGCTAAAGTTAAAATCAAATCCTCATCTAACTCGGAAACTTACTTCATCGACAAAAAATAAGGAGCGAAAACACAAGCGACGGTTCAGGGAGGAGAGAAAGAGGGGAGTGATAAGGAGCGTACACGTTCGCTTGCGAGCGGCGGGAAAAGCACAGGCAGAGCAGCGGCTCTTCTGGATGTGGAAGCTCCGGCGGCCACACCTCACACAGAGCGTGTGAGTCTTGTTCCTCCTCTTACCGAAACTTCCCGTTCCTTTTCCCTGCCATTTTCAGACAAAATTCCACTGTTCCTTAGCACCACAAATACCAAAACAACACGACTAAGGCTTCAGATTTTAGGGTCTCACCATTGAACCAGATGGAGGAGAAACCCTAGCCGATGTGAGAAGAGAAGATCACTACGCGGCGAAGATATGATCGTCTTTATAGTATGCCAAGTGCTTTCTTTAGGGTTGAAATAGACCGAATGCAGTTAGGCCCATTGGGCTGATTAATTCTACAATGGGCCAACCAATGTAAGTGGAAATAGCCATGGCCCTGCGTCCAAACACTCCCCAAGTTCAACTATCCCGCCAAAAAATTTAGGTTGTCGCTGCAAAATCAAGTTCACCGGCTGCAAAAGGTCTCGAAGCTATACATCAAATTGCTCATAGATACAAAACCATTCAACGCAAGCCTCCGATTTCGCACGATTGTCACGACGATTTGAAGAATCAGATCTTTGTCCCTTCTCTCGAGAATTTTCAAGATGACGGAGGAGCAAGAATTTCCGGCGTTTCCGTACGAGCCGTATCCTATCCAGATCGATTTCATGAAGGCGCTCTATCAGTCTCTGGAGAAGGGAGGCGTCTCCATGCTGGAAAGCCCCACCGGTATTTATATGATCAGAGGAATGCGTGTTTTGATTTCGAGCTTCTGTTTCTGATTTTTGTCTTTGTTTTTTTTCTGGATTCTGAATTGTTGAATTACACCATTACCGACTTTGGAGTGGTATGAAATGGTTATGGGTTTTTATCTGAGGAGTTGATATTGCTCATGTTAGGGACTGGAAAAACTTTGAGCATTATCTCCAGTGCCTTGCAATGGGTTATTGATCGTAAGGCAAAGGAAAGATCAGGAGTGACAAGTTCCGATAGGGTTGATGCGAATAATGGTAAGGCTTGCTCCGACGATGAGCCTGATTGGATGAGGGATTTCACGGTCAACAAAAACGACAATGCCCATGAGAACAACTTCAAGAACACCAAGTCCCCATTTCGCTTGAGAAAACATGCGAATAAAAGAGTTTCTGATGGTGATCTCTTCCTTTCTGATCCCAAGGTGGATGATCTGGATTCAAAGAAGCAAAGGGATGAATTTGTGAACAAGAATCATGATACTGGATTGAATGACGAAGAATTCTTATTGGAAGAATATGAAAGCGAAGAGGAATCATTTAGAGGGGAAAGGAAGTCAAAAAGAAAGTCTCGGGGAGCTTTTGACAGTTCATCAGGTGATGAGGTTGACGAAGAAGGAGGGTCTGATGAGGAAGATGAGGGATTGAAGGTTTTCTTTTGCAGCCGAACACATTCTCAGCTTTCGCAATTTGTAAAGGAGTTGAGGAAGACTGTCTTTGCCAATGAAATAAAAGCTGTGTGTTTGGGCTCACGAAAGAATTTATGTATAAATGAAGGTTTATTAGCGTTGACTTCAAGTTTCTCATTTCATCTTCTTTTTCATTTTTTCCCCAATGCTGACAAAGGTGACATACAGATGTCTTGAAGCTCGGGAACGCAGTCCGAATAAACGAGAGGTGCTTGGAGTTGCAAAAGAAAAAGAGGCCTGACATCTCTAAATTGAAGGTGAACCTTTACTACCATTGTGGGTTAGTTTATGGTAGCTGATATTTCAATTACCTTTATATTCTGAATTTTGAGCTTTGAAGTAGGATTGTAGGCCATTGTGTTTATCCAGTAAACGAAATGTTTGTTTGATCGTTGCTCATGGCCCCTTATGTATTATTCTACTTCTCTTCAAAACTATCATGTACTTTATACAACGTTAAAGAGAAGGATTCTTGCTAACCATAGGAAGCTTGGAATTTTCAGAATTTAGGGACCAATGGAAGGATACGCCGAACTAAGGCTTACCTTGGATGCCCAATGCTTAGAAAACATAAACTACAGAGAGAATTCAAGAATGAAATTTCTCAAAAAGGAGTAATGGACATTGAGGATCTTGTTCAGCTTGGACGAGGAATGGGAACTTGTCCATACTATGGTTCTAGAAGGATGCTTCCTGCCGCTGACCTTGTTGTTCTTCCATATCAGTCTCTTCTGTCAAAGCCATCCCGAGAATCTCTTGGCCTAAATTTAAAGAATAATATTGTCATAATAGATGAGGCTCACAATTTGGCTGACACTCTCATCAGCATGTATGATGCGAAAATTACATTGTCACAGGTAAATTGCTACCTTTGGCGGTGTTATCTGAAACCATTACTTTATGAGGCATCTTTGCCTTGAATCGACCTCTTTAGGACATGTGCAATACTGACTGTATATCTAGTATCTACCTAGAAACTACTACACATGAATCTGACATTCAGTGATTGGGATATGGACATATGGTGTGGAGTTACAATTGTTTGCCTATTTTGTATTGCAGCTGGACACTGTACAATGCAGCATAGAGAAGTACCTTGGCCGATTCCGCAATCTGTTGGGGGCTGGAAACCGTAGATATATCCAGACTCTGTTGGTTCTCACCCGAGCTCTCCTCAAACCTCTAGCCAATGACGATAATTTGAATTCTGTAAATGATGTTCAAGACACAGAAAATCTCTCCGCAAGCAAGTCTTCTGGTGATAGTGCAATGGCTATAAATGACTTTTTATTTTCTCTGAACATAGACAATATCAATTTGGTCAAGTTGCTCCAGTATGTAAAGGAAAGCAATATCATTCACAAGGTAAATTGTTACTAGCTGTCCACCAGTTTCTGCTTCTTCAACTGTTATCATCTACAATTTTGTCTTGTTTTTTCGTAATACCACAAAATCATTTTTTTTTGGTTAAACAAAATCATTGCTTCTACAGGTAAGTAGTTATGGGGACAGAGTTGCCATGCTGCAGAAAGATTCAGCAACACATGAGGAAATGAGCACATCAACAAGTTTTAGAGCGTTTAGCGATATGTTGCTGGCACTCACTAACAACAATGGTGATGGCCGGATAATAATCTCAAGACAACAAGGAGGGCACCTAAAATATGTAATGCTTACTGGAGAGAAGATATTCTCAGAGGTTGGCCCTTCTTGATGAGTGACTCTCTTTGTTTCTAAGACAAACAGTTTCAGCACTTTAATAAGGAAAATGTTTCGAAAATCATTATGTAGATAGTGGATCAAGCCCACGCTGTCGTATTGGCTGGCGGAACTCTTCAACCCATAGAAGAGACAAGGGAACGTCTGTTTCCATGGTTACCATCTAATCAGCTGCAATTCTTCTCATGTAGTCACATTGTGCCACCTGAGAGTATATTGCCTATTGCAGTTTCACATGGTCCATCTGGCCGCTCTTTCGACTTTTGCTACAGCTCAAGGAGTTCCATGGTGAGTATTCTAGGAGCCACTCTGGTGGTCTCTTTATAGTTTGGGTTATAATCTCAATGACTTTCACAGCGAGAGTAACCATCCTTCTATGAGCTTGAATTTATGCAGATACAGGAGTTAGGGCTCTTAATTAGTAACTTGGTAGCAGTTGTTCCCGAAGGAATTATCATCTTCTTCTCTTCCTTTGAGTATGAAAGTCAGGTGTACTGCGCGTGGAATACCTCAGGCATCCTGAAAAGAATAATGAAGAAAAAGCTAGTATTCAGAGAACCCAGAAGAAACACTCAGGTGGAAGTAGTTCTCAATGAATACAGGGAAGCAATTGATAGGCTATCAAATGCATCGACAGGAAGCCAAAACGGTGCAATAATGCTAGCCGTGGTTGGTGGAAAAGTATCTGAAGGCATCAACTTCAGCGACAGTATGTGCCGTTGTGTAGTCATGGTTGGTCTGCCATACCCCAACCCGTCTGATATAGAGTTGCTAGAAAGAATAAAGCATATAGAAGGTCTTGGGGATTTAGATTCGGCTAAATCATCAACGAGTTTGGTTTGTGAATCCCACTATGGTGAAGATGTCCAGGCCGGATTTGACATATTAAGAACCTGCAAACGCAGAGGAAAAGAGTACTATGAAAATCTCTGCATGAAAGCTGTTAACCAGTCTATTGGTCAGTTCTGCAGTTTCGATGTGTACGTTCTAGAATATTGATAATGGCCTAGACTTAATCGTTTCCCTTCTTTACAGGTAGGGCAATCAGACACATAAATGACTATGCAGCAATTTTGCTGGTAGATGCACGCTATTCAGATGATCCATCAAAAAGAACATCATCACACCCGAGGAACAAACTCCCACTATGGATAAAAGATTGCCTAGTTTCTTCAACCAAAGGCTACGGAGAGGTTCACAGGCTGTTGCATCAATTCTTCAGACACAGAAACAGAGGCAACTAGTGAACTTCATCAGAAACCAATCCACATTGGTAGAAACTTCTCTCACGCTTCAAGGGCGCCTAATGGATTTGGTATCCTTGTTTCTTCAGACATTCACAAATGCCTTGGTAGAGAATGTGCCATGGGAGTAAGGTCAACAAACGTATGGAGGACATCTATGATCCGAGGGTATCGTTCACAGTGACAAGATGAAGCACTTAGATAAAGGTGGGTGGGAATATGATAAACAATTCCGAGCATATACGAGGAGGAACAAGATGACGAAGGCAAATTCTGAAGAAACACGGAGGGATTGAGGCAGCAGGGTGCGACGCAGGGGAAAGAGGGAGAGAGGGCAGGAGGCCGCAGGAATCAGTGGGCAAGCGAAGGTTTCTATGCAGGATATTATTCTGTCTGTTATGTTCGTGTGTGTTTTTAATTTGCTTTGCAGGTCTTGGGTTGTCACATGCCACATCAGTAGCTTGTTGCTGCATGGGGCTATAAGTAGCTACGTTTATGTTTTTGGGAGGGTATCTGGAATATTATCTGAGTGGTGGCTCTCTCTAATCAAGCATTCAAAAGTTGTTCTTCCTTGTTTTGGTGAATACAATCCGGGTTTTCTCTACAAGACCCTATCAGAATATCTCAGAGCTTCCGCCAACCTGGAGAATCCAATGATACGTAGGGGACCATAGGAGCTCGCATTATTGAGATGAAGATATATTACCTATAAAGCTCGTGACAGCAGATGTGGTCAATCAAAGCTGAAAACACTCCAAATCCAGAGACACCCTCTTAAGTCCAACATGATCATGTTCAGTCCATGTCAAGAACCGGATGCCAGCGCTACACAAGCACCACAAGAGTGCATGATTCCAAATGTTAGGTATTTTGGAGCTTGAAGTGTGAATAACTATAGATAGATAGAGCCTTATGGAAAGGAAAGAGACCCAAAGGGAGAGCAAGAGAGAGATACTCCATTTGTTCAGTCTTTGAAGATAAAGACACTACACCTGCGGAGGCAAAGAGAAGAAAAGATAATTATGCCTTTAGGAAAATCCATTCAGGGGGTAGTTGAATTCTTACACAAGACCCTCGGAAACTTCAAGTTCATCTGCTTCAGAGATTACCAGAAGTTACGAAACACTCTCCTGTTAAGTCCCTTTTCCTGCAGTGGCCGCTGCCAAGAAGAGGACTCAGTAAGTCATGAACCCTACTTCGATATGTATGCTAAAAAGGAGTACGCTTTCCAAAAAACCAAACAAAACTGCTGGAATAGTCGTCCACTGAACCCGAAACAAATGTGAAAGTCCTAACCCACAAAAGAAGAAACAAAAGAAAGATCTGCGTCTACATAAGAGAGAGGGGAAATTCTACAACGAGGATACAAAGAGAAGAAACTATGCTATGCACTAGCACGAAAGATGAAAGACTTGAACATGATGGACCTGAGGGGAATGGACCATGCGCCGGACATAATAGAGGCGCTCTGCTGCTATTCAAGGATCAGAAGCCCAGTGTACCTTGACATTGTCGACAGTTTCTTCATGGACATGTACCATGAATTTTCTGATCCACACACATCTTCGAGTATAAACAGCTTGAGAAACGGAGCAGGCTTTTTCAGGTAATAGGCATCCTGCCTCCTGGAGCACGCTCCATTCCCTTGCTTTAATCAAGTCTGTGTGTGCATTCATTTCTTACCTGTTTTATAATCTTGCCATATCTTCTGTTTCTTCTTATGGACTCCATCTTGTAATTTTCCTGGCCAACAGAAACAAACAGACTGGACTGGACAGTAGTACATGATCACAAGCAAAGAGAAAGAGGCAGAAGCATAGAGGAAGTTTCAACTCAAGCAAAACAATGATCTTATTAAAGATTTTCAGGCATCATGGGAGCACCAGAGCGATTTGTGATTGTTATCACAAAATCCTAACAACCCATACGGATTCCTAATTTAGAACAAATTTACTCCTCTTTGGCCTGGGAAACAATACTATCATCTACCCTCTCTCCTACAACTGCATCTCGGGAGTGATTATCAGTCCCGTTGAACAAACACCTGAGCGCTATCTCATATGCAGCAAAAATAGCCCCATTCACCACAAATGCCCTAGCAACCGCAGTCCCCAGCCCACGCCAAAGAACTTCATACCCTTCCTCTCTCACGCTCTTGCGAAAGCAATCCGCAATGCCCTTATAGGTTCTGTTCTCCGCATTGCCCGATTGACCCTGCAGTCTCGTCTTGATCACGTCGAGAGGATAGCAACAGACCCAACTAGCAACTCCAGCCAGGCCACCAGCCACCAGCATAGTCCTGAGGCTTTCTTCTCCGCTCTTTCTGCAGCCAGGATGAAGCTTTTCCCTCATGTACTCGTACGTCCAGAAGTAAAGCCCATGAGCTGGGGCATCTCTCAGGACAGTTATTGTGAGTCCCCGGTAAATGCCTTTCAGCCCTTCCGTTCTGAGGATGGTCTTGGCCACGCTGATCGGACCCCTGTGGCCAGAATGATGGATCTTGCTCTGTAACTGCAGACGGATCTTGATGAGCTCCACGGGGCTGAGCATCAGGCTCTGGAGGGCTCCTGTTCCAATCCCTCCAAGAGCCACGCCTCTGTAGGACGGAGGGTCTTCCAAAGGAATTGATGTATCGAACGACCGGGAAAGGATCGCGTATATCTGGAAAACCATAGCGTTCTGCAAAGCCAACAGGATTCCATGCTCTCTTTTTGAGTATCTTGAGAAAAAAGAAAAACTTGGGGAAAACAAAAAAAGCTAAGGCGCAAAGGTAGAAAACTTTGGCAAATCAAACCAGACACTATCTTTCTACCATAAAGAAGAAGAAGAAGAAAAGCTGAAAAGGTCAGATTCGGAGAATCAAATCACATCTAGAAAGGCTCTGATAAGATATGTTTCATCTGATTCTTTTTTTGTTTTTAATTATTTGGTGTCCGAATCCCCAATCATGTGGGGGAGGAAAAGGGAGCAAAAGACAACAAATTGCGAGGGGGGGAGAGGGGGACCTGAAAGGTGACGGAGGCCAAAGGAGCAGCCATGCCTCGGTAGAGGGAGGTGGGTCCCTCGACGGCGACCATACGGCGGAGAATGGAGAGGGCGGAGCCTGAGTTCGCACTCTGTTGTTGTCTTATCCTCAGCGTGTCCAATGGATATCCTGATACGATCCCGGCGATGCCACCGAATCCTCCGCCGACGAACTCTTTCCCCCAGCTGCTCGCCATAAATTCCGGCCAGAAATCCATCTTTGTCTTCTCTGTACTTCTTTTCTCTGCAATTCACTCTCTCCTTATCACTTTGCACGCTTCCAATTCCGGAAAGAAAGAGAAAAAAAAAAACTTCGATTCGACGATCTTCCCCGTTTAAACCAAGTATTCGTTTTCCGGCTTTTCACTTTCACGGCTCAAATTCTGGAGAAAAACCTCCACTTTCCCTGGAAAAAATTAAGATCCCCAAGGACACGCCAACGGAGAAACAAACAGCCTCCTTATCTTGTTTTTCCTTGCACGACAAAAATTGTTGGGGGAAAAGCGTTTCCTCAGTCGTGGCACCGCACAGAAATATTTCAAAAATAGAAGAACGGGTTTGGGGTTTCGATCAATGCACAGAGTTAGCCAAAAGATTCGGCAGTCCAATGAAAAGGTTTCCCAACTTTTAGCTGTTTATAAATTACACAGATTGAGTTTCTTGGCAAATCCCTGCTGGGAGATGACAAGAGCGGATGGGTGGCCACCGCTCTGCACTTTTCCTCAGATACTCCGTACCTTGACCCTCCACCGCCACGTGGATCTCGCGCCAGACAAATCTTGAATTAAAAAAAAAAAAGAGAGGAGATTAAACGATATGTTAGAGAGGAATTAGAGTCCAAAACACTTTCAACAACTAAGTTTTATTCAATAATAAATCCTAGTTGTTTAGAAAAATTGTCAAGTTGAATCCCTATTTAAAGGCGGATGAGATAATTCGAGAAGAGGAAGCAAAAAAATAGAAAAAAAAAATCATGTATTAATAGTAAAAAATTTTAGATAAATATTTAAATTTTTAAAAAAACAGATACGAACTCTTCTTAATTTCTACATTAAAATTTAAACTTTTAAATAGTTTTAAAAAATCACTATATATTTGAGAATCGTTTAAAATTTTAAGATTTAATTTCATAATGGTATTTAAAAATTATTTTAAAATTCATGATTTACTTTTATTATTTTTAAAAACTTTAAAGTTTAATATATAAATAAAAAAGAATTTATATATATTTAAAAAAAATTAAAATCGTGAATTTATTTATGATTTTTTTTACCGGTTTCATTGTATTAATATGGTACTTCACCAAAAACATTAAGAGCGTAAATAATATATGCAGGCAGAAAAGTACAAAAGAACGTACCCAAAAATTTGGTGAGGGTAAAGTGAAAGCACAAAATGCTCTCGCAACCGACGTGCGATTGCAAAGCCGCGGAAAAATGGTAGACGGAAACCTGCTACTGCTATCACGTGGGTATGTGGGTCGGCATGTAATACTTGTTCACTTCTGTACGGATAAATAGTAAAAAAGGGCATGAGTGATTTCGACGGGTCCAATGAATGATTCATGTTAACAAAAAAAAAAATTGTTCTAATCCTCATTTTCGCAACTGCACTTTTCCCTTGCTTGATTTTAAACCGATACAAATCCCATTTACTCCTTACAAATTGATTCACACGTATCAATGTTCTGTCTTCATAATGATGAAGATTTTCTTTTTCATCTACACCGATCTCTTGTTCCAAATCATATCTCATTAAAAAAAAAGATATGTAAGGTGGCTTCTTTCCGAAACAATTTTTATAAAAAGGAAAAAAAACCCTAGAAAAAAAAGCAGAGATGACCAATCCGCGTATTACAATCAATAATCAAAACAATATCTCCGACCATATCATGATTTTTTTTAAAGAGAAGGATAATATATGAAAAAAAAAATCCGAGATGAGAGTGAAGAAAAACATGATGCAAAAAGCAAAACGAGGAAAGTACATCAAAAATCGATACAAAAGGAGGCAGGCAGTTCTTAAGGGGTGGCTGAAGGAGGAGGAGTGTTGTCCTCAGCTTCCATTGCTTCATCGTTATTCTCCTCCGTCCTCTTCTCATCCTCCGGTGCCTGCGGTGGTGTCTCCTTCTCCTGGGTGGTCGTTGGTTTTGCCGGCTTTGCTTTCGTCATTATCGGCCTGCACACCCTGGTTTATATATGTATAGATACATTATTATGCATCCACATTTATATAAAATACATACAGCCCACAACCCAAATAGCATATTATCAGACAAGAGAAAGTCTTCCAACCTCTTACATTAAAACCTAGATTTTTGGAAAAAAGTTTAATTTCACGATGGTTTTTGTAAATCATTTAAAAGTTCAGTATTTCATTTCATGGTGGGTTAAAAAAATTCACAGTTTAATATAGGAGTGAGAAAGAAATTTTAAAATTAGTGTGTATTTATCTGGGATTTATTCACAAATTCATGCATTAACATGCGATTTCACCTGAAAAGTGTGGTAAAGGGTGATAGTTTAGTTACCTGTCCAACGCCTCGGCCTTCTTCCTGACATCAGCCGACAAGAGAACTGGGGAAGCATGCTTTGGAAGCCCGTCTTGTTGCTGTTTCTTCTCCCTCAGCCACGCTTCTGCTTCCACACACTCGCTCAGAACCTTCACCATTACCCAAAATTCAGTCATCATTTTCTTTTATATTTATGAAGATCCATCCCTTTCAGTGAACAGAACCCACTGGCCCAACAACATTTTACCTTTTGCTTTTCAGACAAGTCAATGTGGTCAAACTTGGGATCATTAGACATTGCCGCCTCTCTGTAGCTGTTTATGCAATAGACAAGCTGATCGATTACTGACCCTCTCTCCATTGACTCCTTGTATCTCTCTTCCACAGGGTCACCGACCTGCAAAGGGCAGCAGCCAGGTAAAATCAACCAATATTACAACTTAATATAATCATCACTCAATAAGCAGAGGCAGGATCGGTACCTTCTTTAGCTCCTCCAGCTTGGCGACATAAACACCTTTCGTCTCATCTTCTCCATCTTCATACAACCAATCTTCCACTTCCTGCAGCTTAGCTAAGAACGCTTCCCGATCTGAATCAATGATATATTCCTGGTATTTGTCACTAAGCTGAAAGAACAAAGACTGTGTTAGTCCAAGCCCCGGCACCATGCCCTGTCTACACAGAATAAAAAAAAATGCAGAGGGGTTGGTTCCTCACTTTGTTACGCATGTCATAAACATAAGCCTCAACAGCATTTTTTCGGTCCTTTGTCTCCTCCATAACTCTGTCTTGCAAAGCCATCTCAAATTCTTTCTCAACGGCCTTCTGCACATCTACTGACTGCATAGCACCATAAACCAATTCTGACACAGGGACATTTGTTTTCTTCACCTTCTTTTTCGGGGCCTCGGTCTGCACATGATATCGGCAAGAGACCCACTATGTTAGCATGCTATAATAAAATCAAGGCGCCTGTCTCTACCAATGAGAGCTTCATTCTCGCCAAATCCAGGGTATAAATCAGAACCCGTAAAAGAACATCCAAGGCCACTGGAGAGCACAGTGATAACAAACAAACAACTCTGTTCATTCAAAGACTCACCTTCATGTCTGTTTCCATTTGCACAGGCTTATCAACAGACTCCGGAACACCATTTTCAGCACCTGTTGCATCACCAGCTCCCTTCGCATCCTGCATGTTAACATCAGAGCCGCCAGAAGCAGGATCAGTCTCTCCAGGAGCTTTATCAGTGTCCATCTTAGTAGGTTCCTCCTGTTCTTTTGTGACAGGAACTTCGACTTCTTCCTCTTCCAGAAGCTGCAATGACAAAACAAAGATTACATACAACAGGAAGTTCCAGTACCAATAAGAATATAAGATAAAACAAAACAAGCAACAATGGATGATAATCTCTTAAAATAGTTAATTAGAAACAACAGATCTTCAAAATATTTCATTCGGAAAAGTTGAAAATTTATAGTTTGATCCTAATACTCCCCAAGGGCCAAGGCAAAAACTAAAAAGAACTTACAGTTGCAGATTCAACAGAGACAATTCCGTGGAGGTTCAGTCTTGCTTTTACTTTAAGCTTTGCCCTCTCACCTTTGGATGATTGGAAGGGACCAATCTACATAAGGAAAATCAATCATTAACAGGCTAAAAGCCACAGTTGTAATACCTTCAAGAAATAGTCAGCTGCATACCGTGTACGTGCTGATTTTCGGAGGCGCCTGCAAGTCTGTCACATCAGCATATTGCACATCAATAGAGAATGTGCCAGACCGATAAAATGTCAGAGCCTTGACACTGGGAATGGGATTTCCCTTGGGGAAAACGACAGTGCTCTGCTGATTCTCAGCCCCTCCATTCTCAGCATCAGGAGTTGATCCTTTCCACGATAAAGCGATTGAAAAGGGAAAGCTCTCATTGACCTTTTCAGGCAGAACAACAAAACAGAAGTTATTAGATCACCTGGAAAGCTCTAGTTTTTGGATTTTCAGGACAAAAGACACAACTGCAATCCTCCAGCACACATATATTTTCATTACCTGGAACTCGCGAACTTTGAATGTTGGGCTGAGAATTGCACATTGCAAGGCACAGCCCCTTGCAACACACTCACTTGCATTCATTGTGCGCCTAGGCTCCTTACCAAAGAACTCAGTTAGGATTTTGATTATAGCAGGAACACGAGAGCCAGAACCAACAACCTCAACCATGTGTACATTCTCAACAGTAAGGCCTGCATCAGCAAGGGCGTTCTCTAGAGGCCTCTTAACGCGCTCAAGGATCGGGATGCTGATCTGTTCAAACTCTTCTCTCTTTATGAAACCTCGAACATCTTTCTCATCCATCAAGCACTCAATATTCAAAGGTGCCTCAGGATTTGCGCTTAGAACCTTTTTCAGCTTCTCACAGGCAGCCCGGAGCCTGAGACAAGCCCTGGCATTCTGGAAAACATCAATCTTGTACTCCTCTTTGAACTTAGCAGCAAAATGGTGAAAAAGAACTTCATCAAAGTCTCTCCCACCCAATGAGCGATCAAAAGCATGAGACAAAACTTTGAGCTGACCCTTCTTAAATCCAGCAATGCAGATTTGCAAGCTTGCGTGCCCAATATCGATGAACGCCACATTCAGCTGGTCATTCTCTGGCAAGTCTGTTTTGTAAATACCATAGGCCAATGCCGTTGCTGTTGTCTCATGAATCAAGTGCAGTGGATGCAAGCCTGCAATTGTGGCCGCATCCAGAACAGCCCTTCTCTGAAGTTCTGTGAAATAAACAGGAATTCCGATACAACAGTCCACTACCGCTGCATTCAAATTCGTCTCAGCTATGCTTTTCAAATTTGATAAAACCATTCCCATGACCTGAGTTGGGGTAAAAGTTCTCATCTCTCCCAAAAACCTAGCATGGATCAAAGGATACCCGTCAGGTCCTTCGGTAACAGTATAAGGTAGAGACTTTATATCCCTTTGCAGTTCGGGGTCTGAGAATTGGCGACCAATTAAGCGTTTCATTTGGGATATTGAATTTTTAGGGTTCATCATGGTTGAAGCGGCCCCTGCAGTACCAATGAACCGCTGCTTATCACCAAAGCACACAACAGCTGGAGTCTCACGCTTCGACTCATCATTGAGGACAACATCAATCCCTCTTTGCCTCGCCACAGCGACAATGCAATTCTCGTTTCCAAAATCAAACCCAACAACACTCATTTTCGCTCTGATATTTCCTTAAATAATTCAGGCACCACAATATCTGCAAGAAACCAACATGAAGCAAAAATGGAGATAGCAATCTGAGAATGTGAGATAACTAAATTTTCAAGTAAAAAAAAGAGCAGGAACAACAAAATTCGATGATAAAGGATCAGTTTTGCCTCCACCGCAGACAAAAGAACAACCAAACAAGAATCTGTTAACACTTACTCAGGTACCCAAGAAACCGCATTATTGGAAAGGTAAAATGGATCATACAGTGTTTTGAGAGATGCAATTGATTCATAGTCAACATGTTAAGAAGGAAAATTTTTCAATCAGCACACAAAGTGAATCTATTATCTGCAGGAGCTAGACTCATTGAGCAGATTAATTATTCGCCCAGATCACCCTGATACTAAAATCTGCTTGGACCCTGAACAGTTCCATTCGCAATCAAAATTTGAAAGTGCCAGTTTCAACTCAACGTGACCGAGAAGTAGACAGAATCGGGAAGGAGAAAAAGAAACACAGTGAGCCTTCCACGTACAGACAAATCTACGACGTATGGACGAGAAACAACGAATCCAGCGATAAATCCAAAGAAGACACGAGAATCAAGAAAACCGCGGGGAAACCTAGGAGCTATTCAAGCACTCAGATCATCAGATCGTACCACAAAAATCACAAAACCCAGAGGAAACTACGAGACAGAAACTTTTCAGATCTAAGAGATCTATTAATCGACGAAATGAGAGAGCCGAAGGATTCGATATCGTACCTGGGTGGGAGGGGCTTTTGGATTCTGTAAGCTTCTGCTGAAATCTGTGAGTGTGGCCGTCGCCGCGAGGAAATGAACCACCGGGGGCAACTGGAAGGGAAGAGGGGTTTTATTAAGGAGCAGACGGCCACAAGACGCAGGGCTTGTCTGGAATTTTCTTTTCCCCTTTTGAATAAGGTGGTTTTTCCAATTAATTTTCTAGAAAGTATTTATTTTGTTTGATTTAAAATATTATTTTTTTCAAATATATACAGGTATAATTGTAATTTGTATTTGTATATATATGTAAAAATTTACATGTTGGTTAATTTTGGGAACATGATTTGATGGGCGATGTTGCAGAGATACTCTTTGCTTCTAGAAAGATCTACGTCGAGCTTGAGGAATGACACGATCACAACATACATTCACGACACGAGTCAGGTCTTTAAAAATATATATTTTAATTATGTAATTGAACTAATAATGGGCCAGGCCCATTGGGCTATCCTCGCTCGTTTGGGCCATCAGAATCATGCTGTCTTGTGAAAAAACGAACAAAGCCCTGAACCCAAACAGGCAAGACAAAGAACGACAATGGCGGAGGTGGCGGGATGGGAATAATTGGATGAAAGCAAGGGGTTGGTCTTAGAAAGGGCGGCGCATCCTCCGCCTGAGCCTGTCCCTGGCGATGCGGCTGCTGAGAGATCTGGTCATACCGTTTCTGGTGACGGTCTTCTCCTCCTGACGTAGGACTACTATTAGATCCACAAAGGCGCTCAGTATGAATCTGTGCGATTTCTTGTCGTTCAGCTCCAGGTAGCAGAAGAGCACCTCCTCCATGAATTCCCAATCCACCTCCGATTCCTTCATCCCGTATAACCTACCCTCTACCATCTCCACCATCGATCGCCGGAACTCCTCCTGCGGATCCGGGGCGTTCCTCAGCACCGCTATACAGTTCTCCGGCAGCACCGCCGATCGCCCTCCGTATCGGAACGTCGATGAGTTAGAGCTCGACGGAATCTCCTCCAACATCGACGCTGTCGTTGTGGTGGTGGTGGTGGTCGCGATGCTCCGTCGTCCCTCTTCCGTCGGAAGCTCCGATCTCCTCGGATCCGACGGCGCTTCCGACGGTTTCGGGGAATCGTACAGAGCTGGGCCCCACGCCCTCTGGAATCTGTCATGATCGTCGTCGTCGCTGCTGTCATCGTCATCCTCGCTTTCGTCTAACTTCTTCTTCGCCCGGTCGCGTTCACTGTCCGCGCCAACACCTTCGTCGTCGCCGTGGCCATCGTCATCTCTGATGCAAAGCGATTTGAAATTCTCTTCGAGAAATCGGTCGATGTCAGACAAAGTGGCGGCGTGACCACTGTCGCGGTCGCTCTCGCCATCCTTGCTTTTGCTCTTGCGTCTCCTGTGCCTGCGGTTGACGGAGAACGAGAGCGTCTTCGGATGCTTGCATCCAGACAGAACCCAATTCTTCGACGACGAGAATGAATTCGACGGCAGTTGGATTTTCCCCGTCTCCCGTTTGATCTTCGAAAGGTAACCCTGGAGAGATCTCTGCAACTGCCTTGGCATTGTTCCTCCTCCGCGTTTCTGGGTTTTTCTACTGCTCGCGTTTATAAGACGAGAGAGATCTGTATGTTAATAGAGGAGATTCGGGGTTGGTGACAATGGAGATAATGAAGGTTGGTGATAGCGTTTTAAGTTTGTGCAATTTGATAGGATTTTTAACCAATTCTGGAGATCCTTCATAATCTGGAAAAAAAATGGCTCAAATATAAAGAGGCAGTGGATTCTGAAACTGTCGACACTCATAAATATTACCAAACATAATGCTATTATACACACACACACACATATTGGGAGTTTCTTCTTCTTCTTCTTCTCTCTGTTCAAATGTATTAATGGGCTTTCCATAAATGTCGGATTTTGCGTTTTAATATCAGTGTTTGAATGTTGGTTTCGTCATTAAACTCGCGTTATTTAACATCAGCAGGAGGGTTGCACAGCTTAGCAAGTGTCAATCATTTCAATGTATGTATGTATGTATGTATGTATGGACATCCTCGCATTGATGATATTAGTTGGACTAACCCATTCTATTATGTATTATTTGGGTACACACATCTATTTCGAAGTATATTTATGTATATGCAAATCAAAGAGTTAAAGAGCCGATACATACATCCAAAAAAAATACATAATTAGCATTTCATTGATTCCCAAGGAATATTTGAAAATTTTCCAGGTTCAAACTGTAGATTTCGAAACTGGATTGGGAGATGCAAAAACAAAGACTATGATAATAACATTAACCAGGTTTTCAGGAATTTCAGAAAAAAAAAAAAAAGAGACGGGAAATTTAGAATGGGCCGAGGAAGCCCAACAAAATTAGTAGTCGTTTGAAATCTCCATCAGTTCAATCAGTGCGGGTGTCAATAGGGTCGAGTGACTCGACCCAAGGATTTTGGATTGGTCCGGTTTTCTTCGTACCTATATAATCCAATTCGAAGGATGATCTTATATATTTCAGATTTGGATTGGGTCGGACCGGTCGCCCGCTCAAATTGCTTTGTAAAATTATTTTTTTTTGGATTTTTTTTTAAATATCAAATTTTTGAATCGATTCGAATTGGATGCGAATTTCGATTTGAACCCGATTCAAAAATCCAACCTTTTTCGGATAAAAAATTTTAGATCTAAAACTCGCTATTTTTCTGATTGGGTCGGGCCGCGAGTTACCTAAATTGGCACCTTCTAAACCCATAATTCAGTTTTGTCTTTTTATGCTTACCGAAGAAAAAGCTCATGGGGCCACGGCTCTGTTTCAAATCCCCTTTATTTTGTTTTTGCAATTTATCACGGTGCCTCTTGATGGATCGATTCATTTGTCCGGCCAAATATTATATATATATATATATATATATATATATATATATATTGTCGAATGTAGAAGATGTTTAGTATGGGATTGTTTGACTATTTCATTATAGTCGTTAATCCTCAATTTATGAGACTAATTAATCTATTTTTCATTTAACAAATAAATTATTCGATTAGAAAAAAAAAATCACTAAAAGTCTCCAACTTATCAAACACTATCACTTAAATATTACTCAAAATTAAATCGTCCACATCGACATCGTCACGTAATTCTTTTATCAATTTAGTACTAAAAAAAGAAAATTTCAATAAAATATTTATACATATATACATATATATATAAGCGCGCACATATATGTAAGATTCATGTATACATATATATACACATTAATTTGTTTTCTAAATTAAAGAATTTTATTTGTTAAAATGAAAAGTTCCAATTTTTCCAAATTGAAGAATTTTTTACATGATTTACCCATCCACTTATCAGTTATTATCGGGAAATTCAGCCTTTCAGTCTTACGATTAATTTTCTTGTTAGCATATATATTTTTTTCTTATTTGTTGGCTGTCCTTATCGATTGATGGTTGCTGTATGTATTGGTGAAAATAAGGATAATATTACCCATCCCCTTAGTAGTTAATATTCAAAAATTTAGCCTTCCTATATTATTATGATTAGATTTTTTTATGAAAAGGATAATATTCTATGATTAGATTTTTTGTTAACATATATATATATATATATATATATGTATGTATATATATACCTTATTTGTTGGTTGTGCTTATATCCAATGATGGTATGCTGTATTGGTGAAACAAGAGTAATATTTCTATAATTTGTTAAGAACTGACAAATGTGTTAGTAGGGAATTATTTTGGGGAAGAAATGTAAAATATGGAAAGATGGGGGGTCTAATCGGGAATCTGATCGAAACGCCACTGGGTAATGGGCGCCACGATCATCCGTACAATGTTGTTTCATGGTATGAACGCGAAACACGCGATTATCTCCATCACGTTATTTTTTTCCCTTTCTTGAAAAATCATTCCAAAAAAAAAAAGAACGAATATTATTACGAATATCATTTCTTTTTTCATTGATCTAAAAAATACATTAACCCTTCTACGTCTCCCCCCCCATTTGATGTGATAATAATAACAATCATCATAGCACCACCACAGAAGAGAGAGAGAGGGAGGGAGGGAGAAGAAGAAGAAGCTTCGTATCGAGATTCATGGAAATGTGACTTTCTTTTATTTTGGTAGAATCGATAATCTGCATTTTGGGTTTTCGGTAAAGTAGCTTATGTCCATGGAGGAGGAGCCAAGGTGCTGTTGATAATCTCTCTCTCTACTTTCTTTTCTTTGGGTGATCTCTACGGAGACTTTCTTAAATCGTAAAATAAACTCGATTACCCAAGTGGGCTTTTGATTTGACACCACTTTGATCGATTTCAACTGGTCATTTCAGTCGTTTTATGCTGGGGTTTCAGTTTCTTCTTTGATACCTCATCCATTTGAGTGGTTTGTGTTAACTGATGAAGAGCTAAGGCGCGAGGATGGTTAGTTTCCTTTTCCTGATAATTTCTATGGTTGTTCTCTTGAATCATGGGATAAACCTTGATTTGAAACTACTGTGATCAATTTCAATTGCTTTTCTCCGGGGGTCTAATTTGGGGGTTTTCTGAACTCTGGCCGTTGAAATCAATCCAATAACGAATCTCCACAAGTTATGGTGAATCGGGCTTTTCTCTGAATAGATATTGCTGAACTTATCGGGGACTGACTCTGGGAGGAAATGTAGCACCCAGGAACATATGTGTTTAGTGATCTTGTCTTCTAATGGCTGATTTGAGGAATGATCAGATTCGAAACTTGCAAAGATTCGATACCGTTTTCTGTAGAGTGAACCCGATAGAAGGTTTTTGGAAATGGGTTTTGCATGGGATTGAGGAAGGTAGGCTTGACTGTACAAATCTCAGTTACTAGCCAATTTTGTCTCAAGTCTTGTGATTTCAGTGTTCTTTGTTCTATATTAGGTACAAGGCACTGAAAGGCATTGGGGTTATCTTTTCCGGATGAAATAGATCGAGAACCTTTTCAGTCACAGGACTTTGTTCTTACAGGAACATGATTGCCGGCTTGGTCTCAATTTCTGTGTTCTTTGTTCTCCGAGTTTTCCGAGCCGTGTTTCTGTATTTCCTCTGCAGAAGATTAGATTGTTTGATTTACCTGCCCTTTTTGCTGCTTTTTGGATTACAAAATGAGTGTGTGAGTATGTTTTTTTCTGTTTTGTCTGGTCTCAGGACTGATGGTAGATGACTCCAAGAAAAGGCAAAGACTTTGTTCAGGTGTTTGGATGGTGATCTAATGGCTGATTCTTCTCCAGATTCGTCGGATAAGTCTCATCTAGTGGGTCTGAGACGCATAAGTACCTCTCTTTTTAGTATCCCGGGTTTCTTCGTGGGTTTTGGCTCTAAAGGCACGTCAGAACCCGATGTAGGCAAAAGCCCTACATCTTCTCTTGATTTTGGAGTTTTTGCAAACTTTGGGGGCCTGTTTAGCCCTAGATCTCCTGCTTGCTCGTCCCCCAGGAACAGCCAAAAGAACAAATGGGGTTGTGAGAAAGTCGGACTTTCCATTTTAAATTCCCTGGGTAAGGACAGTGGACAAGGGAATGAAGGTAATAATACCGATTCATTCAGAAAGGAAAACATAGTTGTTACCCCACGAATCAAGATCGACATTCGTAAAACCGCAAAGCTTTCCTGTGAAGTGATGGATCCTTCTGCAAAATCCAATTCTCTGCCCAAGAACTATGTGGCTACTTCGCTATGCGAGTCTGCAGACTTTCAATCGCAGTCGAGTGACTTGGACGCTGCATTCAGGGACGAGAGAGCGCCAGAGGAATATAGCTCACTGATGAAACCAAGTTCATCCCCGATGAATATCACATCCAGCCGGTTATACTCTCGGTCCCTGTCTGCTCGTGAGATGACACTTTCGGAGGACTATACATGTATAATATCCCACGGGCCAAACCCAAAAACAACTCATATTTTTGGGGAGTGCATTCTGGATTGCGACCCCAAAGAGTTGGCGGGCTTTGACACAGCGGGAGAGGCTGGGAACCTGAAAGAGGATCCAGAGCCGCCTAATCATCATCTTTCGGATTCTTCAAGCCATCTGAAAGAGGGTCCAGAGGCGCCTAATCATCATCTTTCGGATTCTTCAAGCCATATCTGCTTGTGCAAGGAAGAAGCAGGAGATGGAGAGAGCATTCGTATCAACAGGTACGGCTAGCTGAAAAGGCTAATTGGGATCAACCCTCATAAAAAAAAAAAAAAGTTTCTGATTTTGGTTTCTGTTTCTTGAAGATTGGGCAACAGCCAGACCGGAGACTATATCGATGCTTTGGAGGAGGATGTATGGCCTGGATCAAGTTACCATGAAGATGTGTTTTCTCTTGGGAATGCCTCTTAAGTCGTAAGAGGCGAGTGGTATTTGTCTTTGTTTGCTGGACTCTCGAGTGTGGGCGTGACTGTGACATAGTCGTGTATTTTGGCAAGCGAGCGTTGGAGATTAGGTTTGGGTCTGTTGAATAAGAGTGTATTTATGACGCGGATGAGTTTTTGGAGTGGCCTGATGCCCCCTTCCTCATCCCTGTTTTTTCTTCATGGGTTTGATAATGTCTGGTTTTGTATTTGGAGTGTTTTTCCTTGCTTCATTGTCGGAGGCTATGTGAACCTTTTTTTTAAAATGGAAGAAGCCTTATTCACTTGAGCAAAGGGGTTGCAAAATCTGGGTGCAAAGACCGTCGATTGGGTCCCAAAAAGAAGGAAAAGAATGGCGCTGGTAAAAGAAAACAAGCCGACCACAGTGGGAGTCGAACCCACGACCTTTTGATCCGAAGTCAAACGCGCTAATCCACTGCGCTATGCGGTCAATTTAAAAGCAGAGTTTAAAAATATAATACAGAAAGGGAGAACCCGGAAAGCCTAATCTTCAAATTAATTCATCAAGTTGAAAGTCAATTAATCTCCTATCCGCTAGAAGCGAGCGCTTCTAGCCCTTTCATCTCAACCGTTGATATGCTCTCTCGAGATGATCAACGGCTTGGATCTTATCGGCTGATACATGATGAAAAAGACTTTCTTTTACAACCGAGGTTACCGTTGTAAGGTCGGTGTAACGTGTGTCCGATAAAAATCATCCGATTCAGATTCAAAACCCAGCATACGGCTCCAACCCTCTCTACGCCCTGGTTCTCGTAACTCCATTGCTACTATCTTCTCATTTTCCTCTTCTTCTCCGCCTCTTCAGGAACTATATTTCACACTTGTTGGACGACTAATCCTTCACTCAAAAAAAGATTTTTATATAAAAGATTTGAAAAGATTACTTAATATTTAGATTTATCTTTATTTTTATATTTTAGATATTTATAATTAAATAAGATATTTTGTGATTGTATTTTTTATTTATAAATATTGTAATATTTTATATTGAATAATAAAAAATCTAACTATTTTTATTTATATTTCTTTCCAATATATCCAATATGGTTAATGTTGTGATCTCTCTTCTTTTTTTCTTTTTTAGACTTAGTACTATTGATTCTACTTCGATTTTGCGTAAACATCTCATTTCTCGATCTATATAAGACAGTTTTTTTGGTCAGTGGAATTTGAATTTTCTAAATCCAATGGCAATTGCCTTTTGATAGGAACACGCCTTGTCCTGTCGAAAAGTTTGGCCAAACTTCTAACGCAAATTACGGAGGTCTTGAATTATAGGTGGATCTAATGCTTGATGCAAAAATTATATCGGATGCTAGTTCCATCTTCTTCTTTTTCTTCTTTGTCTAGTCCTGGGTTTGATTTTGAATTGATACTGAATATATTTTTTATTTATGTCTTTTATCGTTTTTTGATGTCGTACACCCTCTTAGATTCGAAATCAAGTTAACCAAGTTTTGTTTGTTTCTTTTTCATGTCTTAAACTTGTTTAGTCTATATGGCTTAAGTATTTTTGGAGTAACGTGTGTATGTTTGGATAAGAGAAAATTTGCTTCAAAGATAAGAGAGGGTGAAATCTATAGATTTCCACCCAATGGAGCCATGGTAACGACTGTTCCGACACTTCATATCTCATTATATAATTTCTTAATTTCTTGGTCACTGGAACATTGATCAATAAACTGCTACGTGATTAGAATTCTAATCACATTACATATGATTATGAGTAAGCCATATTCTTAACATCTTTGATATCCAAAATATCATCAAACATACGTTTTTGGGTCGACTACCTCTTTTGGTTCCGTAGAACCCCATCGGTTTGTTTTTGCATCCTTTTGCATCATGACCAAATTGTTTAAAATGACTATCTCTTTCGAATCCTTTGTAGAATGCTTCGGATTCAGAAGATTAAGTGGACTGAAGGTCGAGTGAACTTTCTGTTAATCGAAAGAAAAAAAGTGGATTTCTTTTAGGTTTTTTATTATTTTTTTGCTTGATGGTTAAATCCGGTTTTATATCGGTTAATATAGTTTATTAAACCGATTCAGATCAAATTTTAAAAAACCATAATGCTGTCATGGACGTGGATAGAGTCAGCATTCCAAAATATAGTCAAATGTTAAACGTGGGCGAATTTGCAAACTTACTGTTTGTGTATTTTATTGTTTTTTGAACGTTATAAATTAAGGATTATTTAGTAGAATAATTTAACACTTTTTTTTTTCTTTTCCGATGAAACCCTTTTACAAATACGTGTATTTTCCATGGGATTATCGCGTTATTTTTATTACGCCATATAAATACATGTCGGTTTATTCCTGTCCTTGAGCCTGCCCTGTCCCGCTTATCGTCAACCCAAAAATCGGCCCGACAACGCTTCTGAGAGTGTATAGGGTTTCCGGAAACTACCGTACCGTCTCTGGATTTTTTTCCTCATGAAACCTTGATTTCCGTTTGATATCAAGTATGTGATGGTTCTCGTCCTCGTCCTCCAATCGGCGATAATTAGGGCTTTCGCGGTGTTTTTGTTCGAATTCCCATTTACTGTTTTTCGATTTTTCGATTCGATGGATATCTGTTTGTTATTCTTTTAATTTGTCGAGAATCTGTTGCGTTTAAGTGAAGAGAGATTCGGAAGATATGTTGACCACGAATCTGTATTTAGGGCTTTTCGATTGTTTATTTTAGGAAGTTTATTGGACTAGGGTTTGGCTTAGGAGGTGGCTTTCGGTTTCAGGTTCCTTGGGGTGATTATGGCGCCAACTGGCGAAGAAGAGGTGGAGTATGAGAGTGATCCTGAGGAGGTGAAGCGCTCCTTGGCAATGAGGAGGAAAGAAGCGAGCGATGACGAGGATGATGAAGCGGCTCGGGAGGATGATGATGGCCAAGGAGGAGCTCTGAGGACTGAGATTCATTCGGATGAATCTGATGGCCAGGGTGGTGTAGCAAAGTATGAGAATGAAGATGAAGAAAGATTGCTCATGGATGGTGAAGACGGGGATGATATTTCTGATGAAGATGAAGAGTATACTGAGGAAGGGTATGCTGAAGGAGACTACGGCATGGAACATGTGGCTGGCAGATTGCAGGGTAATATGATGAAGGCAGTGGAGGGTGATAGGACGAATGGGGAAGAGGCTATGAAGGGGCATGCGGCAGTTCATGTAGAAGAAGAGGAAGAAAAGGAAAAGGGACCGTTCTCCGTGCCCACCGCTGGAGCATTTTATATGCATGATGACAGATTTCAGGAAAAGTCTGGTGGCCGACACAGGTATTTTTTCTTATCAGTTCTCTGTAAGTTATCCGCTGATGCTATGGCTGAGGACTTAGTTGATTCTATGTGTTACATGAGGTAAACTGATTTTGAGGCAGAGTAGGTTACATCGGGGTAAACTGATAGGTTCAGCTATTGGCCTTCAGTTAGGAACTCAATGTCATGTGATCTGCATGGCTAGTGACCAGTGATGCTACCGTTGTTTTAAGTAATTTAATGAGGTTGAATAGTTGCGTTTGGTTTGGTTACCTAATTTTTATACAGTGAAAATTTGAAAGCAAGAATATGTTAGCGTTGATATCATCAAGACGTCAATTAGTTCTTTCATTTCTGTGGTATGTTCTTCTTACCAGCCTTTGATCATCATATATTTTACGTATTAGTTATTTTTGTAATCCCAATTGATGTATCTTCTTTTTTGCTTGCAAGGCGAATGCACGGTGGAAGGAGGCTCTGGGAATCCAAAGATGACAGAAAATGGGGACATGACAAATTTGAGGAAATGGATTCACCTCAAAAGCAATATGAGGTAGTGCCTCAATCTAATGTTTCTAAATTTTCTTGGGATCTCTTTCTTCTCTCTCTCTCTCTCTTACAGTGTTTGTGTTTTTTGCCATATATTTTTCTTGTCCTTTATAATAAATAATTGATTGACTTCTGTCCAAACTCAGCGGCGGAGGACTTCTAGGGGCGGATTTAGAGGACGTGGTTGGACTAGGGGAGAGGAGCATGGATACAATAGAGGGAGCAGTTCTAAGAAATTTAGCGACAATGGGAATCAAAACCAGTTTTCTAAATCTGTCACTAGAGGGAGAGGGCCCAGAAAATATGAGACCACCTTGAGAAACGGAAATCAAGCATCTTCTGGCCGAAACAAGCAGTGAGTTCTTAGATTTTGTTTTCTCTGTAGTTTGCAGATGATGGTATGCATAATGTTGATAACGTTCAATTTACTGAATCGGCAGATCATGGAATTCTCTTGAGAAAAAGTCTCACCTTGATTTAGGGCGTGCACCAACAGCCACAGCTAGCTCTGACATTGAAGCCGGTCATGCAAAAAAGGATGTAGCTGTTTCTATTCTGAATTCAGCCTCTCCTCCATTTTATCCTTCAGGGTCCTCCAATAGCTTAGCACAGAAGGATATTCAAGTTGGCATGGGAAGACTGCACATGAATGAAAGCAGTTCGCCTACTGGAAGGAGTTTTGGGAATACAAAAATTTCTTCTTCTGCATCTTCATCAGTCGGTACCGATCAGACCGCTCAGTCCATGAGTCAAGGTAAGGGTGCACCTGCCTCTGGACAAGTTTTTTTTTTAATCATCAATCTCTCAACCAAATTGACAAAACTTTCTCACCTATGTGACTCCATGTAGCTTCTAAAGGGAGTGGCCAAAGCTCTCTTCGGCCTTCTGCTCAGGCTGTTGATCAACCCTCTGCTGTTGTTAGACTACTGGCTTCCTCTCCACCAAAAGCAAGCTCGTCGAAAAGTCTGTATGCTTCTGCTGAAATGAAATCTGCCTCAGAATCAGATGCTTTGGTTGCAAAGGGAAAAGGAGCCCTCCAGCCTAGTGGAAGCCCCTTTCTGTATGGTGGGACTCAAGTTATGGGGCCTGCAGGGAGTCTAGCAATGGGCCATGGCAACCCTAATTTTCCAGCTTTTTTGCCCCGTAAGTGGTTCCCGGATGACTCTCTTCTTTCTGCAATGGAGTGATTAAAAGATTCTATGTCAATGGAATCATGCGTGGTTACTGAAATTGAAAGCTAACAATGCGAAATCATCTGCATCCCTTTGAATTGTTTCCTTTAACTTGCCCTGGTTGCCGGGGTTGGATCGGTTATGCAGTGTGACTGGTGTATCTTCTCGTGCTTTTCTGCCTGCTATTACTTTTCCTTTTTGGGACTAATTTTGTTTTATATATACTTTTATTGCGGTATTCATGTGCAGTTATGCCATTTGGTGGTCAGCAAGGTGGGGTCCCCACTTTTGGCATGGCTTTTCCAGGATATGTCCAACCGGAACATGGTTTAGGAAACCCCGAGATGACATGGTATCCTTACTCTTGTACCGATCAGACCGCTCAGTCCATGAGTCAAGGTAAGGGTGCACCTGCCTCTGGACAAGTTTTTTTTTTAATCATCAATCTCTCAACCAAATTGACAAAACTTTCTCACCTATGTGACTCCATGTAGCTTCTAAAGGGAGTGGCCAAAGCTCTCTTCGGCCTTCTGCTCAGGCTGTTGATCAACCCTCTGCTGTTGTTAGACTACTGGCTTCCTCTCCACCAAAAGCAAGCTCGTCGAAAAGTACTTGATTCTAAAGTGTGACTATTTATTTGAAAGGCTGCCAATTTTGACTGGTCCGGGAGCTCTAGGGGCTACGTACTGTCCGCCATATGCTGATGTTGATGGTTCTAACCAAGCGAGCAGGCCAGGGCTATATTCTGCAGGATCCTCCAGGTTTGTGGAATAGCTCTGTGATGTCTCAAGTTGTATTAACTTGTGCACCCAGATTTGATTAATTTCTGACTCGTACTATTTCTATAATGTCTGAATCATGTGCCATTCCCGATTTGCTTTGGTGCCAGTGTAGCTTTTCTTCGAAATCCAAAAGTATACAACATTGTATTTGCATTAAGGCTCTTTGTTTGAACTAACTCTAAAAGCATTTGACATTAGATTTGCATTTGCCAAAGTTGTTGGATAGTAGTAGCTTTTCTACTAAAGTCAGAAGCATGTTACAGTCATGTAGTCATATTAGCTTTGTTGGTTACTTATTCCTGTAGCCATATAAGCTGTGTTTATTATTCATCTCGCTATCCATTGAAGCGTTGAATTTTTGGCACACTAACAAGTTACTGCTTTTGCAGCAAAGAAAACAGTACTAATAAGCCTGATAATGAACAGAAAGCCTCACAGAGACCTGGTAAGTCAATTCCATGCAATGTTAGCTGATGTGAGGATGGTTTTAATGCTGAAAGAGTTTGTGTTTCTGTTATTTCTTTCAGTTTGGGGAAGAATCTCTATAAATCAGATTTTATGAGAACATTGAATGAAAAATTGATTTTGTTATGGTAAACAAGGATAGAGAATGTAATGTGTGTACAGAGTCAATATGATTCTACAAGATTTTGTCTAGTACAAGCAGCAGACGCTAGCCGATGGAAAGTATATTCTTATCAATTCAAAGGTCTTTTGTTTTGTTAGTATATTAGGCAACACGCATTGATCTATCAAAAGAGGGATTCAATAACTAAAACAAAAATCGGTTGTTTGGGGTCATACTGAAGTTTGAAGTTTAGCTACTTTCATCATTTGTAGAGGCCACAAACAATGGGATTCTGCAGCGGCAGAACAACTCAAGCAAGCAGCCTCGCAGGTGAGTTTTTGAAGTTTAGTTAGATTGCTCTTTTCTTTGTCAATGGTTGTGATTAGTTGGGTAGAAATCATCTGGATTTGGTGTCCCAAATTATTAAGTCTTATATTTTGATTCCTGTCTACTGTCTAGTGCAAACTGTTTCTTGGGATTGCAGTTATGACTATGGTTGGATATTTATGTGATCCACCTGGGTAGGTGTTTATCGATTTCATGGACCAATCAAAGCAAACCCTTGCATAGCCTGTGATCATTGAGGAAAAGAAGATTTATCTGCTCAAGTAATTAACTGTCTGCATTTTAACTCCTACGTGCAGATACTCAGAGATGAACTTTAGCAAGTGATTACATTTTGTCTTTACTATATGAAACGAAAGGAGGGTCCTCTTGAATGAATAAGGCGATGAAAGGAGGTTTATAGAAAGCTTTGTAGAGCCTCCTCCCAGGCCCGTTTGGGCTGCAATTGTTACTGGATTTCTTAGGTGCGTGACATCTCTCTCTTTGTTTTTTTCTTGGGGGCTCTTTAAAGCTTTGTGAGTTTAGTATGCTCCTTCATGTAGGGTTTTGAAATTTGGAAATTCCAATTGAAACCAGAGAAAGGAGGATCTGGATGGCTTTGGGCAGTGGTCAATGCCGTGTTCAAGTCAGACGACCATTGTCGGACTTGATGGGTCATTTAGATCTTTATGGTATATTTATTTTTAAGTATCTGCATTTTTTTTTTCTTCACCTCTTGCTCTTGAGGAGACTAGACTACTTCCTTGTTTCTTGACCATCCTTTTTTTTTTTTTTAAATTTCAGGTTCTTCTTTATGGGTTTAAGAGTTTTTGGTCAAATATATGCATTCCGTGAGTTGAAGACCAGACTTCTTTTTTAGTGGTCTTTGAAGTTTCTGTCTGTTTAATACAATAATATGTAATTCTTGATTTTATGTCTTTCTTCGGTGGATTTTCCCCCCCTTTTTGTCTTAGTGCTTTGATGAGTTTTGGTTCTGTGGTTTTTTGCTTTCTCCGCGTTTGGGTTTTTGTCATTGTGGCCCAATATTATTGGGATATGTATTGTTTAAATTACTTAATGAGTAAAAGGGAAAAATTGCAAAAATAATTCCGTCGTTTCTTACTTCTAAGACATGGTTTTAGGATTTTTTAAAAAGTACTAAAACAACGAAAAGATTAATTTATTCTTAAAAAATTGAATGCGTGGTAACTCTGTGTATAGTAAAAAAAATTTTCGAATTTTTTTTTCCATTTTTTTAAAATATTCAAAATGCAGAAACTTTTTTCTTTTTTTCTTCAAAAATATTTTGTTGGCGATTTTAATGACAAATTTTTTAATTTTTATCTTACACTTGACATATTTTTCTACTACGACGAGATACGACATTCCGAAATAAGAATTTGAAAATGTTCGATAAAAATCTTCAGATAAATTTTGGTTCTTAAAACGTCATACTGATCATATCAGCCAGACTTTGGTCATACCGATCTGATTTTGTTCCGTCGGTCACACTTAATTTGGATGAAAATGATTTATATTAAGAGATTTTTTTATACATGAAATTAGATCACCAAAACGATAAAATGTATTCTTATAACCCTTATACAATTTTTTGAATCGTTTAAACTTAATTTAGAAAAAATGGTCATACCGATCACACTTTGATAACATGGTCAGACATTGGTCATATAGTCAGAATTTGATCAAGCGGTCAGACTTTTTGAAAACTGACGAATTTATCATTTTAAAAGTGTTAATATGGTATAATAATAATCTCATATAACACGTTTTTTAAATTTAAATCGGTCAAACGGTCAGACTTTGGTCAAACCGATGATACTTTGGTGAGACGATCAGACTTTGATCATACGGTCAGACTTTGGTCATACCAATTATACTTTGGTCATATCATCAGACTGATCATAGGGTTATACCGGTCAAACTAGTCAGACCTTTTCAAAAATGATAAATTTACGAATTTAAAAGTGTTGATCAAACATGTTTTCTTATATAGAATTTTGGCTTATTAGGGTTTCACTTCGATTCCATTCGAAGGAACAATATCATTTAAGCTTACACTAATCAAAATTTTCATCTATAACGAGATCCGGCACACCAAAGTTGAAGAATTTGAAAATGCATGAAAAATGTTTGATGAAAATACTTAGAGAAATTTTGGCTTTCGAAATGCCACAACGGTCAAACTGATCCGATTTTGCTCATGGTGCCAAGAACAACAATATCATCAACAATGTAACTTCTTCCAAAGAGACCTAAAGTAATATTAGTGTTTGTATAACAACACATTGGAAACAATTGACTTATATTGAGAGATTTTGTTTTTCACGTGAAATTAGAATATCAAAACGATGCAAAAGTATTCTTATAATCCCTACACAATTTTTCAATCGTTTAAATTTAATTTAGACATTTCTTTTTCGTATCCAAATGGTCAGATTGTCATACTATGGTTATACTATGGTCATACAGTCATACTTTGGTTAGACGGTCATATTTGTTCGAAATTGATTAGTTCACCATTTTAAAAGTGTTAACATAGTAATAATCATATCATATGACAAATATTTCAAGTTCAAATTGATCGTATTAATATGGATTAAATCTTTTGTTTGTTTGACAATGTAACTCCTTCCAAATAAGACCTAAAGTAATAGTAGTGTTTGTGTAACACATTGGGTACAATTGAATTATGTTGAAAGATTTTTTTTTTCACATGAAATTAGAATATTAAAACGATGCAAAAGTTTTCTTATATTCCCTATACAATTTTTCGAATCGTTTAAATTTAATTTAGGTCTTTCTTTTTCGTGTCCAAATGGTCAGACGGTCATACCTTGGTCAGACGGTCATACCTTGGTCAGACGGTCAGACTTGCTCGAAATTGATTAATTCATCGTTTTAAAAGTCTTAACATAGTAATAATTATATCATATGACAAATATTTCAAGTTCAAATCGATTGTAAGAATATGGATTGAACACTTTTTTCGACGTCAGAGAGAAGAGGCTTTCACACTTGCGTCCACACTCTATTTGTACGCGTGGGATATTTTGTCCGAGCAAATGCAGCCATCTTTCTGGTCGCAACCGACTGACTTGGGATAATTCTTCAGTTGGCTCAGCAGCTTGAGGAGACTAGACTACTTCCTTGTTTCTTGACCATCCTTTTTTTTTTTTTTAAATTTTATGTTCTTTTTTATGGGTTTAAG